TAAACCTACGAAAAGTTACTTCTATTAGTCTTAAGTAATATACTTAGGATATGAAATCTTATATAATAAAATCAGAATAAATAAATAAAAAATTACAGCAGTTACTAAATAGAAACTACCTATATTAGTAAAAGAAACCTAATCCTTCTTAGGATTTGCTAATTACTACTAATAATTTATTAAAGGTTTTAATAAAATTACTATTCCTTTTACTAAGATTACTAAAAGGGATAAATAATTCTAATAGAATAATAAAGTATAATAAGCTTTTAAATAGCTTAAATTAGTAATTATAGATAAACCTATTCTAATTATATTTAACCCTAATTGGTAAGTTAAACTTAAAACTAATGCTTCTGACTTTGCCTTAGGAGGATAAATAGGATAATAAAATAATAATAGTATATTACACCTTATTACTTTCTACTCTTATAAGATACATAAAGTAGAACTTAACTATCCTATCTATAACAAAGAATTCCTAGCTATTATTAACTACTTTAAGGAATTTAAATATTACCTTAGAGGAAGTAAGCATCTAGTAAAAGTATTTACTAACTATAAGAATATAACTTACTTTATAATAATATAAGAACTAAACTAATAATAATTATACTATGCCAAATACTTATATAAGTTTAATTTTATAATTACATACTGCAAAAAAATAAATAATAAATATATAAATACTATTAGTCGATGACCTAACTTTAATATAGGAATTATTAAAACCAAGGAATAACTCCTAGAAATAAATACCAAAGGAGAATATTAGTTTATATAACCTATTAAAATAATTACTAAAACAATAAAAGGAATAAAATCCCTATTAAAAGAAGAATATAACTTCCTTTGCAAATTTTATTTATATCTTTTATATAGATATTAAGGTATTAAGAAAATACTAAAATAACTATAAGACCAAGAATATAAGTTTAAAAAATAGAATATAGAAAATGTTATTAAATAATATAACTTATACTTAAGAATAAAAGCTTAAAGGCATAAACCTTATAGATAACTATAACTACTACTAGTAGTATAATAACCTTAGGACTTAATTATAATAGACTTTATTATAAAGTTACCCTTATTAAAAAAACCCTTAACTAGAATCTTCTATAATAATATTATAATTATAATTAACTAACTTATAAAATTCTTATATTATTTATTATATAAAGAATCTATAAATATAAAAGAACTTTCTTATATTTTTTATTAATATATTATTAGCATATATAGGTTACCTATAGAAATCCTTTTAGATAAAAGACCTATATTTATAATAATATTTTAGTAATTACTTATAATATAACTTAGACTAAATTATCAACTTATAATAATATTTCAACCATAGGTCAACGAATAAACTAAATAAATAAACTAAGTACTTAAGTAATACTTATAATATTATATTAACTATAAGTAAAACAATTAGGTTAAGAAACTACTAATAGCCTAACTTGCCTATAACTGTTACGACCCCGCGGTTACGTCACGTGTACCAACAATAAACCCAGGCACGGCTTAGTTTAACATAGTTGGACTCCAACCGTCACAATAACACTACATATAACAAAAGCACAAAGCTTATATTAGCTTATACTAACTTCAGATTTACACCAAATATATACCACAATATATAACAAGAGAAATCAGTCAACCTAGCCGCCATTATTAAAAGCAAAGACCTAAAAGACCTATATAAATACCTATAAATAAAATTAGAATTTATTAGAAAATATATAAAAAACTACTATAATCCAAAATGGTTAAAGGGACTAACCTTTTCAGAGGGAGATATGGTTTACCTAGCTATAAAAAACATTAAAATAGACTAATTAACTTATAAATTGGATTATAAATTTATCAGATTATATAAAGTACTATAGAAAATTTTAGAAAATAACTACAAATTAGACCTATTACTAAAAGTTAGGCTCTATCTAGTCTTTTACGTTTTATTACTTAAATCAGCAGTAGATATAATCTAAGTTAAAATAGGCAATAAGCTATAAGAAATTATAGGACTAGAAGTCTATGAAGTAAAAGCAATTAGGAAAATAAATATAATTAACAGATAAAGAATATACCTAATTAAATAGAAAAACTACCTAGAAAACAAAAATATATAAAAACCTCTAAAACACCTTATTAATACCTAATAACTCCTAAAGAATTTTTACTAATAATCTTAGAAAGTAAAAAATTAAAAACTATATTCTAGTTAATAATATTAGTATTATTAAAAAACTAAATATCTAAGACTACTATATCCTCCTCCTAAGTAATAATATTATTAGCAGAGGAATTTAAACTATTAATAATAAATTAAATCCCTTACTCTTATAATAAGTATTTTATATAGCAAATATAAGATAATCTTATAATAGCCTTATTTACTTCTTACTAAGCCTTAAGAAGTTTCTCCTTAGCCTCCTCTTCTGCCTACTCTAGATAGTTAGATTTATAATTTAATTAAGGAACTAAGAGGAATAATTAGCAGAACCTAGTAATAAATAAAAAAGAATATATAATAAGTAATTATAATACCAGAAGTATTATAAGATTAACCTTATTAAATATATTTAAAATAATAAGAAAAATACTTAATTATTTTATAATAAAGGCCCTTAGCCTTATAAAAAGAATAAGGTATAATATTAAAACTAAATTTTATAATTAAATCTACTAAATAAATATACTCTAAAGTCTTATAAGATTTTAATTAAAGATTCTATAATATAATAATTAGTAAATATACCAGGAAAATAATTAAGAAAGAGAGTTAGCACTTATTAAAGCCTAATATAAGAACAAGGAGATATATAGGTCTTAAGGGCAAGACCTAATAGAGGGGAGACATTATATTATAACCCCCGCGCCTATATTACATAGCCCCTATAAATTTCACTAATTACTATAGGATTACTTCTCCTAGTAATAATCCTCTTCTATTAGATTACTTAGATTATAATACTCCAAGACTAAATTACTATAAATTATAATTAATCCCCGTAAATCTAACCCTTAAATTACTTATAATCTCTAATAAGCTATAAGGCCACTCCTAATATATATATATATTTATTAGCACTTAGATAAAACTTAGCTTACTAGCTATTAACTAAAACTTCTTTATATTAATTAAGCCTAATATGCATTAAATCTACCATTAAGAGATGTAACACTTCAATAAGCTTAGTTACACGCCCTATGCAATCTGCCAACAATAAACCCAGCACGGCTTAGTTTAACATAGTTGGACCCCAACCGTCACACGTCGACTATCTTAATTCTAATAGTATTAAGAAGCCTAGAGTACCTTTCAAATAGTTCTACCACATATTCGAGGAAAGCATCCCTTCGACTTGTAAAATAGTCGAGGTTTATTTATATCTTCTACAGCAGGCGATGGAAGTTTAGAAGGCTAATACGGGAAAGAATTTGTCAGACGGCGAGGCTGGTCCATATAACGTGGCCTTGTCGACTAATGGAGGGAAGGATCAGTCTTGCTTGAACTAATAATTCTTTTAACTAAATAATTAAGGATAAAATGAACAGGCGATCTGCTTTTGCTTTTCCCTTTAACAGCCATTGCAACATACATTCAGGCACTGAAAATCTGAAACTCCTTCCACCTAAAGTCGTCGCCATTGCCAATTTCTATCTCTAAGGAGCAACAACTACCAAAATGTCAGCATTAAGTTGGGCATTGGCCTAAGACCTTCAATAGTTATACCTCAAATTGCATCATGGTCTAAGATATCCTTAGGTGCACTACCACGATGACTACAAAGGTCGTGTCCAAGCCCAATGGCACGACAGAGACTACCACCACTAGCATGTTTGTTGATTGTGGAAGAAGCACTTTTGCAACTTCTGCTTCGTTTACTAGACGCTGAACAGGTTCATGGTCATGATCGGAAGCCCATTGGACTGGATCAGAGAGGCAACAAAGGGATATAACGCAAATGTTTAAAATAACGACAAATCTAGTGAACTTGAGTGTAAAGAGTCCATTACTTGCTGTATATTATTGCTCTCACACTCAATTATTTCAGGCTAACCTTGATCTCTATGGTTTACTATCCTTGATCACATCACTCGTTGTCGCAAATCGAATTGGTCGATATCCTTCATCAACTGGGTGCTTCATCAAAGCCCGAATAACAGCGACTCCAACTTTTCCCAGGGTCCCGTAGGCATCACTGGCCTGTTTTTGCTCCATCTCATGTCATTTTACGCAAATCATGCTGCGTCACGAATTTTCCAACCACAAAGTCACCCAACCTTGTGTCAGCCGCCGCAGGCGCTGCATCCTTATCCCAATCATGAGACCAAGCCGAGTAGATGGAGAGGTGCGGACCAAGTTGGTCAGCACATTAGAGGCGTTCGTTCCATTGCGTGAGCCGGGAGAGTCTGACGCATGTTGTCGAGAAGCCGACGTATCTATGGTTTGGTATCTATGATTTAGAGAGAATAGGTTCGATCACCCTGCGAGGTTAAAAAGTGGGCATCAGCTTTATTCCCAGCGGCCACGGGGAGATGGTCTTGGACTTTCATTGGTTGTGATACATGTAAGGCTTCAGCCGAGGCTGTGACCGAAACACTGTTGTATGTGGCCTTGCACATGCTCCACATGCAAGAACAGAGATGTAGTACGTCCGATCAAACCTTGCACCGACTTACTTGGTGCCGCATGTTACCAATAACTAAGGGTCCAGGCCAACCTAGAATGACCTTCATTAGATATTGGCTGCCTCTTACAGCGATTCAGCTAAGCAACCTCGATGCTTATGTACCATATCAATGGTGAAAGATAGTAAATAAACCTACGTGGCCCTTATAACATGGTGGCTGCCTTTCACACCAATCCGGCAAACTATTCCTTTATACTTGCAATATATGATCCGTCTATGGTTTAAAGGCCATTTTTTCAGTTTTTAATTATATTAATATATCTTACCGCATATGAAGAGCCAACATTTGGGGTTCTATGACAAAAATACTTCCTTCCATGACGGACCAGGGACTAGACTAAACTGTACAGCACCTTGATGAAGCAGACCGAAACCTCGTCGTTCAGCTATCCCACCGTGCCACTCCAGTAGCATGATATTATAGTACTTCCATTGACCTTCTGCTAATGGGTAAGGGTCCTGCCACTGTACCCCATCGTAGCCCACAAATGAATGCTTGTATGCCTCGGATAGTAAGATTATCTCGAAGGAGCCGTGAGATTCAAAGAAATTAGTTTCTTCGAAGCCATCCAACCAAACAAAGCCGCATTTCCTGTTGTTAGAATCTTGGAGATATCCAGTGGCCCTGAAAACGTCAATGTCAAAGATTCTGTAGAACAGCGAAAGGGTCCAGAATTGCAGCATAGGGTAAGATGGCACTTCCCGGGAGAAGGACATATGTTCGGTTGGCATGGTTCGTCTCGTGTCCAGTTGTCTGGGAACATATCGCCCATCGGAGAAAGGGCGCCTGCGACGATATCCCACATACTCCATGTCTGACAAAGGGAACGACGGGTTCGCATCCGGATCCCAGACAAGATTGGTGATACCAGAAGGGCTCCGCTTATACCAGATGATCCACGTCCTGTCCCTGAGCCACACGTTGGTAGACTCGGTTGCACAAGCCGTTTGCAAATTCATATCGATACAACCCCGCCAGCCTGTCCACGAGTAACTTGGAAATGAAGAGCGTCGGTGAAGAACGCTACCATACTCAAAGAATATGACAAAGCGGTCAAACATAACGGTTGGAAGCCCCTGGAAGAAGCTGCACTTCATCGCCTCTGCAATTCGCCTAATAATGCCCGCCATAGCCCGTGGTGTGTCGCTCTGGTTTGTCAAGGCTCGTTTGGTATAGTAGAAGAGCATCGTGCATAAGTCGAACACCGGGTCGGTCATGAGTACTGCCTCTGGAAGCAGAGATCCCGCTGATGGGCCAATTCTGGTTTGTGATAGGTCGTCTGCAAAGTGCTCGGCATGCTCTGCTGCACGGCAACGATAGAAAACCTTGTTGTCAATGAAGTAGAGAACTCGTCGAGATAGGACCTGCTCTTGAAAGCTGTATCGGTTCAGAACCCTTGATTCATTATAGTCGAATAGTAGACTTACGTCCATGATCTGGAGTCATAGACTGAGCGTTTGAGCAATCCGTCCAGCCCCGTCACAATTCCCATCTCGACGCCGGGCATAATCTCAAATGTGTTGTAAGAACCATCTCTAGTCCCTTCCTGAATTCCAGGGAGTCGCGCATTAGCATCATGGCCACATGCTGCAACAACCGTCAACCAAGCTCTCTCGTAAACCAGGTCCATAACGTTGACGCCTAGCTCCAAGTCCTCAGCGTCATTCTGCAGCAAGCAAAGCGCGTCAACCCATAGATATCGACACCCAAGGCGCTTCGATAAAGTCGTAGCATCTTTTATAGTGTTCGGCAGCATCTTGAAGACTTTTTTCAGAGAGCCCGGTGTGAGCAGTGCTGTTCGGTTCGCCTTGGTGAGCCGAAAATTTGGTACGGCCCCCCATACATAACTCAAAGCGATGTACTTCTCAAGCTTTGCCCTTTCTACGAGGCAGCTATCCTCTAGATCGATTAAGCGAAGGACGCGGAGGCCAGGAAATGCCTCGCCAAAGGGCAGGTTTGTCGGCATGGCACATTCCGAGCGATGCAGTTGCTCACAAGATGAGACCCAGCGTAAAACCCTAGCAGTATCCACTACAGGGCCAGTCCACGGCTCGACAAAGAACCTCAACGTAGGATTGAGGTGACCAGAGAAATCCATGCGGGAACTGAAGCCAATCCATGCATCAGCCCGAGCCTGATAAGCCGAGAAAGCCCAGCGCTTGGCAGGCCCCAACTGCCAAAAAAGTTCAACCTCATCAGCGGATGGGGTAGCTATGAAGTCTTCGTTGAAATGAGATAGAATAAGGCGACAGAATGGACACGAACTGTTCTTGATCCGGATGCCAGCGCCAAGGGACCATCCTGGGTATGTCCATATACGCTTCTCTTCAGCGTCCAGTACCTTTGGGTCTAGAGGAATCTGCGAGCAGTATTCACATAATGAGGTAGGCGATGACATATCCGACGTTTGTTCCAAAGATGAGCTATAAATTGTGCTTTTGTCACTATGTCATCGCCTGCCTAACCCCGAAATTGTCGCATTTGTTCAGCCCATCATGTGACTCTATAATTGGACATCCATTACTGTGATTGGTCAGAGTACGCCACGGAGAATGGTAATATCTTTGTTCCTCTTGGCTCGGCCACTATGTATTTTTGAAGGAGTGAAACCCAATCATTCTAGTCACCACCCCTTTATAGAATGCTCGGGTTTCTCGCAACCCCAAGCTCCTTGAGCGTGATCAGACCAAGTTTGACCCAATTGTCAATCTCCTTCTCGGTAGCCACAGCGATTATCCCCAGCATACCCAAGGAATTCACACCAGCCTCTTTGTTGACTGCCGCGTTGCGACGAGGAATAACTACTGTCCAGCGGGATGTGAACCTTGCAATCCCGAGTCCTATCAGCCAACAGCAGTATTCCAGGGTTAGCTAATCTTTTTGAGAGCAGTCGATGGTCTTTCTGGATGTAATTTTCAGGATTCGCTGTTCAGAATCGCGTGCTGTTGTAATCACACCTTCCAATTGCGGTATGCTTCCCGATTTCAGTCACGAATCGAGGATCAAACCAAGCTTGAGCCAGCGTGATTGTTGGTGTTGGCAACTGTCTCGTTTGCATAACGGGTTATCATTGGCTTGTCTAAATATAGCTTGAAAACTCGATTGTGACTGGTTCGGTTTTCTGATAAGGCTCCTCCGCGTGTGAAGCAAGTGAGGGGTTGACGTACCACGAACCTTGTCCATTTTCCTCCTCGTCGATGTTCCTCTGCTCTTTTTGCCTGATCACTCTTGCAGTTCTTCTAACCAGACAAAGCCCTTAACAGATTCTTGCTCATCTGCTACCTTGCTCCATTCCAAGTTTAACTAATCATCAACAAACCCGAAATGGATGATTCAACAAAAGCGCCTGAAGAAATACCACCAACTGTAACATCGCTCCAAGATCTGACGATTATCGAAGCCTGGGACGCAGAAGCAAACACACCTAAATATATCACATTCTACCTCGTTACTCCTGATGACAAAGTTTTCTTTGGTTCAAAGACGAAGAGATCTATCCTGAAGCCCCCAAGGATGTTACACTCAGACTGGCACCTGACCACCTCGACGACATTTGGGTCTACGTCAAAAGGCCAGGCCTCAACAATTATGAAACAACTATGAGGGGAACGGATTTCATCCCCAGAGAACTTTTGGCTGAGACACTTACGATGGAAAAGGTATCCCAGACGCCACATCCTGATATTGTTGGTTACTATGGCTGTCGTGTCAGGCGTGGACGTATCGCATCAATGGTATTTGAAAGGCTGGATCAAACACTACAGCAGTACTCAAGTACTCCCGAGTTTGAGAAGCTCGATAAGCCAAAGTTTCTCGAGGCTCTCCAATCAGCAGTAGCCTACATCCACTCACTGGATCTAGCTCACAACGATGTCAACCCACACAACATCATGGTCAAGGATGGAATGCCGGTCCTGATTGACTTTGGGTCATGTCAACCTGTAGGACAGCGGCTTCAGTCACTGGGAACTGAAGGTTGGTACGAGGAACTGTTCTTTACTTCTGAGAAGAAACATGACACATATTCATTGAACAAACTCAGAGAGTGGATTCATGATCCGGAATAAGAGACGAGTCAAAGATGAAGGCTTTCGTCAGGCTGGAGTATGGCAGAGAACACAAGACCTTTGTATAAATCAGAAGAATAGAGAGCAGCAGCTTACTGTCCTTGTGAATGCCCTAAAGGAGTATTTTCAATGCACAGCTTGCTCATCTCTTGTTGGTTCCAGTCCCAGTGGGGTTGTAGACTGACCAGTCCACACAGGAGCATACTCTGTTTCGCCTCCGTCTTTACTCAAAAGCTTTTCTCGCTCCGTACTTCCTCGTACTCCAAGTTTGAGCCTACGAGCAGCACTGATATCAACCACCACCATGGCAATAGTGCTCAATCTAAAAGTTCGTGTCAGCAATCCCTCAACGCCGGGATGATCTGGGAGTCTCACAGGCCAGTTCCCCCAGCCGCCAATAAGGTTTTGTAGAGGCCGCACACTAAAATGCCGCGATCATTGCCCCAGCGCCTCTTGGTGCAAGGAATCAAGATAGTTGGCTCGATTGCGTTGATAAGGAGTCCGTATCCTATAGTCCAAAGGGCCACAAGTACTGTGTTCACTACTGCGCTCGTCTTGGGCACGGGTGAGCGAAGAACAATCCAGATGCCCATGGCAGTATTAGAGATGAGGGTTGCAAGGGCGGAGCCTTGTAGCTATAGTGGTAAAGAAGTCAATTTAGCAGCAGCAAAAGGTGTTAAGAAGTATGAATGGACGGGTTTATTACGAAAAAGAACATCCACGGAATTTTAACCCGCTCCTGGTTCAAGTGGGCGATAAAGAAGAACATTATGCCGGCGACAGCGCATGATGAGATGACTTGAAAGCTCTTGGCGAGGAGGAATGGGATGGGCCGATATGGGAATAACCCAGATGATAAGAATTGTGCCATCTCGAAGGTGACTGATGAGGCGATTCCTGGATCTCGTTAATTCTTGCTGTGGGTTCAAGAAGATGGCACATCTATCGTGAAGATGTGATATTTCCGTATTTTGTAGCTTGGGCAGGAAAAGTCACGGCTGTCTCTTAGACAATGTAGTCAATGTCAGGGATTCTGCCTCGGCGCAGTACTTTTCATTTACTTCGCTGAACCTCCGCAAAAATATGGAGGAGTCCGTGAAAAGACGGAGAGGCATTGACTAAAACTCTTTCAGAGGTCCAAGAACTTCAGCCTTGAGCGACGTGTGACCATGAATGTGGCTATTTTGGACTGGCTTTCCCTGGAGGCGTCGGTCTAGACCGGGCCCTTGTGAGGCTGATGTTCGGATTGGGTAATTGAGACAAGCTTCCATATAAGCTTACAGCCTAGCGCGGTAGACAGCGCCTTTAAGAGTTCAGCTGGTGACATTCTATCAGCCTGTCATTCGACCTCAAGTCGAAATTGAGCGTTTTCGGCATGGCCACAAATAAAATTGAATTGAATCAGCCATCGACGGGGTCCAGTTATAGTAAATTGTTGGGGCCTTACTAGTCTTTCTCATTTCCCGGTTATTTATCAGTTGAATGATTCATATAGCCTCGCGCTCCACCTGGAAGTAGAATGGCTTGTGTGAGATTCAATTGCCGGAGTACGCATGTTACTTCAACTTAACATAACCAAAAAGAATCGATGTTGAAGGGTTATAATCTACCTTTTGTGCTCTTCACGGGCCTTTCCACCCTGTTCTCCTCTTGCGATGCTGCAGGTCGAAACACAAGTCTTGTTGAAGACCTTACTGGTTTTGGAAATAATCTCACCACTATTGACATTGAATATCAGGTTTGGGCCGGATGCGGGCCGCCAGAAAACCTGACAACAGTTCGCCGTCGCGTTGCGTATGTAGTCGTCAACGGACTGGCTGTTATCGACGGTGACGTTGTCTACGGAACAGAGGGTGACATCCTCGCGGATCGAGTCGCAGATTCTCTCACCAAGCGCTCTCTGTCTAATCGCGCTCCTGGCGGGAGATGGCCCAACGCAATCGTCCCTTACTCGTGGAGCGATGAAGATGTATCGTCATGGTTGTCGGATGCTGACAAGAGCTCAAGAATGAAGCTCTTCGAAGAGGCGGCCAAGGTATGGATGGATCGTTTGCCTTGGCTGCATATCATTCATATAACGACCCCATATGATCCCAAGGCAACCACGCCGGCTGGCCGCATTACCGTGCAGTTTGTCAAGGGCGGAACATCATCGTCGCCGTTGGGCCGAGCAGAGCGGCAGGACTGGAGTTACATCTCACTTGGAGAACCCTATTTAAGCACGTACGTTCATGAGATAGGACACAGTAAGTTCCCGTCCAACCCCGAGGACCCATATCAGCCAGACACTGACCCCATATCAAGCACTCGGCCTTCAACACGAACACAAGCGCCCTGACCGAGATCAGTACTTCAATCTTGATTGCTCGGCGCTTATGGATGATGAGAAAGGGGTAGCTCCTGTCTGCACCTCAGAAGACAAGTGCCAAGGATGGGGCTGTCAGTTTACGGCGCTGGTAGACCCGTTGGTCTACAATTTCGAGGGACCGTACGACACAAGTTCTGTCATGCACTACTTTGAGCGCAGCGCCGCAAAGGACTTTTCATCTCAGCCTCTGACCGGCATCAAACCCGGTGTCAGGGTCGGTCGAACGTCTCGGCCGACGCTTATGGACTTGCTGCGTGTATGTAACATGTACCAGCTCCAGTGCGCGGGCCGTGGAATCTGCGGTGACGGTATCCTGTCTCCAGCCAACGGCGAGGAGTGCGATCCTGGCTGTGGAGTAAGCGATACTTGCACCGAAGACTGCAAGCTGAAGCCCGTTTGCGGAAACAGGGTCGTCGAAGCTGGTGAGGAATGCGATGATGGACCAGCGGGTAGCGCAACATGCACAACGAGCTGCAAAAAGAAGCCTGTTTGTGGTAACAGCCTCGTTGAAGATGGCGAAGAATGTGATGATGGGGCTTCCGGAAGTACCACGTGTACCAAGGACTGCAAGAAGATCACATGCATCAAGACATGCGACCCAGATCCAAGGTTTAACAAATGCGACATTACCACTAGCTGCATCAAGGTTGAGGGTGGCTCTGCTGCCAGCGCTGGCAAACATTACTGTGCTTGTCAAGGAGGATTCCGTGCACCGTTGGGTAAGCCACAGATGAGGCTGCCTTGGTTTAAGCCCATCTCGCAGGAGGGCCGTGTATTTGTAGAACCAGGCCAGGCATGCAACATCCTCTGCAATGCATATACACTGGGGAAGGATGGGTGCAAGGAGGTCGCTGAGCAGGCCGTATGCTACTAGCTCCAAAGTGTAGTTAAACCTACCTTGAATGTACTTGGACTATGATCTTTCTATTACATATCTTAAAATGTAAATGCAGGTATTAATACAGAGTTATTTATATTGTATGGATTTTTTTAGAATTCATGCTTGGAGCAAGAAGCGAAACGTGTCAGCTATTAGGTCTTTTAACTCAAAATGACACTCTCACAAACACATTTCAGGCAGTTTACCAACAACTGACATGATAGCTCCACAAAGGAGGCGCACCATACAGACTGGCACCAAATTTGGGATTCAACCCTGTGACAAAAAGTGTTCAGGACAAACACGTTCAACTTCAACTCTCTGGGCGTTTACAGAGAAGTTTCTCAGAGAGACGCTCGGATCGAAAGCGGTGCCAGAAAATAAGAACAGACGCACATATGCATATATTTCATAGGATAATATACGATACCAGAGTGTTATTCATTGTGCAACTCATTAAGGCTCCTTGTGAATATTTGAGGCTCCAGTACTTAACACATCAGCATGACGATCGACCCGAACTATCGAGAAGGGCTTGTCTTGATGCCGCTGAAACTGTGCTTTAGAGGCAAGTTGAGCTACATCAGGTTACCTAAGCTGAGGATTTAATATATTATATGCAGGGGATGATCACTTCCTCAATGCTAAGTGACTTTACCCTAACAGCTATGGTTATATGCTTCGATCTCACAGTTAGAATGCGACAAGCGGTTGTAACTGCAGGCCAGAACGATAATACTGGCTTCCGCAAATACCTGGCGGCTATTGAGACAGCCCACATTTGATGGGTTAGTTCATCTGAGGCCTCCGAAGCACGTACAGCCACACAAGCGTTGCAGTCTACGATTCAGCGTGTGAACGAGCATTTCAACACCTGGCAATCTTCTGTGTGCCATACCTCGACAACAAAACTACCCATCGGCTGATTCTGCGGATCAGATGACCGATTTCGATATAATCGATAGTATCGACTGGGCATGTTATTTCTCATGATATAGTTTATCTTCTCGACAATCAAATTCAGGACCCCACGATACAATATTTTGATCTTGGTCTCTGGCTAATGGACACAGCTGGACCACTAGGACCATAGGATCTCTAAGCCCCGCAGCCGACTGGGTTTCAGCTAACAACTAGCACTGGCTGAGATATGAGCTGGCTGGATAGTGGCTTCTGACTAATTGGGTCATGCGCTTATCGTCACCGATAAATTTATATCTAAGCAAGTCTAGCTACCGATTTGCTCATTCTTGACTAGTTGTCTTGCCCAGCTACCATAATCAGGTATTTCGTCCATAGCCTCTTTCAGAGAAGGAATAAGATCCTCAAGTTTAGAGAAGTCTACTTTCTCTTCAACTCCTGCTTCCTTAATTCTACCTTCCTTAATCGCATCATCCAGTTCCTGCTCACATTGGCTCTCGAGCCATACCGATGTTTTTCTCTCTATCGGACCGAGCAAGCTGTTTAATTGATTCAAAGTCAGACCCCGTCCCTTGGTAAGCGTCAAACCCGCTGGGTCAATTATTATGGTATCTTGCCATATTTCTAAATCGATTTCGAGAGGTTTGGGCGTCGGAAATGGCGTGATAGATAGGTTCCAATGCCTCCTCGCCTCCCTCATGATGGCCTTTACGGCGATATCGTCCAGCTCCTGTACTTTCTCCCTACTGATTGGCTTTCCCCTGACACTGTTCAAAAGGACCGGGAGAAGAAATAAGTATACGAGCCCGGACCTTACCAGATATATGGACAGAGACACAGCGACTCCTGGTGCATCTTGATCAGTTCTCTCCCAAATCTTCTTCAAAATTGATAGGTCGCAATAATTCGGAACCATCGCTTTGATAACTGGCTTTTCGAAGCAGTAGAGCGCATCCATCAGCCTTCCTGCCTGTAAATAGGCCGAACCGTATAGACAACATTCGAAAGTCTCAACTAAACCACCTCGGATCCATGGGCCACCAGGGGCGCTGTCGCGGATGACGCATAAGCGGTCTATAGACACCAATGCCTCATTCAAGTTGCCAACGCTGATAGCCAATTCCGCCAGATTTATCTGGCAAGCATATTCTCCCGCGAGATATCCGTCTTGGTAGCATCGTGCCACTATGTCAAGAAGTCGATCTTTTGCCTCTGTCTCGCTCCCAGCTGCCCGTAGCTGTTGTGCTCTGACCATGTCGAGGGCAAATGGGAGTTGATTAGCCAGGCCCAAGCAGGCGAAACTGAAATCTCTGAGAAGTGATCAGAATGATTCATTTTGGTAAGGCGTGCAGCATCTGTCACTTACCGAGCGTCAAATTCGATGGTTTCGTCCATGGTCAATTTTAAAAAGTATGTTCTGAGATCCCTCGGCCACATGCACATAATCACAGCAAACACATCGTTCGCTTTATCGTCCCACTGGCCACTTCTCGGGTCTCCAAGACTGCGGTAGTAATGGGCAATTCCCGTCAATGCTCTATGTCGGAGAAGAGCCGCCGAGTAGGCATATGGATTGACATCATTAAAGGCTCGTATCCTTTCACTCTGTTCATATGGACTCATATGTATCTCCAAGCTGTTTGGATCTCCTGGTTCGTGATCTAGTGGCCTGACGGATTTGAGATCAACTTCGGTCCCATCAGCCTTGCGACCAAGAAGGCGGGCGATGCGAAGTACTACCCCAAACCCTTCTGAGGGTTTGACAGGCCTCCTCAAATAAAGCATTGAGAAAGTCCAGTAAAAAGCACAGTCAGCTAGCCTTTTCCATTTGACTTTGTTCCACATCTCCAGGTGAGAAGGATAAGAGACTACTAGCTTCAATGCCTCCTCTGTATAACGCCTCGTCGCCGAAGGGTCTTTCATGAAATAATATTCTGCGAGAGAAAGAGTAGCCGAGAGCAGAAGGGTGAGATTATCAGTGCCATGGCCCTCTTCAATCAATTGGCCTGCAACTTTCTCCTTCAGTATATCAGTAAGCTCAACGAGGCGTGGCAATAAAATGGTCTCCTTGGAGAGAAGCGGATGATGGCCGTCATAAGACCACAGCAAGTTTATCAATGCGTAACAACCCACTGTGCCCCAGTTGTCTCTATTGACGATTCCTCCCAGCGGTCTTTTGATGTCGGCCAGACACATGTCAAATGCCTTGAGGAAGTTGCAGGCTTCTAGCTCGGTCTGTCGGACGTAACGTGGATTAGACAAGTTCCATGTTGCTGCGCGGCGAATCAGAAACTCTGTGAAATTCCACGCCATGTAATCACCGCCAACTCTATCAGATATTGGCGTTTGCCGGGATACTCTCATGGCACTGAGAAACATAGTTTGAATCCGGTAGTATGTCACCGGCACACCAACGATTCCTTCCACTTCCTCTACCCAGCCAGAGGGAACAAGAACGTCCGATATGAATGCCCTAACTATGCCGTCATTAGGGTCGAACATGCGGCCAAACTTAGAAAGGCTGCAGTTGAGATGGACTAGTTTAAAATATTCCTGGGAAAATATGCCGCATGTTGTTGCCAGGGTTGATAGAATTAACATTGTCTGCTCCCTCCGTCTATTGCCTTTGGCTGGGAAGCTGTTGATAAAGTCCATGCATTCATCAAAATTGCCGTCGCCAGCTCCAAAGAATATCGGGCATTGATAACTAACTACTCGATCAAAGAAGTCGCGTATGCTAGTTATCAAATTTGAATCACGGAAGTAATCCAGTTCGCTCCATATCTCACACATGGCAAGAGGATTGTATTGCCAGATGTGATTCAAGCAATCAACAAATTTAGCTTCACTGCTACCGCCCACCGGGCTCCCAAGACGCAATCCCTTGAGTATGTCTCCCACAAGAACACTTGCATCGTATGGAGAAGGCGGCTTAAGGTGATGGTATACTGCTGATGGGAAGGTGATGGACCAAGGGTCTTTGATACGTGTAACCAACAACACATGGTGCCCTCTAGCCATAACCTGATGGATTGCTGTAGCAAATTGAAGCATTTGATGATCGTCCCAAGGGTCGTCTGTCAGTGGCTCAACGCATGCATCAAGTTGATCGACAATGAGAAGGCGCGGCTTACTCCCTGCTGTCACCCCGAGGACATCGTTTTTTGCCATTTCTTCCACAATGACATCCAGATGCTCTTTCACTTGAGAGCGATAAAACCCTGTTTCAATCATCTCTGTTTCGAACCACCAGAAAGCGAGAAAGAGTGCGAATGTCGTCTTTCCGACTCCTGCACTCCCATGAAGAATCACTATCTTTCCATATGGCGGAGCTTCGTCATTTATTTCATTTGCTATTGGTTTAGTTAGTGCCCACTCCATATCCAGAACGGCAAACTCCCGGCCTGCAAGATTGGTTGATGGCTTTTGGAGGGCTTCAGTAGAGATGAAGGACCTGATTGCGTCTATATCAGCCGGAGTGTTCTTTACAGCATGAGAAGAATCATGCATCTCGTTCCACCTGGCAAATGGCCGATCGGCATTTGACATCCGGTACACAACGGGTAAGATAGAATCGCTAAGCTGTACTTTGAGGTTGTATCTTGCCAATCTCTCAGGTGAAGTCTGCAAGGCATCCCTGGCGGCCAATATTGCCTGAAAGAAGTCAGGCGCCGTACGGGAAAAGAGATTCAGGTAGAAAGCTCTGACAAGGCACTTGGCAGCTGTGCCAGTGAGTTTGTGAGACATGCCGACGGCCGTGTTTATACCAGCCTGAGTAAATGTGCGGACTAGGCAAGCCGCGGCAGGCCCATCGACTTTTGCTGATTCACAGGAGTTTAGCAAGACAAATTCGATCTTGCAGGAAGCCAGAAGACTTCCGACAACTGATGCCTGTTTTGCGTGTGCTTTTTCTCCGGTGGGATCGAGAAACAGTAGATACGAACGGTCCCGCAGGATTGCGCCGTGGACATCAAAATGCACTACATCGTACCAAGGACCCTGGCCTCCTCGTCGATGCCAGCCCTCAGTCTTCAATATCAAAAGCTCCTCAAAGGCCTTCCAGGTACCTGGTCTCGAAATTTCAACCCTGGGGTCGAGAGCAATCCCATGGTCAGTGCTTCTGGCTTGTGCCTCCTTGATGGAATCTGCCAAGGCCATTGAGCATATGAGGGGGTCCAAATCATCAATTCCTGACGGCCTAGCTACTACTAACAGGATATTGAAAGGTCTTTTCAGTCGTGGAGAGGAACTTGCTTCCTCGACTGGTATTTGCAGTTCCGCCGTCGTCTCTGTCTCAACTCTCATGACTATCAGACGCGGTAGGCAATTTGTTGCTGAGTGGCTAAGACGGTCGGAATACGCTAACTCAACGGCTTCCCAATGCATCGCCTGGAACTGGTTGGATCCATGTATCTCTAACCTTACCAGCATCCCACTGATCACGTTGGCTTTGATGAAAGTGAAGAGGCCGAGGCGATCGAGAAGCTGTCGCGCGTAGCGCTTAATCGCCTTTGCAATACGATCTGCTCTTGCTTGTTCATATGGATAGTCTGTGGCGAATGAAGAATATAGCCATTCTGCTTCATGCTTTCCCCAAAGTGTTCCCCCTTGGTCTGGTAGGTGAAATTCTGGTATGTATCGGAATTGATGAAAAGCCACGGCACAACTTCGCCCTAGAAGAGATAGACCAACCCCTATTTTCTTGGATGATTGGAAACTCATGGCAACAGCAAACGAACCATCATGGTTGTGATGTGCCTCTCTAATAATTATGCGATCCATCCTCGTGAAGTGTAAAGACTGAAGGTTGTACTGAGGTTCGAGAGTCACCATATATAACGATTGCGAGGATGATGCTATGGTCATGGTCCTCAAAGGCTTGAAACGCTTATTTGTGTTGAAAAATGACCTCGTGATTAGTGGCTGTTTGCACTAGCCATAGTTGTTTGCATTTCAAGCCATCAACGTGGATTGGCCAATCAGAGACGGCTGGCACGGCAAGAGCGGCATTGTCCGCAAGTCGAAAAATATGGTTTACGTAGCCCGAGGCGAACTCTTTGGTCAGACTATACCTCCGCACTAACGCGGAGATGTACATTTCCAAGACGTCATCACTTGCCCTTTGTATCCATTTGATATTGCTCTCTCAGGGGTGAAATTCTTCCGCATCATCTCATATATAAACAAAGCTCACAAGTCTTTGCGCTCTAAACTTCCATCACTTCACCATACATGATTATTGAGGACACCAACTCCAAGAGACCCAATGCCTTGGTTCAAAAAGGATCCCAACAGGCCTGCATTCGTGCTTCTAGAGTCTGCTGTTCCGTTCAAGTCTAAGGCGAGGTTTCTTCTGGGGTCAGTCGTAGCAGACATTCGAAACCCAACCGACGATTTTGAGCCGGATGGTAAAAGCGAAACTGCCTTCCGGGACTACACTCTCAATGCTCTCGACACGGATTACAGTGCCTTTTTGAAAGGTAACGATGCCCACAACCTATCGACAAAGGTTGGACACCTCGCTGGTGTCTCATCAGACAGCTCGAGTGAAATATCGACCAACATCGAGAGCTCTGTTGTACGGACCAAATCGCTGATGCAGCATTACAAAGTCTTCGAGCAATTGATTAGCTCTGAAGCCAAGTCTGACATAATCACCTTGATGAAAAGAAACGACAGAAAAGCCTTTTTAGTTGTTGGTCTCAAATCAGTGCTCGATGCCAGCCATGTTCAGAAGTTTAATACCGAAGAGAGTCTCAACGTCAATATCAAGGTACCAGTTGGAAAGGGGGCTGAGGCAGCGTCTCACGGAACAGTTCATCTCGGGGACACCGTCGATCCAGAAATCAATTATACAAACTCAAGCGGGCAGAAGGTTGAGATTGAAAGTACTATGACAGGAGAGCGCATCTTCGCCGTTAGATACCGATTGATCACATTGTCAAGAAATAAGCCCAACTACGGAGATGTCGTCAGGGTTAAGTTTGGTACAGGCGTGTTTGGCGACAAGAAGGAGACGGAGGTTGTTTTTGACGAGGGTGACGAGGAAGAGGCACAAGGTCGGGATCCTGTTGTAATCTCTAATGATACGGACGAGATATCCCTTTCACAACGCTATTTTGAAGATGACATCGAATTACTAGGGTTAGAAAATGAATTAGAGGTTGTGTATTAATTAGAACAGAATTCCAAGAACCCTTTGATAAATAAGCTATATAGAGATAATGCAAGCCCCATTCAAAGAACATAGTTCAATAATCCGCAGTAACTTTTCAAGACCGGGTCCAGGGAATGGCCGCTCCCCCGATATATGTCATTTATGACCTGCACTTCTGGACTAAGTGCAGATACTATATCTATTGCTTCTATATATATCTATGATATCTACAAGGTTGCTTTAATAAGGACGCGTCTAGAAAGCAATTAGTCTATATGTCTAACTTTGCCGTTGCTATATCTTTGCTTTTTATATAATTCTTCTATAAAAGAAGTAAAGTAAAGTTGCTGTTATTAACTTCCTAATCCTTAGGTGTATTGTTATTATTACGTCGTGGCTAGGCTTTACTTATATTCTTTTAGTAAGGTAATGACTTTATTAAATAGCTATATTCAGCCTTAGTTGATTGAACCAGTCTTTGCTATATACACATATTTATACTTTTAATAATAAAAATATTAGTGATATAATTATGTATTAAATTAGAGACCAGGCCTAAGTAGATATTATTACCCCTAAGATAGACACTCTGCTTAGGAGAAAGCTAAAAGATTATCCTTAGTACTATTTTCTTATTTATTTATATAGTAGCCCTCTAGCCGCTTTTTATAGATAATACTTTCTATATCTCTTCTAGAAGTTTCTTTAAAGGCTTGGTAGTGAGTCTTTCTACTACTCTTTATTTAAGTAATCTTGCTTACCCAACTTAGGCTATTGCATTCATCTATGCATGGGGTGCCCTTGTTATCATTCTTTTGCCCTTGTGGCGATCCAGATCCATTCTGCTTTTTTTCTATGCGTACATGCTTTGGATTTAAAACAATTTCTTCTCATGACGAAAGCACGGATCAGGATGGGATCAGCCAGGAGGATAAGCAGGAGCCAGCCGTGGAGTTAACTACTAAGTAGTCTGTTGTATTATATTGTTTACCAGGCCAACCTTTGTCTACAGGGTAAGTGGCTAAAACGGGCTTAGACCAGAAATGTGTTTTGCATGGGGCTGTACTATGTATCAAACCAATAGAGAGCGGTTCCGTTCCGCCACCTCCATTATATACACTGAGGCTGACCGCAAGGCATATTCTGTTATTTAGGCTGATGATTGCTGCCCGACCTCCCAGATACAACCTAAAGAGAATGATATCTTTTCTTTGCTGTGAATTGACTTTCTCGCGATCTGACAAGAACTGAACCCTATACCACCCAACCTAAATTTCATTTTCATACTAGGTAATATGACCAAGATGTCTGATACAAGAAACGTATCTGAGCAACATGAAATCCACGCAACTTCGCAGAGTGAACTTCCAGACTCCAGAAAAAAGGACATATCGCCACCACAATTGCTATCCAGGTCTTCGTCTCTTCAGCCTCCTCCTGGGGGTAATCGACCCCTTCTTCCACCCACAGGTAACACCCTGGGATCTCCTTGTTCAAATCCTGATGCAACAAGTCGTCGCCATGTCAGAAAGTTCAGTCGATATATAGAGGCTCGCAATACCGTATCTGTATCGCAGCCTCAACCATTGTCGGTCTCGGCTGAACGCCCGAATAAGCGTCTGCGCCACCGTTCGTCAAGTCCCCAGCCAAGGGCCTTGGGGGACACAACCTTCCAGTACCACAGTTTAAACTCACAGAAACATGAGATCCGTCTTCTTCGGATCTTGTCGGACGTTTCAACCAAGATCCGTTGCCAAATCTTTCACACTTCGCTGGACATGATACAGGATTACATCGCGATTTCCTATTCATGGGGTGATCCCCTTGAAACAAGAGTCATTGAGCTGGATGGCCACCAGTTTCCTGTCACAACGAGTCTATGGCATGCCTTGTCCAGAATCAGATCTATATCCACTTCTGTGATTGTATGGGCAGATGCAATATGTATCAACCAGCTCGACGATGAAGAGAGAAGCTATCAAGTTGGTCTTATGACTTCAATATACAAAAAGGCCTCCATGGTCGCCCTTTGGTTGGGACCGGAAGCCAACGACAGCTACGCTGCAACTGAGCTGCTCTGTGAACTGGCAGAGTGTAATAACTCGCGAACGGCGCTAGCTGCCCTGATAAACAACCGCAAACACAAGCGTGATTGGCAAGCTCTGGTGGACTTGTTCGAGAGGGACTATTGGCGAAGACTCTGGGTGGTGCAGGAGATCTTCAATGCGCGTCAGGTGACCGTCTTCTGCGGAAACTCTGCTCATTCGTGGGACATCTACCTCCAGGCGTCTAAGCTTCTCAGAGCTTGCAAGGTGGACCTTATGAGAGCTTTCCATCTGGAAAAAGGACGCCAGGCCTTGTCTTTGCGATCGGTCACATACGTGGACTGTTTGGTGGGTTTCGGGCCGAGCACTCTTCAGTCATTGCATTCGTTGCATAATGCTGGAAGCGCAGATCTTTTCAGCTGCCTCTTGCTGTGTGCCGACAAACTCTGTCGTGACCCACGAGATAAGCTGTATGCTCTCCTGGGTATACTCCCAGAGAAAGACCAGACCCAATTTCAAGTCAACTACAAGCTGGATCCACGGCACGTATATACGGATATTGTTGACTATCTGATTGCAAAAACTGGCAGCCTCGATGTCATCTGCTGTGCCTCTAATCCTATTCTGACTGATAACATCCACATCCTTCCCTCGTGGGTTCCAGATTGGTCAAACGGCTCTAGCTGGCGAAAGCCTCTTGCCTGGAACTTCAATAGGCGTTTCAACGCCTCTAAAGACACCAAATCTTCGACATATCTCTCCAGTCGGAGAAGAAAGCTGTCTATCACGGGCATCGTCCTCGGCACAGCCGACTACGTCGGTATTGGGCTGGAGCATGCCCCAAGTACCAGCGCTTACCTCATGGCCTTCCTGCAATGGTATTGGGTGTTTACAAGCTACAAAAGCCCATTGAGTGACGACGATCACGAATCCTTTTGCAGAACCTTGTCTCTGAACCAATTTAGGTATCCAAGCTCTACATCAGTCGATGTCATTGGGCGAACCTACCAAGTCTTTACCCGATTTCTAGCCCAGCGTTACCAAACGTGGAAACCAGATGAGATATTGCAGCGATACACCCAGGCGACCCCAGAAATGTCGATTGATGAAATGTCCCAGGCATTGGAAAACTACTTCAAGCCAGCGATGAAAGGTCGCAAATTTGTTATCACCACTACGGGTCTCTTCTGTCTTGCCTCGGATAATACAAATGCTAACGATATTATATGCATTGCTTTAGGATGTTCTATTCCTATCATACTTCGGCAGTTTGGGGAGGAGTTTAAAATAGTTGGTGATAGTTTTGTGGATAGATATATGTATGGACAGGCGCTAGATGAAGAAAGAACTGGGACAAGAGAAAGGAAGGAGTTTATTCTTATTTAGCTATTCAATTATTACTTTTAAGTTTATTTTTTAACTAAAATACTAAAGTTATAAAATATCTATTTAGCTATGTTATTATTGAGATACCCTGGAATGATCCTGTCCGTAATTTATATAATCCTTTATCTCTTTACTATTACGTAGTCTTCTTAAAATTGTAGATCCAGCCAGTTAAAGAATAGTGGCTCGGGAATACTTAAAGTACCGATAAGCTTACTTGTTTACTGATAAGCTTACTTGTTGTTTTGTACCCCCGAAGCATTAGTGTCTATTTGGTTAGAGCCCAATCCTGTGAACTCCACCTTGCTTATCTCCAAACCTTCTCAACGGCCAGATAACTGAATAGTTGCCTGCCCATTAGGTCAATTAAAACGCGCTCCGAGTCTATAATTGCGAAATGTGGTGCGTCACTTGACGCCATTTCTGTTCTCCGTGGTCTTTTAGCAATAGTTCCTCTGTTGAACCTCGTTGAAGTGCGACCTTCCGTTCTAGGGTGCATCGGACATAGACCGTTTAGGAAGCTGTGCCAAGTCTGATCGCAAAGGCCCGGTCCTGGACCCATGGCGCAATATATCCCGTCAATAAGTCGGTTTGCCAAGAAATGGAAACGGCGCCTAGGAGCCGTTTTACCATAGTCTTCGTGTGTCTATAAATCGTAGCCAGTAGTCCTCGAATCTATCTTCTCGATATCAACTCCATCATCACTTCTCCAGTTACCTCTCTCTTCGTTCACGATGGCTAGCTTGCTTCGTCTCGCTCTCTACCTGGGAGCTTTCCTGCCTGCTGCTCTTGCTGCTCCCACCGCACCAAGCAAGCGTTCAGAGGAGATCCCCGGAAAATACATTGTCACCCTCAAGTCCTCTGCTTCTAGTGCAAAGGTCGAGTCTCACCTTCAGTGGGTTGGGGATGTTCATCGCCGCAGCCTTTCTAAGCGTGAGACTGCTGGTATCGAGCATACCTTCAACATCAAGAACTGGAACGCCTATGCTGGACAGTTCGATGAGGACACTATCAAGGAAATTGAGGCCAGCCCTGAGGTAAGCTTCAGTGCTCAAACCTAAAGACTCCTGCTTACAAGAAACAAGGTTGCCTTCGTCGAACCTGATAAGATCGTTAAGCTCAACTTCGAGCAGTCCAGCGAACTGTCTGGCAGGGCCCTGACTACCCAATCGGGAGCTCCCTGGGGTCTTGGAACGATCTCCCACCGTACCTCCGGCTCTACCAGCTACATCTATGATACTTCTGCTGGCGAGGGCTCCTATGCTTATGTTGTTGACAGCGGTGTTTTGATTTCTCACTCGCAGTTCGGTGGCCGCGCCGTTGCAGGATATAGCATCTTTTCTGGAGCCAACACTGATACTCTTGGACACGGTACTCATGTTGCTGGCACTATCGCCGGCTCTACCTATGGTGTTGCTAAGAAGGTCAGTACACGCGGCTCTGTATTGAGAAGACCCTGCTAACGTCGATAGGCGAACATTGTTTCCGTCAAGGTGTTCCAGGGAGCAGAGGGAACCGATTCTGGTGTTCTCGCTGGTTTCAACTGGGCTGTCAACGATATCACCTCAAAGGGCCGCGCCGGCAAGGCCGTTATTAACCTTTCTCTCGGTATGATGCATCTGCACGTGTCTTACCGTTCTTCCACTAACGGCTAGTTTAGGTGGTGACGCATCCCAGGCTTGGGTAACTGCTATTGACGCTGCGTACAACTCTGGAGTCCTCTCTGTTGTCGCTGCCGGAAATGGTGACGAGGATGGAAACCCTCTGCCTGTGTCCAGTCAATCCCCTGCCAATGCAGCCAACGCCATCACTGTTGCTGCTCTCACCTCTGCCTGGAGACCTACTTCATTCACTAACTACGGTATGCTGATCTCTTTCCTCTCCAAAAACTGGAAGTGACTGACTAACTATTAAAAGGCGCTGGTGTCGATATCTTTGCTCCCGGTCAAAGCATTCTTTCCGCGTGGATTGGTTCAAATAGCGCCACTAACTCTATTAGTGGTACTTCGATGGCTTCCCCCCACGTTGCTGGTCTTGCCCTTTACCTTAAGGTTCTTGAAGGTCTTACTACACCTGCTTCTGTCGCAAGCCGAATCAAGGCCCTTGGAACCACCGGAAAGATCACTGGCACCCTCTCTGGCAGTCCTAATCTGATTGCCTATAATGGAAATGGCGCTTAAATATGAGAGAGTAGGATAAACTGGTGTAGTTTTAGCGAGACTTTGTTCTTGTTCTAACAACGCCGGGGAATATCTATAGAGTTACATGTTTATATGGCTATATATTATGTCATAGATCTCTATTATACTCATTATTCATACGGATCTGGTTGCACACCCCTTCGTAATTGAGTCCAAGACATGTATCGAAGGACTAAGCAGCTGCCTCTACAACAGCATCATCAATATAGAAGCTCAGACGCTCACAAACACCTCTGACAGCCACACTTATCCCAGAGTCCAACCGAGCCTGACTCCACGAGCACGTCACTGTTGCCAGCACCCATTCATTCAAGGGTCCCTGAATATTGGCTGAATTGAAGTATGCAGTTTGTGATCCAGTCCCAGAATCACATGTCACCATTCGGGTAAAGCAACTGCCCGCAACCGTCGTTTTGACATAGACAGAGAACGTATACGGCTTTTCAGCCTCAAATAATGAGGAATCAAGACGTTGTCTGAAGCCAATATCTGCAGGACCTCCTGGGGCGCCACTGATGAATCCAGACTGACTGCCTCCAAGGGCCTCTGACGTAGAAATAGTGGGATCTCCGAAAGCAACGGATCGTTCCCAGGGCGCGACAGTGCCGTCTTCAAAACCAGGGTTGCGGAGCAAGTTGCTCGGCTGCTGGGGAAGATCCGATGTCGTAGTTGAAGGCTCCGCTGAAGTGGTAGAGATGGAGAGCAAGCCAGACGTGGTAGTCGCTTCAAAGGCAAGCGTCGACTCGGTGGTAAAGGCTGGAGGCTCGCTGAGAGATTCCGTGGCAGTAGCACTCTCGGGAATAGTCGATAGTTGCGTGGTGGAAAGCGAAGGGTCTTCGGTACTCTTAGTCGAAGCGGAAGGCTTGCAAGGAGACGCAAAGGTCGTCGAGCATAAAGCTAGGAGCTGGAGGGTTGGGTGTATAAACCTCATGATGCTGGTGGCGTTTGGAGAGCAACTTTTTGAAGGAATGTGGCAGCCATAAACTAGTCTCCCAACTCGACGAACATAAACGAGCGTAAGAATGAAGGTTGAGAGGAGATAAATAGAGGTAGTAAAGCAAGAAGGGCCAGCGAGAATAATTTTAACCATGAAGACCCAGACTGAATTATGATGAGTATATCTAGAATAGGTCTAGCGTCACAGGCTATTGACTTGGCCGTGGAACTATCGAATGTGGCGTTGGTCACGACGAATGGTCTCACTGTATTCTTAACCTTGGTGGGGATACGGAAATTACGTTGTCGCGAAAAGAATTGCCCGTTATGGTATCCTACTCTTGAGTCGTTCCCCTGACACACTTTTTTGGCTATCAACACGCCTTTATAAGGTGGAATACCACGACGATGAATTAGCAAGCCATAACCGTCTCGAGCTTGATTTAAACCGCCACCAACTGATTTGACAAGCAGCATACTTCCATTTATGTCCTTCTATAATAAAGGAATACTATGGTTCTATTATAAAGTGAATAGACAACTTAGTTATTCCAAGGTAAGAGTATTTATGATAAGAATGCTTATTCATATGAAATAAGCTAAAAGCGAGAATTGGTCCTTTTATTCTGGGTCTAATTTCTAAAGACCCTCTACAGTAACCTTGAGGAAAGTTTCATCCTTTTCAAGCTTCTCACGCAAGGGTTCACTCTTGAGCTCCTCTACATCACACGCAGCCCAGGCGAAGCGGCCATGGAGGAAAGCGGCCTCGGGGAAAGAAGCCCAAACAGCAAAGGAGCCTGGAAGATCCTCTGGTACTATCATTAGCAAATGCATATAATGATACTTTCCCCTTGTTTATATTAATAGTGCACTGATGTTTGGCTAATCCGTTGAGTCTGTCACGTGCTATATCCCGTGACCCAATTGACCCTCTTTACGCCGCCGACGCCGATGTCACGACTTCAGGTCTTTGACTTTAGGCAACTGAACTTACATAAAACTTAATATATTTTCTTCCCAAACCCCACGATTACCCGTCTTCTATCCATATTGCGGCATGCCGTCCCCCTCGTCTTCGCGCTGTGGTTTAAGACCATAATTAGCCTGGTCTATATATCACAGGTCGCCGATCTCCTTTAACGAAAGCAGTACCTCTATTGCCTACTTCCTGATATCATAGAGCCACTTATTATATAAGCCGCTATAAAGTTTCTTTAGGAACTTATTCTGCCTCCTCTATAGGTGGCCTCTATTTAATACCTATCTAAGAATCTTAAGGCTCTCTATCTTAGTATTAAGGAAGGCCTTGCTAATCCGAGGGATATAAAGATATAGCTATATAAGCCAGAGGACCTTATAGCCAAAGAGGGCTAGCCTAATATAGCTAATATTATTTTTAATTATCTAGGCTACTTTGATTTTAGCAGCTATTATATAAAGCTTATTATAATTACTCTGCTTAGCGCTTAAGAGAGCTCTTTTAATTATTTAAATTATATTATAGTCTTCTGTTAAGTAGGGCTTATTAGGCCTAGGTAGCCGCAGGCTTCTTCGGATAATAGGCATTGCAATAAGGCAGCTGTGATGCTATTAGTGGTTGCGATCAGAAGAGAGGAAGTCGGATCGGATCACTTACTGCGCAGTGGATAATTCAAGCGTGGTATCTGCAGGGGTCGGCGAAAGACCTTTAAAGTAGGTTACAGGAAGAAGATTAGGGCCAGCTGAAGAGCAAGTAAGGCTCTCCAGCTAGGTTATATGCAGCTAGGTTTAGGCTGCAATTAAGGCAGCTAACTATAATAATATTGACTTAATAAAGCTTTGCCTGCTGAGGGGTAATGAATGTTTAAATTATGTTAGACTTTGGAGATGCTTAGATATACCTTTCGAGGCTGACTTGCAAACATAAAAAAAATAATAATACTTTCTCTAGCAGACCGCAGTGTTAGCTTACCGTGGTCCCAGCTTGCCGAGTCTGCAGCCAAACCGAGTTCCCGAATTCGAATGCCTAGAATAGAGCCAGGGTGAAAGTTGATGATCTGTGTCTTTGATGGGTCTGTCTCATCTGCTATCTTTTGTAGCAACAGGGCAGCGGAGTTCTTGGTAAGAGTATAGACTCCTGCGTCAACACCGGCAGTGTAGTGGTGTCTGGCAGAGGAAGAAATATTGATGATATAGCGCTGTAACCCTTCTGTCAGCACGTCAAGTCCTTGTAGAGGCTGAAACTTACAGTTCTGGCTCCGATCCTAGGCTGCTTTTCAAACAGATTATGGAACTGGTGTATGGAGCGAACGTTGACTATAAGCTGTTCCCAGATATCCTCCCAAGTCTGGTCTGTGATTTTTCCTTGACCAATACAAGCGGCGCTTAGCACCAGGACGTCGACATAGGTGTTTTCTTTCGAAAGACCGTCGAAGAGGGCACTAATGCTAGAAGGTTCAGCAATTTGACACACACGACCCTCGTACTTTGTCTGACTCTTGGCGTCAATGGCCTTGACCTCACCGATGAGACCTTTGACAGCAGACTTGAGCCTTTCCTCAGACCTGCCAGTGATAATAACCTTGTTGGCACCAGCAACACCGAAGCTCCTCGCGATGGCGTAGACAATGCCTCCCGTGCCTCCGGTGAGCAGGACTTTTTTACCATCCCGGGACAATTCGGGACAGGTTGGAAGGATTGCCTCATAAGCGCGAGTATGGGTGCGCTCTGTTAAGGAAACGGCCTTGAACCCAATGGTTACGTCGAAGTGAGTTAGGCCTTTAAAGATATTTTAATGAAAGATTTAAACGGAGGCTTTTCACTTATTGCAAGCAGCCTTAACCATTCTTGTAGTAAACGGTGGCAACATAGCCTCATATGTCTAAGGCATCAATGGTCAGCATTTATAACTTCGTGACCCTATCCTGCGGGTAGTATCTTCTGTATTATAGATCAAGTCGAAAAGTAAAGGCATAGTCCCTTGATGCTGGCCAGTAATTGAACTTGGTGCTGTGGATATATAACCGCATACGTGGAGATGTCGAAAGCATTCTCTGCAATGACAGGCTATATATTATATGTTGGCTCCGCGGACTTAGAACTTAAGAATACGAGTATAGACAAGCAAAACTAAAGACCCCTGCATCCAGTAGGCCTACAGAACTTAGCACTTGAAATAGTAGTAGAAGGCTGAGGCGGATCTTAAAATGAACTTTCCGTATCGTATGTCAGCGGGGACCATTCGTCTGTTCTTTCCGTGGTGTAGCAATATCTACGTCAAGAACATTTATCAGCGGTCAGTTCAATAGAGCTGAGCTCTGTTGGTAAAAAGAATAAAATTTTACACGCTTTTTATAAGTTACCATAAACCAAACACGGTCTAGCTAAGAAGTCCAGTATCGCTGTAGTTACAGAGCAACCGGCCCTTAATTGTGACTAAGGTGATGCAGCTTTCCTCCTGGAGAACCTCGAAAGTCAACTTAAAGAGCTTGATCTCAATGCTGTTAGAACTTGGATGCAAAGGTGCGAGTAACAACATCCGCAATGCCGGCCACACTCGAGAAAAAATCAGTATTCTTCCTGAAGGTGATCACTGTGGACCCTATCGAATATTTTACTGTGTGGGGCAACAGTAATAACATCGCCAAGACAACTAGGAGCAATATTAAAGAACACCACAAGTATGTAAATATCTTCAAATTGCTTAAAACCACTAGAAACGCGCTCTGCCAGAGGAGCGACCTCAAACCGATATATTTCCTGAGATATTCCTGCTTTTTGGCAGAGTACGGCTCGGCTCCACACATGTACTGGGTTTCCCTTCTCCACACGGAACTCATTATAATGGGTTCGGGGTATAATACCCCCGGATTTTGCTACTCCTGTTTTAGAAGGCTTGTAAGATTGTCATTTTGTATGCAACCGATCTCCAAGTCTCACTGTAACCAACGTCAATATGATAGCTCTCCTTTTCCAATAACTGCCAGCAGTATTTGCTCTGACGATTAGCTACAGAGCGGCAATCCTTCTATACAACATCTTCTGTTCTCCTCTTGAAAACATCCCTGGCCCAATACTTACAAGGCTCACTGATCTGTGGTATGTAAACAGAATTCGGAAAGGTCACTTTGAGCGCGACAACATCGCCAAGCTTGCTTGATGTCTTCCTTCTGGCTCAAATCACAGCCAACATAACTTTCAAACGAAATGGATGCGTAAGGAGAGTTGTGATTATGAAGGTTTTGCCCTTCTTTTGCAGAGGACCCATGACCTTGATATCTCTGGACAGATCACCTTCGTTGGTGCCGCGCACTTCGGGCCAGGCTGACTCCCAGACACTGACGCCATCGATGAGGTCTCCCCAATAGCCCCACCAAGCGGGATGACTCTCCCAAAATCCAGGTTTATCATCAATGCCAGGTCTTGACATACTCAAAGGGCTCATACCAGCCATTGCAGCGTCGCAATGAAAGCTTCTAGCATATAAGATAAATCATTCACAGTAAGCATAGTATTCCAGAATTCAGATGAGACTCCATTCAGGCTGCTGACTATCATTGCTGTCGATTGAAGATTCTAGGGCATTCTTAATATCACCTTTTTGAAGGATTTATATGACGGAATAGTTTAGCCATCGGCAGTCGGATCATACGCTGTGAATGTGATCCCGATGCTGGCTAATTCCAATTGACGTAGGTCCTTCGATCGGCATTGCCGGATGCAACCTTAATTAAATGGTAATTTTTAATCACTCAAAGATGAATGCAATAGAAAATAATTTTGTCATAAAATATCTACCAATACTTACTAAGTATTTGCTTTCCATGTCTTATTTTGCCGTGTCTACCAGGTGAAGGATTCTTCAACATAGCGAACAACAACACCATGTCTCGCCAACGCAGCGCAGACATACCGAGCTTCATCACACATTGCATGTGGACCACAAACGACAACCGTAGTTCCACCAATGGCGTTCTCCAATTCCGTCGTCAAAACTCTCTTTATGTCCATGCGCTCACCAACCGAGACATGGGTCTCGATATGGCCCCAGTGGGAGGATTCACCACCTTCTTTTTCCTCAGCGGCATCTCCACCTACAATCATACTCTTGACAACATTGACAAGGCCCTTACTTTTGATTCCCCAGTACAGCTTAGTGGTTCCCAGGGGCTTGGCGTACATTGACAGGGAGGCCTGGAGGGATGACAGGACGCCAGCAATGCCGACACCACCGGAAATTACAAGGGTATTCGGGTATTCGGTGTTGGGCTCGAATCGAGTTGTGTCTTCGTGGCCATAAGAAGACTCGATGAGAACGGGGATGGCGATGCCAGTGTCGGCTTTCTTTGCGAGCTTGGCGGTCATACCACGAAGGTTCTGAACGAACAGCGTGATGCCGGGCTTGGTAGTGTTACTGTGAACTCTGAGTTGGCGGATGTTGGACACAGGGCGGCCCATCTCCTTGGAAGCTGATGCTTCAGTTGGTGAGATTGCGCCCTCATTTTCAGACTGTGTGTGCGAAGCCGAGCTTGGGATTATGGACTCTCCATCAAGCTGACCTTTGCTGCAATTGACGATTGAGAAAGGATGATTCTCCCATACTCGCCAAGAGAGCGTGGGAAAGTAAGCGAAACAATGACCCTGAGCATCAACATCGGGGATGTCAACTCGCAGATACTTATCGTCAATGCGAGTGACGTAGGCTTTCTTGATGCCATATCTAGAGATACGTAGAATGCGAAGGACTCTCTCAAGACCCCAAAAAGCAAAGGCGATTATGAGCCAGATCTCGAAGCCGCTCGTGTCTTCGTAGAGGAAAACAATGTGATACCAAGAAGCGACCAGAGCACCGATGGTCAAGAGGATGTGCGTGATGAGAAAGACCTCATATAGTATCTTTCGGATGGGAAGCATGGAGAAAGGAATCAAGGCAGAGAAGAAGACGGTTCCAACAACACCGACATACCAGTAGGGATATGTTAGAACGAGGGGATATGAGTCTTGCTCAATCATGATTCGAAGCCAGAGTAGTGAGTGAAGAGCGACTTGGACGACACAGATTGTGGCAGTCCAGCGATGGAGAAGAAGAAAGGTTGAGTAAGACCAATTAGTGAGTCGAAGAAGCACGCTGCTACGACCTGCATAGAGAATGACAATGGGGATATTGGCGAATGCAATTGAACCAGCACGGTTACCGATATGACGCATCAGTTCATAGTGACGGTCAGGAAAGATGCCATTAGGAGTGTAATTGGGGTATCCTTCAAACGTGGCCAGACAATTGATGCCGATGAGGTAGAGAATGAAGAGAGCTTGGCCTCGAGTAGGTACCATGCCAATTCCCAGTGTAGCCACGCTGTGCTGCTTGCCCCAAGCTGAAGGGTCGATAAGATAGCCGTACACCTTGCTTCTAAAAGATGCTGGGAGGGGAAGGAAGCGGAGGAGGGAGAAGCCAATCGGCACCATGACACACGTCATGAAGGCGAGGATACTTTGAAAGATTAGCTTTGTTTGCATTATAGAGAATATTCGCTTACGAGTACATGGACTCATTCTTGGCCACGGCTTTGTATCCCCTGACACCGTTCATATAACTCTGAAAGGTAGCTACATCGATAGAAATGGTGCGGTTGAAAACTGTCTCTTCAGGCGACATTGGCTTTGGTACACTCGTAGTGTTAACCTGAGCCAGAGCTTCAGGGTAAGACCATCGAATCGACTTGGACTCGTAAATCATTAGGGTCTCCCAAAAGTTCTCAACCTTGTAGATCTTGACGTCCTTTGGGCAATAAGAGTGAATACAGTAGGCCATAGAGGTCAAGTACGAAACGTCGTTGGAGAAGCATTCTGCCGATGGATATGCCTCTGCCTTCTCCTCTGCCGTCATGCCCGCATACTCTGGACAGTCGAGAGTGCGAGGCATTGCGTATGAACACGCTTGGGCACATGGTACCGGGTAAGAGTCCCTGCCATAGCCCTCAAGAGGAACTGTGGCTGATGTGCAGGGGAGGAGAGAAAGTGCTGACAGCACGATTGCTAATGCTGGCATTGTAGTGGAAGACCACATGGTGGCTGATGCCCAAGACTAAAAGATCAGATAATTAAATGATGAGGATCCTGGGGGCTTGGGAGACAGGAAGAGCTCGGCAGTTGATCTTTAAGTAACATCGCGAGCCCAAGATGGATAAAATACCTCTTATTCCATAAACGGTGATTCTTAACAAAAGATCCCTCAGAAGAATCCATGGCTGCATTCTAGGTCCGTGATCGCCGGATATCGTTCGTTTTGGACAGCGGCTATTGGTTTAGTGTTAGGAGAGAGAAACCTGGGTCATGGGTTTTGTGGCTTGTTGATTAGCATCAGCTTTTGGGGACTGGAAGGGATGGGCCATGTTGAGGAGATGCTAGGGACCCGTTTTGTTGAATGCAGACTTTCCCAGGGTCGGAGGGTGGCCGAGAGTTTGCGCTTGGTTAGTGCGGTCTCGTATTTGGGGGCATGGCTCCAGTCAACTGTCTTAACGAGTTCAAGTCAATATCCTCACTAAATTGCTATAGACAATACTATGATTTGGTCTCTTTCAGTCCCATATTGAATCTTGGTAACAACAAGTGCCCGTCTTGGCAACGTGCCGATATCTCATCTCTTGGCGATATCACTTCTTGGCACCCAAGTCCAAGGAACCATCAGCCCTCCAAGGAATTCAACCCCCATGTCACCATTGGTCACAGTGAGACATGGAATTCCAGAACCCTTAATTCCGCCCACTGAGAGTGACACAGTGACGCAGCGGAATTCTGCATGCAACCAGGCAAACTTTTCGTTTAGCTGTGCCGAACTGCCGCAGCCACTGATCAGATAAAGAGAGCTATCCCACGTGTTCTAGGCCCAAAATGGGAATTTGGACGGATCGCGCGGGGTCCTGGCTGATTGATAAGATGGATCTGATTGATAAAGGGGACTAGGGCAGGACTAGCATGTGATGGACTGTGGGACAAGGGCTTGGCGGAGATCCCCGTTGACGAGTGTAACGAGAGCTTTTTATCTCTAATTTTAGGTAATAGTCTGCGTGATTACCAGCCACAGTTTGTGTTTCTTGGTTCTTGTTACGATGGTGATTGCAGATCATCTCTGAGACATAGGATCTATTCTATTCAGCATGATATCTTTAGACTTCAACTCACTGCGGAAGTTGTCATGAGGTAATATTGCTGAAACAACTCGGCCGCCTCGGCTAATAACACCTGATATCTCTCCACTACAGCAACAGCTAGCTCAATTAGGCTTGCATCGGGACTCCTCGACGCCGTACGAGATTTTCATCGGCATTTTCGTGACTAACAGCGATCTAACTTCCTCGCCTGTCCCAGATCCCTACCATTTCGGCTCGCATAGCCGTTTCATTCACGTGGGGGAACATTCTGGACCATGGTAGATGAGGTAAAATAATAACTCTCGCAGTATGCATAACTCTTGCTCACCCTGTCACATGCTCCAACCTAACCGAATATCGTCAAGTTTGTGTTTAGTGGCTTTTTGTCACGCCAGAGGCTGCTGTAGTTAATTGATCTATGTGCCGAGTTCCGAGATAATGAATAAGGTTATCAGATCATTTACGCCCTACTCGACAGACGATGCCCAAATAATGACAGCTTCGACGCTGATCATTCGGACCCTCGGGATGTTTACTGGATGCCGTGCTCGTGGTTCACGTCCATTAGATGGCGTTGCGGAACATGAGAGGTTGGAGATAATTTAATTCTCGCGCTAGAATCGCTTCCATGCGGTATCGGCCATCATAGTAGCTCTCCACTTCCGTGGCAACCCATGATCAGGGCCTTGAGAACCAACAGCCGATTTTCTTCGCCAATCCGGTACCTTGGAGCTACGTTTAATGGTAATAATTGATAATACACATGGCCTGAGAACAAAACTCCAATCAATGAGTTTCAAGCCCATCGACCGTGAGATCAAAACCTGCTGCCCGAAGTCGGTCCACAAATGTGTAACCCAACGTTGATGGCGTCAATAGTCCTGCACCAGTAGCCTCAGACTTGTTCATCTGATTAATTGTCGCTGCAGCCTCCACGGCTAAAACTACCGCCATGTCAACCAGTGCTCCCTTGTAGCTGAACTTTGCAAACGCCACTGGCTCTTCCTTGCCAGTCACGTAACCAACTGCTTTCCATTCCGCGCTCTCGATCTTGCGGCTTCCGTCTCTGTCGGGTCCAGATCCTCGATCGAATGACTTGCCACGGACGAAGGATCTGAACCAGGGCACTGCAAGCAAGAAAATACCCAGTTTTGTGACGATGTGCATGAGTAGTGCAGATATGAGGCCAGTGGCTGGGCTGTGTTCTTTGTAGACGAAGTTTTGTCCGTAAATCTTCGGTTTCAAGGCTGCTGATCGTTGGACGACGGACTCATTCCCCTACGCGACAAAAGATGTTGCCAGATGCTCAAGATGTTGGTCATAATGATGACCCATCAGTCCCTTGTTCTTCTTGACCACATGTTTGGGATCTGGCAACAAGACCGAGGTGTCAGAAGTCAACCAACCACCGATCCCATAAGTCTCGGCCACGTCAAGAACAGTATGTAGGGAACCACCTTGCGTCCTAAGCATGCTGAGCTTTCCAGAGCTCACGATTTCAGATGCTGCATGTAGGCCTTGCTTTCGAAGATAACCTGCGATCAGCCACGCCACGAGATCAGATGGAGCACTTGAACCCGAGATAGCCGGGATGATAATTACACCTGAGCTTTTGGCCATCTCGTGAAAATCACGAATCATCTGAGCGATCCATGCAGTCTCGGTGCTAAAGTCGACATAATGGGTGCCGTTACGGGCACATGCTTGAACTATGGGAGACCCATAGCGATGATATGGTCCGATGCCGTTGATCAGAACTTGGTGTTTTTGACAAGGGGATCGAGACCTTCACCGTCGAGTTGAGGGATAACATAAGTGTCCGGTTCCAATCGATCGGGATTGATGGCTCGTAAGTCTTGGCGCAGAGCTTCAAGCTTTGCGGCTGAACGACCTGCAATGCACCACCTCGTATTCGTTGGGAAGGTCTTGGCAATGTGCTTTGCGCAGATTGTGGCGGTCCACCCTGTGGCACCAGGATGGTTATCTCATGGGAACGAGTGCTCATTGTGTTTTGATGGATACTGGTGATCGATCACCCGCTGACATTTGAGGTGTCTGTTGATTATATACCTGGTTTTCGACTATTCTTCCTTTCTGTTAACGTCTGGGTGCCTTTCATTGTGACAATTGCTCATTTTGCAAATACATATTGAGCCCTTGGACCCTTCCCCATTTATTGCACAACTCTACCCTGTTTGAGAAGCGAATGGTAGAGCATGTTTGAATTCGGACGAAAGACGGACGAACCCGAACCGAGTAAGCGTTGCGCACCATGTATTAGACAAATTTCTCACGGCAATAATTTGGTCAACGTACTGGTATGTCTATTTATATACGAGATATTGAGAGTTAGTTGGCATGCTGCCTGAGGCGTGGCTCTGTTATTGATATTTGGAATTAGCATATATGCGCGATATACCTCGAATCCCCAGTCTAGTATATGGTAAATGTACACTGTTTGTCTGCCGATCTATAATTTCTACCAACGATTGACTATATGGGTGGAAATTACCTCTATATCTACTGTACTTAGTTTTGTATGCAGGTCTGATATATAAAATACAAACCAGGTATAGCATTTGCAACACGCTTTTAAATTTGGATACCAAAGATCAATAAACACTTAAAAAACAGATTCTACACGATAGAGCCAGCTCTAGTACACGCAAACAGACAAGATACTAACAACCAGGTACAACAGTAGCCAAATCAAGACCAGTATCCGAATACTTCTCAACTTCTGCTTCCACTTGATCCGGCACGCTGCTGGCTTGCCCAGAGCGTGCGTCCATCCTTTCCAACGTGATAATAATCTCCGTACTTGGAGCTAAATGTCCAATAACCGTCGCTGGAGGTCTGCCCATCAACAGTCTGGCTGCTTGACGAAGATCTAGCCTGGCTAGATTGATTTGAAGACTGGCCATAGGTGCGGCCAACTGAACGGCTAGAGCCCGGTTGCGCAGTGTTGACAACAGATCCCTCTGACACGAGGACACCATGGCTCTGGAGCATGGCGATAGTCTCGGCTGTCCATTCTTGGCATCGCCTCAAAGGCTGACGAGGATTGATCTTCTTGCTTCCGTTGAATTGCTTGGCGGGAGGTGGATTGGATTGGCAGATCTGTTTGAAGAACTGACGGTCCGAACTAGAGATGAAACCCAAGTAATGGTGGCCAACATATGAACCGGAATCTTGAGGTTTCTTGGCAATTTTGTGTTCAAAATGCATGCCCTTTTGAACATTGCCCGCAACGTGGTAGAGCTCGCCTTCTTCGGTGTCTTCATCTAGACGAATAAACAGAGCATGGTGATTTCGGGGAAGTCCGAGATACTCAACAAGATAAACAGGAAGAGTCATCTTAATAAAAAGCTTATAATATGAGGATGGAATAATGAGCGATAAAAGGGGGTTCAGATGATATTGAATAATACTAAAGCTAAACATCTTCATCACTGGAAAACTATGGCTTCTTATAGAAACTGGCATTCACAATTCGTCGCGTCCGATCCTGCTGTACTAATCTGCAAGCCCGAGCTGATCCTGAAATAGAAAAGATGTTGGTGATGTATTGATACATGAAACAGATGTTGGTTGCAACGAAAGTTAAATCAGCGGTTACCAACAGGTGGTCTACCGAAGATCCATGTGTAAGTACGAATAATAATACAACCAACAACACAGAATATGACCAGGTGCGTAGTTGTTAGATGACAACGAATAAATTCCTCTGCTGTTGGTCCCCCCTCGACTAAAGCTACATGACCTTAAACCCTGTATAAATAAAAACAAGTTATGTTGTGAAATGAGTCAATTGCGTTAACTTGAATCTTCACAGACAGATACACATGGAGCTCGTATGAAAATTCTTTAACTATCGCATCATCAAGGTGTTATACAACCTAGAAGCCTAAATAGCCTCTTTTCTAGACCTTCAACTTTGCTCCCAGGTTGAATGGCATATGCACAGCGGACTCATATGGAATGAACTTGCAGGGTGGCGAAGTCTTGGGGCCCTTGGCCGACAACCAACACATCCTAGCCCCGGCCCATGATAAGTACTCCCAAGCGCTTAGATTGAGACCAATAACTTGATGGTATCGGTTTCGGCGTCTAGATATCTTTTCCTGATTCGTTGTTCTTGTTATTGGCCCTATTGGAGGCTGGCGCTTAAAGCGGGGTTGGCTTAGCGCGCGGCACGTCACCTGTCACCGAACAATGCCTGATTCATTCTTTCTTTCTTTCATCCTCAGCAACCAGTCTGTCTCCAGCTGAGGTCAATCTATTCTCCTAAGCCTCTTTCCATTCCATCGACATTACCTTCGCTCTTGCTCAAAAGCTCCCAAGGTCATAACATAATGGGTGATTTACCTCGTTCTCAATCGATATCTCCCCCTCCTCCACCACCTCCGCCAAATCCCGAACCGTGGACGTTTGAAATTATTTTCCAAGAGACTTCTGAGGGCCTGCTGGAGCCTCTGCCATCGATAGAAGATATAGAAAACGCGCCACATCGCATCAAGGATCAGACATCAAGATGCACTGCAGTCCTTAGTGACCATTATGTGGCCAAATTTGGAGCGGGCGTTGAACCTCTCGAGGCCGAAAATATGCGCTTCGTCCGGAAAAACTCAAATTTGCATGTTCCCAAGGTCTTTGCAGTGTACAAGCGGAATATCAGGGACGGAGTGGATGTTACATATATCGTCATGGAGAGAATTTACGGGCAAACCCTGCAAAATATCTGGGCAGACTTACAAGCGTCTGACAAGTCCAGAATAGCGGCGCAACTACAATCGGCAATGCAGACCATCCGCGAATTGCCTGACCCAGGATATTTTGGTAGTCTGGACGGGTCCAAGCTTCGCGACACTATCTTCTGGGCGCCAGAGCCAGTACCTGCTATCGATTGTATTTTCAAAACGGAGGACGAATTCTTGGATGGTCTCATTGAGAAGTACCTCTATGACAGTGGTGAAAGCGCACAGCATAGGGTTGACTTTTATCGAAGGGTCCTTCCGGGAATCCTCAAAGGGAATGGGAAACCTGTTTTTACACACGCCGACTTCCAGCGCAAAAACATCATGATTACAGCAGAGAACACCGTGGTCCTTCTGGACTGGGAATCTTCTGGCTGGTATCCTTCATACTGGGAGTATGCTATGACAGTCTATGCTGCTAGAGCATGGGATGACGACTGGCATGTGTATATCGCCAAGATTCTAGAGGAGTTCCCAAACCATTTTGTATGGATGCAGACGCTACATATAGAGATGTGGGGTTTTTAGGTTATAGTTAAGAATGCCAATTGTTTTAACTGCTCTGAGACTTTGGTATGGGTACCTCGCTTAGGAAGGTCCAGCTTTATTGGTGTTGATATATAAAATATTAAACAGTGGGTAATAAGTAAGAAAGGAAAAGACAATTAGCAAAAAGGAACGGCTTGTTGTGGGAATAGATCCTTTCGTATCATCTCAATTTGATTCCATGCTTGCCCGTAGTGGGCGGCTGATATATCCGAAGTCTCTTTCCAGCTTCTGCATCTGGTCTCGGTGAATCTTAACTCCCTCGAGACGTTCTCCAGCTCCCTTCTGAGCTCCTGGATCAAATCGGAAGGTTATATCCTGCCAAAGCATACATTTCATGTCTTCAAGCTTATCGTATATCTCTGGAAACAATATCCTCTCCGAGTCCCAGAACACGTACCCAAGTTGTCGTATGCCTGAATAGCGGCCGCCCGTGGTGGTAATTGGCTTATACATTCTTTCGTCACCCTCGACTCTGCTGAATATGAGGTAGCCGAGGTTGCTGCGCGACGAATCATTTTGCAGAGTCGCGGTTTCTTCATATTGGTGGTCTGGTGGCCACGTTGGCGAGTATCTCAGAGCTTCTGGTAGAAACTCGCGAGAATATTGGCAATTTGATCTAATCAACTCGGATCGTCCTTCTCCGGCAGTATAGAGATCGTAGATAAAGTCGAGACCCAGCGAAGTCATGTAGCTGATATTATCTGAAGAACGGTATCTACCCTCTTTTGAAAACAAAGAAAGACTGGTTTGATCCAGTGCCGTAAGCTCGACAAGGGTGTCCCGCTCGCGTTTTCTTTCCGTTTCATTCTTTGTCTCTATCTCTGCTTCTGATTCGGGTTCGGGGAGCAAAGGCCATGCAAGCCTCGCATACTTATTGGTAGTAGACATGAACTGACTCTCAAGCTCGTCGATGTAATCCCTTATCATAAGAGTGACGTACAGCTCGACGCAAGCTATCTCTTCCACTTCCCAAGATGAGAGACGACTTATGAAGAGATCAAACTGTTCAATAGAAGAGAACTCATCGTTTGCCGAAACCGTTTCGAGTGGAACAGAACCGTCAGCTGGAAAGACGCGACAGTAGATCTCAAATCGGAGGAACGCCCTCTGTAGCCGTATACATTCTGTTGAAGTGGGGATAAGAATCGAGTCAACTAAACCAAGCCGGTACATGTACTCCGTATAACAGGAAATCAGGAATGTCACCCGGTTGTAAAGTCGGCAAAGCAACATCAGCTCTGATTTCTCGGTAGGAAAATTGAAAGAACAGGAGGCATCAAAGTATTTTTCTAGGAACTCGGGAACTATACTCTTAGTTGCTGGTGAGGGAGTTTGTCGGACAGTAAGAAGATGTCTCAAGTTATCCGTTAGTAACGCATTTCGGATTACAGATGAGAGAAAAATTTGGGGTGTTTTGGAGAAGACCCGCAAGCATAACGGCGATGCTGAGATCATATCATGGAGCCCACGAGGTGAGTCGACATTTCGTAGGATGAGAGAGATAAGTTCGGGCGCCAAATTCTCCAGAGCCATCTTGCGCAGTGAAGGATAGACGATTAAAGCTACCTTGTATGGTTTGGTATATTTTCATTTACGCTGACATATAAACATTTCCATTGTGGTATGAAAATGAGAAAAACGAAGCGGTTTGAGCTGATGCTTCAAGCGTCACGTGGCAGATGAGGGGAAGGTAGGTGACGCTGTTACATCAACGCTAGCGGTAATGAGCGTCTGCAGCGGCACGGGCGAAGACGATGACGAAGGTATTGGTACGTTGTACAAAGAACGAAAAGATAATATAAATCACGTAACAGAAAGTAACAAAAATGCTACGAAGACTACTTCTTTGTATCTACATCCACTGCTTGTTTCCAAACTTCGAGACAGGGGCCCCACTGCTGCCTTTCTCCAAGGAGGCCTCATTGATGACTTTCAAGACAGCTTTGGCCGAGTCTACAGGGGTGCTCGGGCCCGTGAAGTGCGGGGCATAATTGACAATCTGGCTCCTGAGCTTCGTCACCTTTTCTTTCTGCTCTTCGGTCACTGTGCAACGTCAGAATTATCCAGTATTGTAAACGTCACTGCTACTTACACTCTCCTTCAAAACCACTGTCGACACTTCCAGAACAGATACTCATGAAAAGAACTCCTTCTTTTGCGTAGCGAGCGGCGAACTTAGCGGCGAGAACGCTTGTGCCTGCTTCGCTGATGGCGTATGCAGGAGCTGGCTCGATTCAAATTGACGGAGGAAATTGATGTCGGACATGCCGGACGAGATGGAGATGACCTTCCTGCCTTGTCATTTCAGAACAAGTGAAGAGATGGAAGTTTCCAATCACGTTGACGTTGAAGAGTCTTGGAGTTGCTTGACAAGATGTTCGGGGTCTTTGGCTCTGTTACAGTATGAGATATCATTTCTCAGAGGCCAGGTCATGGACAAGTCAAGGGTTCGACCTACAGCACATCAACAGCATCCCATTGAGACCACAATGCGATGAGACCTGCAGTTTCAATGACGTAGTCAAGAGAACCTTCAGCGATCTCCGAGACAGCTTCAACAGCACCCTACACTCTGGTCAGCACGATATGAAGTGATTCTGAGTGAGACTTTAAACCTTTAGCGCATTGTAGTCAGTAATATCAGCCTCAAAAATATGGACGTTATTTGGAGAACCAAGTTCTTCAGCAAGCTTCTTGTCAGTAGCCGCTTTGTTGCGCACTAGGCTATTGTTGGGGTTGATGGAGACTACTTGGATAAAACCGAATTAAAAGAACTGGGGGTCAGTTGTAGGGTAGACTAAATAGCGTCTAGTCAGACTTATGCCATGACCGCACGATGCTCCTGTTACTAGATAAGAAGGGCATTTTAATATAAATATATATCAATCGAGAAGATAGATAGAAGTCCAGGTTTAAATCGATCGTAATGGGGAATTTTCTTAGATATAGATAATGTTCTTTATTAAATGCGTCTTTATAATTACGTACATGGGACATGAAAAGGTAATTTGTCAAGCACAATAATGATAAATCTTGCATTTCTTTCTGTCTTTTAAATCAAAGCCTCTTTAACCTTCTAGTTTGCGCAAAACTCACCCTATAAAGCATCCCAAACACAGGCCTTATTAACAATATCCACAAGCATACACTGATGCTTCTTTGTCATGGTCCTTGATCTGATTTTGGGGTTCCACTCCTGGTACGACATCCAACACACGAGCAACGCTAACCCCATTTGCCATCATCCTCAGGTTGACTTTTACACCGAGTTATTATTAGGGCTTTCACGTAAGAACCTCGTAATTACAAAGCAAAGCTAAGTAACATTAGATATGAAAGATCTAAGATGCCACGTGAAGATAAAAGAGAACTGACTCTTTATATTTATATTTACTTCTTCTAAAGCGCAAGAATAGGGCCTCCTACCACCGCTCTCCAACGAAGCTTCTTTTATAACTTTTTAACACAGACTTTGCCCTGTCCTCGGGTGCAGTCGGGTCCTTATAGTGCGGGAGTAACCGAACAGGTTGGTAGCTTGCTGATCGAACCTTAAGCAGAGATAGCGTAATTTACAACTATATAAAGCAGGTGCTTGGCACCCTTTCTTTTCTTCCCCACGTAACCGGTACTGCCAAGGTCACTGTCATTACCACTTCATCTTGTGCCTCACCGTCCATTTGTAATAAGTAGTTTATCTTCCTGAATCATGCCACACGCTACATATGTGCTTATTACTGGTTGCAACCGGGGTATGTTCTCTCGACGCGCCGAATACACTTTCCATTCGTCTAACCACATATACTCAACTCCAGGCATCGGAAGAGGCCTTTTCCAGACATATATCGCTCGCCCGGATCATGTTGTCGTCGCCGCTGTTCGTAACCCGACAGCTGAAAGCTCAAAGGCATTATTGCAAGTCACCAAGGGTACCAACAGCAGATGCATCTTGGTAAAGATTGATAGTGCTTCCGAGACGGACGCCCCGGACGCCATGAGCACTTTGAAGCGAGACCACGGTATCACGAAGCTTGATCTTGTCATTGCTAATGCCGGAATCTCCAAGTACTTTGGAACGGCAGAGGTGACCCCAGTCAAGGAGATGATGGATCATTTCAAGATCAATTCCGTGGCACCACTGCTGTTATTCCAAGCAACCTGGCCCCTCCTCCACGCCGCAAAAGCACCAAAGTTTGTGACCATCTCTTCAGGTGCAGGAAGCCTTGGTTTCATGGAAAATCTGAAGGTCGAAAATACTGCATATGGCTCGTCTAAAGCAGCTCTTAACTTCATCACGAGGAGGATACACTTCGAGAATCCGGATCTGGTGGCCTTCAGCATGAATCCTGGATGGCTTCAAACTGATGTAAGTAAACCTATATATCTACTGCACAGTCACTCTCGTTGTGCCTTGGTCTGACTAATAGTAGCTGGGGAATCATGCTGCACAGAGCTCAGGGCTATCGGCGGCTCCTGTTTCTGTGCAGGATGGTGTAAATGGAATCGCCAGTGTAATAGATGGCGCGACAAGGAATGCAACATCAGGAAGGTTCCTTTCGTGGGAAAACAAGGAGCTACCTTGGTGATGTGCATGATGCACAGGTATGTAGATCAGAAGATGGTTTATCCCGAAATTTCATAGATAATATACTAAATTGTATCGGATAAATGCTGTTGTCAAGTTCAGAGAAGAGACTTGACTGAATCAATGACTGTCTTCTTATACGGTATCCAATCGATTCCAAGAATTGTGTTTGCCCGAGTGGCATCATAGCCAAAGGAATCTAGAGCTGGGTTTGGGTCGCCTCCTTTGTTGGCCTCGTCCGGCAGCCTGTCCCGCAAATCTGGAAAGTTCTCGTACAGGATTTCATATAATTCCTGGTTACTGTAGTACCCGGCAGTGACAAAGATGCGCTTATCCGCTGCCTCTTCCGTCTCTACAGCCTTGACATGGGCCAATGCCACATCGCGGACATCAACCCAGAGAGGAAGCTGAGTTGGAGGAAGACCGCTTTTATGCTTCCCATTGATGATATCAGCCAGTAGCTGGTTGGATGTGTTGACGGAGTCGAGGGACTTGACTGGGTACTTCACTGGACCGTAGACCATCGGAGGACAGATTGTTGTAAGAGAGAAATCGGGTTTCTTGTCGGCCATAAAATCCCAAGCAGCCTTCTCAGCAAATGCTTTGGATGCAGCATAAGCAAGCCCCGGGTTGGAGTAAGCATCTTCCATAGTAAGAGGACTCCAATCGGCCTCAGTGTACGTCTTTTTCGCACCTGTGAACGATAGCTTAGGGTCCAGGATCGCAGCAAAGGATGACGTCAACGCAACTCGTCGAACAGTGGGGCAAGTCTTGTGGAGTGCATCAAGTACTGAAGTTGTGCCAAGGACGGCTGGATCGATCAAATCCTTTTTGGCGTCTGTGATATTGTAGTGGAACTAGACAACAAAGGTTAATTTCGGAAGCTCGAACGGTAGTTATGAATCCGCCATTGACTCACGGGACTAGCGATGTGGATGGCCGCTTCGAGGCCATATGCGCCCAAGCCTTGAAAGGCATCCTTGGCAGCAATATCAGGGACGATAGCAAAGTCAAGCTTCTCTTCACCAACGCCTTGGAACTCATTGCGGATTGACTGGGCCTTTTGCTCTGAGCGAACAGTAGTTACGACGTTATGGCCACGCTTAAGGAGGACATCAATCACATGTCCAGCAACGAAGCCGGTGCCGCCTACACTGCGCGTTAAATACAAAGACAATTTTGGATGAATACTCGATTAGATATACCTGTGACGAGAACTCGAGTCATTGTGAGTGATATGGGATGCGATAACGTTACACCTTAGTGATGATCGAAGAAATTGATTGTCGTACTCTAGGCTCGCTGCAAGGCTCGTCAGACTTAAATACCTGCCACGATACACTGATGAATCGTGTGTCTAGACCCAGTTCGGCCTTCGGTTTGCAGGAAATGCCGAGATGGGCCATCCATTTTAGCTTTGAATGTCAATAAGCTTTTTCCAACCCATGGCTAACCTCAACGAGACTACCCCCGGCGCGATTTCTTTGGTGGTATCCGGGTAGATTTGCTTACGAATACTCGTATTGGATGGACTTAAAGCTAATGTCCGGATTCATGTAATATGCCTGCAGACTATCTTATGCTGCTGTTGCATAGCATCCTGCCATGGCCCAAATAGTCCAATAGTCTATGTCCAGTCGTTTCTTCGACAAGTCAAGCACATCCCTCGCTATCCGCATATTACCCTTCTCTGCCATGTACTCTAGTATTCTCCAAATCCATTCCTGCACGCAATTGTCTGTTGACAACTGAGCAGCTTGGTAGAGAGGTGCCATCAGTATCCTGCACTCCAGCTTCTGCATCGGCGTGAAAGGCTCGGAATTCTCTGGCCTGGCTTGTGGCATGATGTAAGGCGCAACAGAGCGGCATATTTGCTTCGCGATCTTGTTGATCGCATCACCGTTTTGTTCGTGGCATCTATCGCTTATCAATCCTTCCATCTCTAAACGCATCATCCGTACAGCGTTATGTAGTTGCATTGTAAAGTGGTTCGGGTAGACATCGTATTCTCCGTCCAGGGCTTGCCAATCGCTTAAGAAGACGGCGGCAGGCCCGCAAGACCTTTCCAATGAATCTGCAAGGTATTCAAGCTTGCAGTTTATGTCGAACACCCTTCCATTCATCTTGCTGTCGTCAACCATTATTCCCTTGGTCAACATGGCCCTCAAGTTGACAATATCCACTAGAATTCCCATATAGTCCCATTTACTATCCATGATCAGCCCTGAAAGATCCTTCCAGACGGCGACTTGCGAGTCAAGGATAGAAGTCTTGGTTATTCCACAACTAATTATAAAGTGAGATAGAATATTTCTGGCGATTTGAGTTGACAAAGCACTTGCAAAGTTCAACTTTCCCCGCGACTCGATTATTGACATTGCCCCTCGAATATGGGTCATTGAAGACCCTGGCATGCCAAGGCTCGGTGCTGTTAGCTTTTCAAATAGATCAAGAAGTAGTATTGACTGCAAAATTTCATCACCGATCAACACGTTCGGCTCGCATAGTGAATGTCTTAGATTCCCTATGGCAGCCGAGTATCTGTTGAAGGCGGTACTGATTAGTTCTCGGCTGTCGAACTGTACTGCCGAGAACGCAAGGCTGACTGCATTCACACTATATGCAAGATGTTTCGAGATTGGGGCCTGGTTGTATAGCGGTGGGAGAGAGGAGCAACTCCGTGATAGACCGTCAACATACAGCAGGAAAAACGTATCTCTGCACCGCGTCTCGACGTCCAGATTCAGGTCTAGCATCGGCGAAGGTAACGTGATGAGTTGGTAGGCATATCCTTGGCGGGCCAGCACCTTTTGCCTGGCTACACGTGTCTGGTCACGGAACGCCAGGTCCTTGACATTCCGGTAGCCATGGCATGAGATGTTGGCTCGGCGACACTGGCCACAGGATTCCGGTTTTAGGTCGCACTTAGGGTCAGATGTCAGCCACTCTAATAAAGAACTAAAATGGCCAATAGGCATACTCGGAGCTTCCGTCGTCTACAGGGCAAACAGTCCATTGAGGGTCGGCCGGTGTTAACCATGTTGGATGACTGCGCATCCCCACTCAGGGCTTCTTTCTAGATTGGTACCGGAAGAGAATCCTGGAGAGGGAACCAGTCGTTGGCAGTAGTAGGGACAGATAGAGGTGCTATGACTCGACTTCAGCTGGAATGACCGTATGACAAGAACCGCAGAGGATGTGACGAGCTACCAAAGAGGAAGAGGAAGAAGAAGTTAGTATCCAGTCGACATTATGCAATATCTCCGCTCACAATAGAGTTTGCGTGTCAAGACAAGGTTGTTGCCCAATGTTAACCGCTAAAGGCTTAGTCTATGGAGCTGCAGATAAGCCTCCTAGCGTAGTCCGGATGGCTAGCCATAAGAGGTTAGTGAGATTGGTACCACCCAAAAACTCAATCATTCCAACTCCAAATGTCACTTCCAATTAATTCCTTGGCAGGATCCAAGAAATGGTAGAATATTTCGACTCGTATGTTCTTCAGGAAGCTTTTCCGTTCACCGCCATTGTAGGTTGGTCTGTTCAAGTGATTAGTAAAGCGTCTGAATTGTGATCTGGCTGTGCGATATGAAGTTAAGTCGCGTGGCGAAAGCTAGTCTTCCTACTGAACCTTGCAACAAGAAGTCTCATCCATGCTGGTCATGTTTCCGTAGTCTCCAATACACTGGACGCATCATGTGCAAGTAATCATCTTAACACAACACGCATCAGCGACACAGCAGCATGATACTTGTTTAACTATTAACTAGCTGTCTGACGAATCTAAGCCTGGATCTACGACCAGTACCAATTGGTTTGTGTCTTGCGAGCATATCAAGGTTGTAAAGTTGTAAAAAATCACTTGTACCAGCGCAAGCTATCTAACCTAACCACAGCTCAAACCATGCCCTTCTGAATAGCCTGCAACAAAACCTTGCCAATGACCCCAGCGCTGGGAGGATTCTGTCCAGTAATCAAGTTCTCGCTCTTCCCGCTGGTAACCACCTTGACGCCAAAGAGCTGGTCCGCTTTCTCATACTGCCCGCCATGTTCCTTCAGCTTGTCTTCGAGCAAGAACGGCATTGCGTCCGTGAACTTGTAAGCATCCTCTTCGGCATTGGAGAATCCTGTGACGGTCTGTCCCTGAACCATGTAGCTTCCGTCTGACAGCTTGACGTTAGCCAGAGCCGCTGGCCCGTGGCAAACTGCGGAGACCAACTTGTTTGATTCGTAGAACTCACGAATCAGGGCGTGAGACGTGGGATCTACGGCGAGATCGAACATAGCTAGGATAGTGTGTAAGTATTTCGAGGGACGGTGGTCAAAGAGGAGAAAACTCACGTCCATGACCTCCAACGAAAAAGATTCCGACATACTCGGCAGACTTGCCAAGGAAGCTTTCGAGCTTCAGGGTATTCTTCCAGGCATGCTCGTTCTCTTTAAGAAACCTCTTGCAAGCTTCATCATTCTTAGAATCCTCAATGGAATACGGATCAACAGGGGCTTCCCCTCCCTTAGGTGAAGCCACAACGAGTTCTACGTGGCCATCCAAGTCGTTGTATGGGTGAACTAGCTCAGGAAGATACCATCCTGTTTTCATGTTGGCCCGTGTGGGAAGGACATCTTGCGATGTAAGGACAACCAAAAGCTTCTGCCCCGTTGACATGGTGAGGGATGAAATCAGAAAAGTAATTGTTCAGGACGTTTGATACTATGGGAATTTAAGCGAAGATGGAATCTGCAGAGGCAGAGGATGCACTCATATATGAGTTGCCAACTCGACATATTTTTGCCGAGTGAAGTAGTAGTCTTCGCAAGGCTAGCGCGCTGTGCCAACTGATGATTCCACGTCACTTACCTCGCTAATGTTGTTGGACCGTGATTTGTAACACTATTAGATCGAAGTGGGCCGTATTAAACCTTAAGTCTGATGATGACAAGTATACCCGATAACGCCGTGGGTAAGGCATGGTCGATAGCCGCCAGCTCGAATTGCTCAAGCATAAAGACTTGCTATCCTGTCATCAGTGTTCTCCCTCCTCTGTCTCACCGTCAGCTCCATACGCCATAACAAAAACCAACAACAGTTTCTTCACTCCAATCCTCATTCAAAATCACTGTCAGCATGACCTTCACCGTCACTGTCCTCTTTCCCAACGAGCCGGATGCCAAATACGATTTTGACTACTATGTATCCAAACACATGCCTCTTATCCAAGAACAATGGGGTAAATATGGTGTCAAAAGCTGGTCAGCTACACAATTCACGAATGGGCTAGACGGTTCACCCAGCCCATACGCATTTGGGTCCATCGTCGAATGGGAGGATGAAAGCCAGGTCAAGATTGCTTTTGCAGGGCCTGAGGTCGCCGAGATAATGGGGGACGTGGCCAACTTCAGCAACAAGGACGCCATTTTCCTTCTGGGCAAAGTCGCGACCTGAGTCGCGCCCGAAACAACGGCTCTTTATAGCGTGCAGCCGGGCCTTGAGACAGACATCTCTGTATCAAAGGAATTACAGCACTGAAACATGTCCTATCACTGGCTCAGATCCTGCGAAATGATATATGTTATAAATATTAGATCTTTTCAAATGTTCCCAGCCGCAGTCGGGCTTTAGTAGATCCTGCTCTGAGTTTCTATAAACCTTCCAACCTTCATCGCCAATTCTGTTGTATATGGTGGGTTATCTCGGAATGCTTGTAATCCCAAAAGCACATGAACTTCCTGCACGACTCTGAAGATAGCTTGGAGATTGAGTGGACAAATTAATGCTCCCTTGTGGCGGTTTATAATCTGATTTTGGGGTTCCACCACTATCGCGACATGCGCGCAACGCTAGCCTCATCCGTGACCATGCTTAGAAGTTGACTCTTATGTTGGGCTTTCACATTACGAGACATCGCAATTACGAAGCAAAGCTGAATAATACTAAGCTGTGCAAGATTTATAATATCCTATGAATCGTTTTGACGGAGAGCTCATATACAAAGCATTATATATGATTACATGACAGTGCAACAAGCTCTCAATGCCAAGGCAATTCACTCCATCTTTCTACATCCTTACTCAAGCTATCAAGATGCATATCTCTGATCCTGCAATTCCATTTGGCTCCACCGTTGTAGTCATCGGTGCGAATGGCTACATGGGGGTTGAGACTTGTGAAAAACTCCTCCAGGCAGGCTTCTTCGTCCGGGGAACTGTGAGGGATGTGGAGGAAAATCGACAGTGGATGTATAACCTATTTGATACCAAGTGGCCCAACATGTTCGAGCTGGTTCACGTGTCTGACTTTGAAGCTGAAGGGGCATTTGATGAAGCCTTCAAAGGTGAGAGGACGCCCTTCTCTTCTATTACGCGACCGGAGCTCACCAGGATGTCACAGGCGCCAAGGGTGTTATCTATATTTCAACACCGACCATACTGAATGCGGACCCTGCAAAGATGGTAGAGCCTGTGATTAAAGGTACTATCAACAGTCTTGAAGCTGCAGCCCGCGCTGGAGTGAAGCGCTACGTTCTCAGTTCACGCTCCAAGGCAGTTGAGTCTACCAATTACAACCACCTGTACCATGTCACTTCAAGCATGTTCAACTACGAGGCTATCAGGAAGGCCTGCTGTGAGCCGGATGTAGATGGCCTCGGTAGATTTATGGACGTCTACAGTGCCAGTCGGGCTTTGGCAGAATTGGCCTTTTGGTCATGGGTTGGCACGAACCAAAATTCCTTTGTTGCAAACTGTGTGGTACCTGATGGACAATTTGGACGAGCCCTTGATCCCTATAACACGACTTCTACCTTCAGCATGTTGAAGGCGGCGGCTGAGGGTGAATGGGATATCGTATCTGGTCAAGTCGGTGGGCACTCTATCCTCATCGGCCACTACTAGTGGTACAGACTGACACATCTCATAGCATACTACACTGATGTCCAAGATGCGGCACGTCTTTTGTTCGCTGCAGTAGCTCTTTCTTCGCTTGTGAATGATAGAATATTTGCGTACTGTCATAATTCAACGTGGAATGAGCTACGATACAAGATTCGACTTATCTCAACGAAAAAAGAGAAGTTGGTGAAGGGCGAAGACCAGGCAGTAAAAGGGAGGGATCTCTCCAATGTGGATGGGCTTATTAAACGAGCCGAGAGTATCTTGCGAGACATTGGTCAGCAAGGCTTTGCGAGCGAGGAGGATATTTTAAGTGACTTTTTGGATTGCCTCTGAGAGTCACATATCTTTGTAAATATCAGTCATTACCGGTATAGAGAGAAACATAAAATTCACCGAGTGAAAAGAAAACACAGCGAAGAATCGTTTGGGTCAACGTCATCTCACCTCTTCCAGCGACAAGCCTTTCTATCTCGTTACCTCTGTACAAGGCTTGTATACAGGCAACATGTTGGTGATTCTGAGTGGACGATTGATTCAAAGATCTGCGATCCGGGCCTAGCTCTACTCTAATAACATCCGGTTTTAAAGTGCCGAATCGGGAAGATCGTCACCGGTGTCACTGTAAATCGTAAGCCAAGCCCTTCGGCACCGGCCCGGAGCATTTCTTCCAGATAAAGTGGACTTCAAGCCATGGCACGTCCAAGGGGAGGAGAGATAAAAACAAGGCAGTTCCCGCGTCTTGGCTGACCGAATTGAATACAAGAAGCAAATTTAGTGGTTGAAATGTCATTAGAGGCTGAAACTCTGATCCATGACGACTGTGACGGGCTGGCCATGTCACAGGGCTGGGAATGTAATGCCTTGACTTGTATGACATTATGACGTCTCGCATAGATTACGAAAATTATAATTAAGCATCATTGTCAGGAAAAAGAGTCCATCTCATCTATTTCAGAGTTCCATCATATATACTCGTCAACTAGCGAGCCCACTCCAACACCGTTGCTTCAGCATATTTACCGCATCACCATGGCTCACTATGACAATCGCGCTGCTCCCACCGACTACGGCACCACTTATGATCGTGGTCGCGAAACAGGTTTATTGACCCGCTGGGTTCCAGACAGGCTCAAACATTCCCGCCTCTATCGCTGGTTCCTTCGCCTTATACGCGTTGCACAATTCCTCTCCGCCGTCATCTCCCTTGGACTCTTCTCAGCCCGTCTCCGCAAGGTCTATAACCTTGTCAATGCCATCAAGACGCGTCGCGGCGTTAACAGTTCCTATGGCGCTGTTGAAGGCATCCTGGCAGCTGCTGTTCTGTACACACTCGTTGCTATGCTGATGTCACTGCTTCTCAAGGGCGGTGGTCCAAGATGGCTTCGCTGGCTTTGGGTGCTGTTGGATATTGCTTTCGTCGGAGCTTTCATAGCTGTCTCTGTTCTTACTTGCCCCAATGGTGGCATGGCTGGTCCACGTCATTGCTACAAGACTGAAGGTTTCTCAAGTACCTTTGGAATCAATGCGAACTCGTCGGATGACAGCTGCAATCTGCCTTGGGGTACATTCATTCTCGCCATCATCAGCACGTAAGTGACACTCATGAACGCTTTTCAAGTCCTGCAGCTAACCTGTTACAGAATCCTCCATGCCATCACTGCAGCATTCCACGAAGTCCGTGACCGCTACAAGGAGCACCGCGTCAAAGAGCAACATGTCATGGAAGCTTATGTTGACAGAAACAGAACAGCTGCTTACTAAAGCCATATTCGTTTGCAGAGTTCTATACATATGGCGGACTTGGGAGGTGTATTGATTAGTTTATAACAAGAACCTCAGGCATAACTCCAAATTTAAATAAAAATTAAATCAGATCTTATACCGACAACTCATCCATGCATCTCAGCTAAAGTGTCTCTTGTGAATCTCGACTTCACATTCAACGGCCTTGTTAAAGAAACCTTCTCTAATCACGGTGGGCTTAGGGTTCATTCTCTTGACATCAAATAGCTTGAAGACAACTCCTACTGCCTTTAAGATCTCCATCCAGGCGAAGCTTGCAATCATTAGTATGTAAAACGCTGCTGAGGATCATGAATGACTAACTTTCTTCCGATGCATGCTCTTGGCCCTGTTGAAAATGGGTAAAAGTACTCCATGAGCTTATCTGCACCTGGTTCAAGCCATCGGTCTGGTCTGAATGTCTCAGGTGATTCGAAGATCCGTGGATCCATCATTATGCCCAAGGTTGGGACGCTGACTAATGTCTAGACCTATTATCAGCAAATTTCAACTTTTTTCGACGGTATTTCTTTTCTTCGACATACCTCGGCTGGTATGAACTGTCCAGCTATAGTCTTTCCACCCTGCGGCGTCACTCGTTCTAACCCGGTGGCGCTGGTAGGACGAAAGCGCATCACTTCCCTCAAAGTAGCAAGCAGTAATGAGAGCTCACTCAGCTTTTTGTCACTTGGTACCCAATCATCAGAAGGCTTGCCTGGGAAGATCATATCGATCTCGTGTTGGATCCGGTGCTGTAAATCGGCATCCCGAGACACAAAGTCAATGAAATTGGCCATTGTGCTACTCGTCGTATCGCTCCCGCCAACGATGAAGCTGATCGACTCAGCGATAATTTCGTCTTCGGGAATTGGTTGCTTCGTATCCGGATCTTTTGCGTTGAACAGGAAGCTTAGTAGGTCCTTTCGGCTATTATCTGCAGAGGCTTTTCGCTTCTCGAATGCTTCTCTTCCGATTTTTGCAAGGCCTGCTGACGCCTGGAAGCCGTTCTTCCAGAATGGATCAAACGGGTTGTACTTCATGAGTGATCTCAGCAGAGGCGAAAGAGATCCCAGCGCGTTCATAAACTCGCCGCGGGTGTCAATGATTTTGATGAGGCCATATTCGTCTTCACCTTTCTCAACAAAGCCAAAAGGCTCGCCAAATGCAAAGCTAGCAATGACATCGAAGGCCAGATAATTAGCTGTTTTTGGCAAACGGTATTAGTGGAAAATCATGTCAGCGCCGATGATAGCCAACTCACTCCAGACGGAAAAGTCGACGCGTGGTTTTGATCCGTTGGAAATCTTGAGTAGTTGGCGCTTCCATCCAACAATCTCGGCATCCATGTAAGGCTCAAAGTCCGATAAAGCGCGCGCGGAAAACGCGGGATTTATATACTTCCTCTTTCGCGTATGCTCTGACACATTCCTGGTGTTAAAAACTACTGGCGTCACCTGGTGGAACGCATCGTAGAAGGGACCCTTGACAAATCCGGTTTTATGGCCATAGATCTGTTGGATCGCATCGGGGTTATTGATGGACACATAATTGGGCGCAATTTGAACAAAGTCGCCGTGCTTCTGGTGCAACTTCAGTACTTCCTTGGAACGTCGGACTTTTTGGCATTGTGATGCGAGCCAGAAAGAAGATAGCTTCGCCGTGATAGGGCCAGGAAGACGGCGAGTTGAAGAGCTATAGAAGCGCACAATCTGAACCAGAATCTGGAAAGGCATATGCATCAGTCAACATTGAACCATTGGACTCGCAGATGCGTAATCTCGATATCCAACTACGATGGAGATCAGAACTTACGAGTATCAGTATTCCGCAAATCAATCCTTGACCGCCCAAGGGCCCATACGCTGATTCTACAATAGACATAACGGTTTATCTCGTTTCGTGAGGAAAGACTTCGAGGACATGCACGTGGTTTACCGGCACAGTGAGGAATGATAAACTGAACACTGCTGAGATGCTTCAATTGAGATGGAGAGGTCGGAGCAACCTAATTTAATCGATTTATTCAGACTTTCGTTGTAATTAAGTACAACGACTGCTACTCCCGCCGGAATGAGGTGCCGATTTTGCCCCGTGGTAGAATTTGGGTTATGACATCTGGCACTGTAATTGGCCAATCTCTCCCAATCGGCAGCATCGGATGCGCAGTATGATTGAATGAAACTCTCCCTTCCCCTCCAGCTTTAATACGGTATTCTCATTTGCTTGTATCAAAATTTTAGATGTTTATTTCTGCCTATGCCAATTGTAAGTACTAAAAGTATAATCAGCACTTGTATGGCGACTCTAACTGATTGACTCGTCACCCTGGATCTCGAGGAGTGCCTATCAGTAGCCTGTTTCTCAATCTACTTGGCAATTATCTGGATATCCAATCGCTACTGAAATTGGTTATGTTTAAACCCCAGGCCGGTTCCTTACGTATGACTATTCGGGCTGCCCAGAAGACTGCTGATCTGACCATGTAATAGGTTAGTATCTTTTCAGTCTACTCTCCTATAGCCGCGACGATGGATATACTAGCAGTTATATCTAAGAAAGCATTACATAGGGTCCTTCCATGAGGGAGTCGTCAAAGGCTGTCTCCTCGCGACTTTACCCAGGCCTCCTTAAGGTTAGTCCACTTCAAGAACCAGGCTTAGATTGAGAGAATGCTTGATCAAAGTCGGCGTACAGTTCGATTCAGGTGAGTCATCAACAAGAAACCGCGATTTCCACTCAAATTAGCAAGGAAGTTAACCTCAACTCCATGACAGACCTGCGGAAAGCGCTGTTCCTCTTCCATTATCAACGTTCTCGGTATCGGTCTCGCTTTCGCTATCGTATACTGTCGTGGAATTTGGTAGCGTCAGTGGGGCCCATATATTCTGGTCCTTCCTGCTTACTGATTGGCCCTAGTCGTGGTGTATCATCAAAGTACTGCAGGGGTTAGAATTGCCAACCTATCCACTCTGTCAAGATGGATCCTTAGCATCATTTTGGGCAAAATTCCTCCGGGCCTAAACCAAAATGAGCTTTTGCTCACCCATGCAGGCGTATCAGCTAGACTACATCACAGCGGCATATAAGATCGCGGACACGCGGGCTTTTGCTATGATTCCTTTATTGCAAGGCTAGGTGCACGAACCCATGGCTAACACAGGACCCTTGAGCCTGCACAGGGTTGGCTCCCGTGATAGGCTCGGCATGTTATAAATTCACGGAGACCGCCAATGATAGTATGCCCTTGCGTGTTTCCATTGTTGTCTATAATCAATCGCTCTTCATCAGTAGCCAATTTACTTTTTCGTTCTTCTTTTTCAAGATGCCGTTCAAATTCGATCCCGAATATGATGCGATTCTGCAATCTCTTTTTGGCAACAGATCTACCCCGAATGCCCTTGCGGTAGGGGATGTCGAAGCCCGACGCGCTCAAATGGAGCCTGGTATCGCTATCTTGGCCGACCCTAATTTCCCTCTTGATCGCGTCACGACAAGAGACTTCTTTGCCGACACCTCGGACGGCCAAAAGATCCTTCTTCGCTGGTACTCTTCAGATCACAAGTCTCCGAGCCCAGCGGTGATCTACGCTCATGGTGGGGGTATGATCTTGGGCAGTGTCAAGGCTTATGATAAAGTAGTGGCGGCATATGTCGCCCGCACAGGGGTGCCGTTTCTTGCAGTTGATTATCGCCTTGCTCCGGAGCATCCCCATCCTATACCCGTCAACGATGTTTATGCCGCTTTTCAGTGGCTAGTCGCGCACTCGAACGAACTTGGTGTGGATAGCAGCCGCATTGGTATCATGGGGGATAGCGCTGGTGGCGGCCTGGCTGTAGCAACGGCACTCCTTGCTCGACAGGACAATGGACCCCGTCTTGCGAAGCTTATCCTGCTTTCCCCCATGCTCGATGATCGCACAGTATCAGCAGACGAGCACTTGGCCCCGTTTCTGAGCTGGAACACCACAGATAACGAAACCGGCTGGCAGGCCCTGCTGGGCTGCAGTAGGGGCAGAGAGATGGTGACTGAAACAGCCGCACCAGCACGGATGGTAGATGCTACGAGTATGCCGCCTCTGTATATCGAGGTGGGCGAGTTGGATCTCTTCCGGAACGAGTCGATTGGACTTGCGACCAAATTCTACAAGTCCGGTGTCAGTGCAGAGCTTCATGTGTATCCAGGTTGTCCGCATGGATTTGACATCTTCCCCTCGAGAGGAACTGGTGTCTGCATAAGGGCGTTTGAGAACCGAGACCGAGCCATTAAGAGTATATATCCGGTAGATTCATAACTTGTTCTGTGCTGGACCATAGCTACAGCCATCGTTTATACCCTAATCATCCATGTAATGGTAAGCGTTGGCCTATAACTTTGCCAGACAAGTCTCGAACCAGCATCTGGTTTCAAGTTGCCGTTGATCATCAGGTCATCCCGGGGAAACAAGTATCGTATTGCCGATGACGGAGTTTGCGATCAAACCTAAATAATATAGAAAGTTAGTCTATGTATGCTATTGAAGAACTACTGCACTTTGTGCGACTAATCGTTACTTCCGAGCTCCTGTAGACTTCTCTCCACAGTATAAGCCTCTGCATTATGTTGTATCCGTAATACAGTTCCTAGTTGCTTTGATGTTGACATGGTCGTGAATGGTTCCGCTATCGAGCCTAGAAGGCCATCCAGTCCGGAGCTGAACCTGTTAGTTGGGTTGTAGAATTCATGCTGGTCTGCACAAACGATGAAGCGAGCATTGTAATCACGCAGGTACAGCTTGCCGTATTCGTTTTCCAAGATACGCTTTTTTGTGCCATTGGCTTGGAATACAATGCCATTGACTATAGTGGAGTACCCTATCGTGTTTTAGGTAATAAAGACCAGAGTTATATGCGCGTCGGGATGCCTCAAGGGAGATATTAGAACCCAAGAGATCTTCCCAACATCGCGGAATCCCCGGTATGCTGACAGAGTCTTATAAGGAAGGAAAGTGGTGAGCAACAATAAAAAACATAGAAGGTATTGGCACAAGGAGGTAAGGATACAAACAAAAGGACTGCTTAATGCACTTGGTAGCCAATTCGATTGTCCGGATCCCTGGAGCTCCAAGAGAATGTGAAGGGGTTGTTTTCGCTTGGGCCGAGCTTGAACTCAGCGTATTGGGTTGTGGTGTTGGTTCCGCTTTCGTTCGTTACATTGAACATGCTCTCGCTGAGCTTCAACGGCGCGCAGGTCGCTTTCCAACGATACTGGACTCTATCCTTTTCGTGCGCATTGATTCCAAGATGTTTATGTGAGTCGAGCAACCCAGTGTCAAAACCTATTGACTCGCCGGGGCCCGGAAAGCACATCTGGGCATCGAAAGAACATGGCGCTGATTTGTCTGCCCTGAATGGCAAAGAATAGGGAATATGGATTGCATCCTTCCAGCGACAGACTCATTACCATAGAACTAGGCTGCATAGCGACTTGCGAAGGTTGTCTCATCCAGCTCCCGGAACGCAACAGACGACACCTCAGCAATCTCAGCCGTGGCACTATGGAGTTTGAGGAGTCCACGAGAGCCTGCCTTTGCAAGAACATTCACATTATCGGATGCATCAGACGCAAACAGCGACGGAATAAAAATACCGCAGACTTTGAGCACGATAACGGATACCGCAGCCAAAATCAGCAGAGCACAAAGCTGAGAGATCTCCCTCCAGAAAGCTCCTAATGCCCACCTCCTCCAATGCCAGAACGCTATCGTGAGACCAATTACAGCATTTACTGAAGACCGATCGTTGCGGAACAGAATCCGCTGTTGCTCTAGCTCGTGCGTAAGAGCAGATGGACGAGTATGACGAGAAGCATACCATACAAAATTAGGATAAGGGTTTTCCATGCAAGGTGAAGAATAAAAGAGGCCAGAACAAAGGATATAGCAGCAATTAAAAAGTTGGCTTTTGTGTTTGGAATAGAAGCAGCGGCCCTGAAAACCATGACTTATCCTCATCGATCCAGGAGCCGATTCTGATATCAACGTTGGCTGACATTGTAGTAATTATTGAAGAACTGTAAGGTCGATGAGACTTCAATTAAAGGCAGCATACAGCCACAGCTCTGATAATCCTTCTTTTCATATAACTTCTCCGCTTTAGGTTGATCTTTGCTTACAAAGGAGATCGATATGTTGCTCTGACGGCACTTACCGCGCAGCCACTAATTAACTTCTTGGCAATAAGGCGTCTATCTAGAATAACTGCCATTTGAAGCAGGGAACTTTTAACACCAATTAAAAACAACCTTAGCAAGGGATACAAATATCATTTCCCAATCCGTAAAAATGAGGCTGATTGGAATCAGGTCATAGACTGAAATCTAGCCAGGTGCCAAGAATAGCTGAAAAGGTAGGGCCTTGGCGATTCCAATATTCAGAACAGACTAGCTGTGTTATTAGTGTTGTTTCATGGGCTCATGTCAGTAAACAGAGTTAGTTGGCTGGACCAGTGGCAAGCCAAGCCAATAGCCTGCGCCATCTACTAACTTAGCTCTGCCCCGGTGACAGGTCTAGACAGCAACTGGGGCTCAATGATATTACCATCGACGGTTAAAGATCACTAATAAGTCCTAACTAGATCAAAGAATTTATCAATACAAGAACTGCCATTTATTAATCGACATATACCCGGTCTTATCCGCGTATCTACATCTCCAGTGGGATCTTTTCTAATCACACCATGCGCTTCACTATCTCACTCGTCACGGCGATCGCGTCCGGCTCTGGGGCGCTTGCGGAACCAACAACTGCCCATCCAAGATCCGCAACAATTTCTGGGCCAGAAACCACAGCTCAACCACTTGAGCTGCGAGACCTCATCGGGGATCCCACCCAATGGTACCAGGTGCAGACTACAGCTAAACCTGACGATTCCCTCTTGATCGGCTTACGCAACTTTACTCAGCGGGACGGTGATGTTGATACGTGTGAGTATAATTCTCTGGTAGCTCTGTTAAACTGGAGTCTTGTTTGAAAGAGTTCATTGCTAATTTGACTCGACATAAGACTATTTTGAGTGCATAAACGCCCCATATACAGTTATCTCCGGGCATGGAGGCTGCGGCCGTGATGATTTGTATACCTCTTGCTCTAGTAACGTGGCCGCTGGTATCGACGGTGATAAGATCATCTGGTATGTTTCTCAGAGAGCCTCTACAATATTCGGCTTTCCGTTTGATGCTCTCCGAAATACTGACGCTCCATGCTCTAGCACGAAGCGAGGCTCCATTTGCGTCACATACAGCATCTTTGATGATTTGGATGCCACTAGTTTCACACCTTTTCTTGGTTGTGGTGACCCGGGAGCTACTAACCTGGAGCTCGCTCGTACTTGGACTGGCTCTGCAGATAATCAAGCCACAAAGCCGCCAGAGTCGAGTTCGGATATTAGCCCTACTACGAATTCTGGCGAGATCCAGAGCAGTGGCACAGCTGATGCACAGCCAACGGAGAATAACGCGGGTTGTAGACAGGGATCTACTGCTCATTTACAGGTTTGGTTCGGACTCCTACTGGTTGGCGCATTGCTCAAATAGTATGAGTTGCGGTGTGAGTTATCTAGGAAGTCTGTGTACTTCTAGGAATGGCGCTGGCTTGCAACTTATATATTGCTGTTCTTGTTTTATTATTTAAATGGAAAGCCAAAGTTTCAGATCAGCGTAACAGTGTTAATTTAGGACGATTCTATTATAATAACAGTTTAGAGGATATATTTCTTTTAGCCAACTATGCTTAGAACCCTACTACTTATTATAATACTAAATTAATTAATTTACCCTTTTTTTATATACGAGTTTAATAAAATCATGTGGAGGGATAATAATACAGAGGAATGGTGATCTAACTTAGGCACAACGAACCATTACCCCTACCCGACTATTAACGACTGACAGATCGACTCTGATGCGCGACTGATTAGATATTATAGTCAAGTGCAGGCGCATAACATCAACATCAATATAGAATCTCAAAGCAATCGGAGAGTGACCCGGACCCGGAAATGTAATATTTCCTAGGATTACCAACAGTCCATCAAGTAATAGTGCTCATATTTGGGTATCTAATTATCTTCGAGGGTGTGCAGCATCGCCCAATAGATTTTAAATGCGAATGCTATCCGCTCAGCGACGATCTAACTAAGAAGTGATTGTAACCGTCGAGGTCTGCAGTTGTGATCCTGGCTCTTGTCATCAGGGACGTCGGGCTTGTGGCTCGGCACGCATTGGTTAAACGAAAAAGGACTGGGGATGCTATTGAAGATGCGAGTTGTATCATCGTGAAGTCAGCATCAATATAAGCTTTATTACGATCTGGGTGCGTCTCCAAATTAGATCGAACCCAGCTCGGGCTAACCATCTTGCAGTGAGGGTTATGGTGATGGGATATTCTCTCCTATGACTTCGGCCAGCGTTTAAGGCAGGCTATATCGAAAGGTCGCTATCTTGATTGTGGCCTGCTCCCATAGTGTATTTTGAAAAGCTTACATTTGCAGTCTAGCTATTAGTATAGTTATAAATCGTGGCTATAGTGAGGGTATAGAGATATCACATGCAACCGCCACCCTTCGAAGTCGGTCTGTTGTTGACATATTAGTTGTGTACTAGGTGTCGAGGTGTTCGCATTACATACTCCTCAACTGATTTATGAATGCAAAGTTCCATGAGAGTCGGCCAAGTGCAGATATGGCTATCCTTAAGGCAATCCTGCATTCTTCATCTAACTTACTCTCGCCAAGACAGACAAAATCATGAGTTGACGTTGACTTATGAAAATACAGTATCATCATTGACATGTATCCAGTCAAGACTGCAGAATAAGCGACCGTTGTAGCTAAAAGAGAATTAATGCATAACTTTACAGCTTCTGGGTTCACTTACAAATACAGATATCGTGAGTTGCCAAATTGCCAATAACTCCTGCCGCGTGTGATATAGACGCCAAATAACATTGAAGATCATGTTGGCTTGTGAATGGGAACATACGAGTGGCTCTACCGGCTCCATCAGCTTCAGGCGGCGTTGAGGCATTGAAAAAGGTTCGAGAAATGATAATGGAAGGGATCGCCTCAAATGTTCTTAATGTTTCAGGATAGTCTGACAAAGTACGGTATCTCTGAATCTTCATGAGGGCGCTGACATTGTTAGCTAGAGGGTCATGAGGCTAAGTGAGCTATTACCAGAGAAGACTTATTTTGGCGGCAGCTCTGAAGTGAACAAAAACATTTAGCTCATCCGATGCCAATGAAATTTTGTAACTCGGTGATAGGCTTTCAACAGAGTCTAGCTGAAATCTGATGAGCTTGTCAAGTGCGTCAATATTTCGTCGAAAACTAGGCATATGATCTGACAAGTTTAATTCCTCGGTCGGTGTGAGGAGAAGTAATGTAGCAGCTACAAGTGTTTCTACCGCCTGGATGTAACAAACCCAAACCTATCAAAATTCATTAATATGTTTGTTGTATCAGTAGAGAACCTTTGGGGGAAAACCTCTGGATGACAGCGAGACGTCGGATATGGAACCTTGACCTTAGGCATGTTCAGGATGCGGCTTGGTGGCTGCATACAAATGAGTAAACGAGAGAAACAAAGTGAAATATGTTCTGAGAGTTTTGATTCACCTACTCTACAGCTTATCACGGATGCGTGACAAATGCACATGTACTATGGTATCTATTTTAGCAGATAGAAAACACCTGGAATATGATATGGACTTACTGTCTTCCACCATGTTCTGTTCCTAGCCTCGCAGTATTCACTGCCATCGTCCTCTAATTCATGCAAGCGTAGAGCAAGACATGCATCAAATGCTTTGTCGGCAAGACGTCTCATCATAATTGTGTTTCCGCAGTGAACATACTGATAAAGGCTAAGGACACAATATGCTAAAGGCTTCTCGTATTCCACAGGTAGCTTTGGATGAAGGGACGACGCTCCATATGGGGATTGCTTGTCGGCACAGACTTGGAGTAGTCCGGTAGCTTTGTTGGCTAGGAAGGTGGCCAATGACGCATTCAACTCAGCAGCACCAGCGTCGGCAGCTGGTCGCTTACCCTTCTGGGGCATCAAGACAAGCAGTGAAAGGAGAGCCAGCACGAGAGGGGAGGATGGCTCATATCCACTAGTCATAACCTCCGGTGAGAGCCACTCGACGGACTCCTGGTAGCTGTTTTCCATGGGCGGAGGCAGGATAGGAAATGCGGGATGAATAAGACGGTAGTAATCTTTCAAACTGTGAACCGAGTGAGTAAATTTGATAGCTAGTGTCACTTGATATTGACATACACGTGTGCGTCAGATCCATATATACACAGACCGAAGCCAGGCGAGGTAAAACAATCAGAAGCCGCTGTCGGATCGAATCGTGTCGCAAACTGAAAAGAAGACAGAATGCCAAGAACATCCTTGTTAAAGTCAATGGAGGCAGCATTAGGGTCACCGAAGGATATGCTATCGAATTGAGGGTTTTCCATCTCGTTGATGAGCACAGAGTCGGGCTGCAGCGTCTTTTGCTCCAGGCTTTGACGTTATCTAGGATAGTCTGTATCAATCAGAGTCGTGGCACTTTGAACAAATATCTGTTCGGTCGTAATATGGTCTCTGCCAAGGGCAAGGCAAGTCTTTCTTAAAGCACCAGATAAGATGGTAGCAGAGCAAGTTAAGGAACAAGATATATAACATAAAACTAGACGGCCTGTGCGTTCAGCTGTGGTTTGTACTCCTGGGCGGCATCAAGATAACGAAGACGAAATGCAAAAACTTTGCGGCCTCTTTTTCTTTATTAAATGGACAAGGTAATTGGAATAGATCTAAGATAAAAATTCCGAATGAGGAAATACGTATCCCCCTACCTACGCAGGTGGATACGGAATCTTTTCTCAGGGTTTAATAAGCAAGCACGCATGTGTCATCCCGTGGAGCAGAAATTATAGTAGTATATACAGGTCACAGAGTACCACGCCCCATGCCGGGCTGAAATTCATCTCCAATTTGAACTTTTCACCCAACAATTAGTGGCTGGCACATGAGGGCCCAATGCTATGCCTGCCCCAACAGGCTTTTCAAAGCGCCGGACCAAAGTTGGTATACCAAAGCATCGAGGCAGATCGCACGTCTGTACTTTTTGTGACCGGAGATTTGTCAGATCAGAACATCTCCTGCGCCACACGCGCACACGTGAGCAGACCAACCACCCTGTCCTGTCGCTCCAGCTTTGTTTTCTGAAATCAAATCCGCGCTAACTGTTCTGTTGAACAGATACTAAAGAAAAGCCTTACGCGTGTCACTGTGGCTCATGTTTCAGTCGACGCGATCTCCTGCTTCGCCACCATAGACTCTATCACCAATCGAACCCCCATACTAAACTTCCTCCATCTCCGTCAGCAACGTCACCGCCTCTGCCGGGCTCTGTGAGCCCCGAAACTCCTGAATTGCCCATAGCCACATTTGCCGAATTTACAAATGACGCCTCGGAGTCGAATGCTGAATTTGATGTCACTGATATTACTACCACTGACGGATTCGATCACCATGAGATCGATGACGGTGACAACCACCGCATAAGTAATAATAACTTACTTGCTGTTGATACATCTAGCCACTCTTCTTCTCGGAAGCCGAAAAACTTTAGTCAGTCCTGCTTTATGTTCACATTGGTTTTGATGAGAGGGTTTTACTCTGGATTGATTGTCCGAGTTGGCTGACAAAGGCTTTGCCAGTCTTCTCGAATAGAACTTCACAGCTCCCTGAACCCCTTTCGGACTTCTATGGCTTTCTGAGTCACAGCACGTTAAGCACGATGACCGAAAGGTTTGGCCTGGGTAATTTTTACCGCAGTTCCGACCGTAAAAACAGAGAAGGGGATATTGCTTCAGTTTCTATCAATTCAACGATGAATTATTAAGCCAGTAGGCAGCCGGCGCCTATTCCATTCTGGAGTAAGTGGAGGTTTTCTCATACCCTGCCAGCCAAGGCTCGGGCTACACTCCAATTCCTATGTTAAGCACTCCAGATTTGGCCTTGAGCTATCATGCAGTTAAACCCCCGTCTCACTTTCTGTGGTTTGCTTGTCTATGTATGCTTTCATTAGTTTCTCTTTATGTAGCTGAATTAGAAAAAGTGAAAGTCTTATTTGAAGCAACCTGGACTGTTGCTCTGTAATAATGGGCTTCCGCCAAAGCTTTGCCGCACTTAAAAATCTTCACTTGGTCACCACGTGCATAATCTTTGGTAGACAAAAGTCCAAGACGATGACTTCAATAGATCGATCGGGCCAACACCCGTTCGTGCCTAGCCGGGTACATCAGATCTTAGTACTGACCTGTTTAAAGTATTGAGTGTATCTTGTAGTGGATTGCCCCTTGAGCTCCAAACTTCACCATAGCATTCATATGACGCAAAGGACACGAATTCAAACAACTGCCTTTGAGCAGAAATATGCCAGCGGGTCCAGATCTTTGGGGTTTATGTCGCAATTATACAGAGTTTCCTTTCGCACCTTATGCCAGCTGCATAACTCAAGATTTTAGAGTCGCCAATCAGTTGACATGTGAATTTGTGGGTTAGCGGCAACTGTAATTGTCCTGCCCATGAACATATACACGTAGGGGGATTGGAAATGTTTAGGTGTGCCTCCCAAAATACCCAAGCCTGCTACCAAGAATCTGCTCTCAAAGCTGGTACACGTGCTAGCATTTTCTGCCCCCGTGGCTGTAGCGCGTTAATTCTTCTCCAAGGTGGAGGTGAAAATATGTCTAGGGTGGGGGACAGCGCTAACCATAAACAACCATGCTACGAGCCACAGTCTCATCTAATCCTTTGCACGTATCGTTATAATTGGCTACTGAACCTGAAAAGGTCAGCCACAGCGCTTCAATGAGATAAAATATTCCTGGTATCCCTGCATCGCGTTCCAGCTGCCTGCCAACAAAGGCCACGCCTCGTCGACCAATCTTGATATCAGGCCTGCATAAACAAGTCAGAATTGTCAGGCTTTTCGTGGGTTCCAAAATTTGCTGCAAGCTTATCATTGAGAATGACACCGACGCCGTTTGAGTAGATGCACGTGTCTTCATGAGCCATCAATGCCCGGAGACAGCTCGCCATAGCACAGCATATTGGCCTCCGGTAAATTGTGAGAGTGTAACTTAGCAAACGATGAACATAGGAGTCAAAACAAATACAAAGCCTCGAAATCACTCATTCACGATATGTCAAGTGCCTGAGGGACTTCTTTTCACTATCCTCTCTTGACCAAACCAAAAACCCTGTTCTGTTAAACATTATGGATATTGATAACTGATACACTCGTCAGTATCACTACTCCAGTGTTGTGCCTTTTACAGGCTGTCACCATGTCTTAGCTGATGCTTGAGCTCCAGCAAACGCCACTGAATGTCTCTCCGAAGGACCGGTCAAACAGTGATGCAAGTGAATCTAGCGGCATTCATCAGAGTATTCCCGAGGAGCCGGTCGCCCCCAGAGAATCAAATCAGTCTTCAACCTATTTGTTACTTGCTAGTCTAGCTGGTCCAAACAACCCTGCTCTTTGCTTCAATAAATCCTTAGTCAACTGCACCTCTATCCAGCCACTTAAATCCACGAATTTCTTACATGCTTTGCGAGCCGGTGCAACCTCAATAATTAGATATTCTTCAGATTCTGGACTAGCTTGTAACAGCTCATCTGCCTCTATTCGAATGCATCTGATTCTGGCAAAAGAGTCTTGTCAAACCTATGCGCCGCATTCTGAAGTCGGACAACCACCATATTAGCTGCTGCTGCTTACAACCTATCTGCCACCTCTTCTGCCTCCAGCGACAGGTTGCCGGTACCACATTCAAACATGATAGTCACGACAGGGAGGAGGGCGGTATCAGAATATAGGCGACAACATTACGTTTTTGCGCTGCTCGGCTTTGGTCACATTACATGTGACAAACAAGCCCAGAGGAGCCTCTGATTGGTGTTGGGGCTTTCTCTAGCGCTGAATTGTGTGCAAGGCCCACGAGAATGCACAATACTTGGGAGGCCCTTGCGTTGCTTCGCATGCAATGGGCTCTGAGCTTGGATGCAGCAACAAGAGCCCTCTAGTGCTGTGATATGATTCAAGGTCGCAGCTACTGGCGGGAATATACCCAAAACTCTTTGAGAACCATGTTGAGGTGTGTGAGCTTCTCAGGGTATCAGTCATTGATAAATGAACTTACTTTAGCGCCATTGACCAGATCATCGGGACACGGATCTTCGGCACAGATGTTAGCGCATCTCAGCTGGCGGCGCCCAATCATATGCTCCAACAACTATTTTATTGAGGATGAAGCCAAGGAACAAAGTTTCAATAGATCAGAGCCGTTTGCGATAACGGTTAGGTCCCTGGTTGTGATGATGTGGCTTCGGGAATCACGGCTACGATACGGGATAGGGCATGATTACCAGGGGATCAAGGGTCCTCCAGTTGTCGTAGGTGGCTCTATGCCTCCACTCTCAGCTGTCCCCCTGCTGACTGCGTGTTTCCTATTCTCTGCAATATGGTCGATTCATGCTCGTCTACCCAGGAACCACGGAGTACTTGCAGGTTGTTGATCATAGACCAGGTGCTTATGGAGTTGTCAATCAGATGAACTGTATCAATCTGTCGAGAAGGGTTCAGTTGTTGGAATAAAAGGAATACGCTTGGTTGATCCCCTGTTTTGGTGACCCCTGGCGTCACATTCCAGACAACCATATGCTTAAAACCCAAGTACTAGCAATAGCGTCAGATAATGAGTTGGCCGCCCATGTGTGTAATTGTGCATACATGATTTGCCACCACTGACGAGTGTCCTTCGTTGAGACTTAAGAGCAGTATACCCATATATGACGCAGCTGACACCTTTATCGCTTGGGGAGCCGCATCGTTCGTTTGCTTCTCGACGTCATACTGCAACTTTAATACATCTACAGCGCGATATTTCGGACCCTTGAGCCGTCTGGTCAATGCATGACTATGAGGGTATTCGACAGACGTGACGAACGTGGCTGGTAAGAAGTGGGCATGTGAAAGGTGACAGATCTGGTCAACCATGAAGACGTCAGAGAGGCATTGATAGATAAAAGGCAGTAAATCGTCGGCTTCAGTGACTGCTTATCCTTCTTTTAGACAGACATCAGCTCCACTCCTCTTCAACTCCAAAGCCGAACAGTCACTGGCTCACCTCTATATCATACTTTACCAATCTACAAACCTCCTACATTATCACCAATGACTCAGCTCACCAAGCTTCTCATCATCCTGGCAGCCGCCACGGCAACACTCGGCGCTCCAACCATGAAGCCTCGCCAGCTCGCTGGTGAAGGCAGCTTCTTCGACTCCGTCTTTACCGGCACCGACAATGGTGTCGGCTATGGTGTCGAAAACGCTGAAGATAACGCTGCCACTCTCCTGGGCGGCAAGGCTACCAGCGGAGGTGGTGGCACTACCAGCAACCCACCTCCTCCACCGCCCAAGGTCAAGAGACAGGCTGATAAGATTGCCAACGGTGCCGCTACTGATCTGCACGCCGTTGGACAAGACAAGGCTGCGGACCTTGTTCAGACTGATGGAGATAATATTGATGGGCAGCTGACTCAGGATGCGGCTACTCTTGGAGCTCAGGTTGGAGGAGATGAGGAGGATGTTCTTGAGCGCACGGGCGATATGGTTCCCAGCAAGATGCCCACTCGCCGTGCTCGGGTTTTTTAATCTTCAGTGCCAGTCTGAACTGTGTGGAGATATTAGTCCTTGAGAAGTCTGTGCGGGAGTTACACTGAGGAGAGCGATTAGTCAGGACAAGCGAGTCATTGGTTAATGTATTCTTAAAAGCAAGCCAGGAGCAGGAAGGCACTTACATAGTAACATTAATTATTATCTATTTTTAAATTCGGGCTCGGCATGTGCTAAATCTCCGGATCTGCAATACCCCGCTAATGAAACGCGGGGAACTTGCCAACGTGGTGATCCGAGATTCCAATTTATGGGGACGGCGAACAGCGGTACACCGTGAACTCACAGTACCTTTTGTCTAGTATGACGATGATACCGACGGAAACGTAGTCTCCTCCTCTTCTTTAAAGGGCGGGTGATAGCTGCTCTCCTGCACCTTTACAGTTTTGCTCAACATTTCTGATCAAGATCTCGGCAGCGAAATGAACATCTACCTCATTGCAATCCCATTGGTGTCGCTGCTCCTACTCAAAGCAGTCTTGACCCTCTTTCAGCATTTGCGCTCAGACCTCAGGTCCATTCGAGGTCCATGGGCTGCTAGATGGACACTGGGCTGGTATACCTGGAAAGTATGGCAAGGTTCTTTCGAGCAGGTCAACCATAATCTACACAAGAAATACGGTATGTTGGAGTACCCCTTTATGCCATTCTCTTGTTGTTAATGTCTCAGGTTCTGTCGTTCGCTATGCACCCAACCGCTACAGCTTCAGCGACCTTGAGGCAGTCAAAGTCATCTACGGTCTGGGTGCTTCGTTCCCCAAGTCCTCATGGTACATACCCTGGGGCAACCCTGGAGATAACAATCTGTTCAACGAGAGGTCCTTGGCTAAGCATGCACACGATCGAAAGCAATATCAGTCCACTTACTCCATGTCTTCCTTGGTCAACTACGAAGCCTTTGTTGACGAGTGTGCCGAACTGTTGAAGAATCGCCTGTCAGAACTCTGTGCGGCAAATCAAGCAATCGACATGCATCATTGGTTTCAATGCTATGCTTTCGACGTCATCGGTATGATCACATATGGAAAGCGCCTGGGCTTTCTCGATAAAGGAGAGGACGTGGGAAATGTCATCAATGCCTTGGGGGAGATACTTGGCTATTCAACAATCATTGGGATCGTCTTCCCCACTCTCCACAATATCATTGTTCCTATCATGAACTTCCTGGCAGGAAATAAGGGACAGGGTGCAGCCTACATCACAGCATTTACCAAAGAGAGGATCAGTGAGACACGCTCGAAACCCAAGGCCGTAATCTTAGATAACAGCGACTCCACAACACAGTCTTTTCTCATCAAGTTCCTAGCCAAAAACACTTCGAAGCCGGATGCTTTCACCTCATCTCATGTCTTGACCGGTTGTCTCATCAACATGATCGCGGGATCTGATACAACTGGCATCAGCCTCTCAGCTGTCTTGTACTACCTTCTCAAGAACCCAAGATGCATGGACAAGCTACAAGAAGAGGTTAATACATTTAATGCCAACGGCCAGTTATCGTCTTATGTCACGTACAAGGAAAGCCAGGCAATGCCGTACTTGCAGGCCGTCATCAAGGAAGCATTGCGGCTCCATCCGGCGACTGGACTACCCCTTGAGCGGGTAGTGCCCAAGGGTGGTGCTACCATTTCAGGACATTTCTTCCCGGAGGGTACTATTGTCGGAATCAATACCTGGGTTGCACACAGGGACCGCAGCATCTTTGGGCAGGATGCGGATTCATTCTCGCCCGAGAGATGGCTGCAAGATGACGACGAGCGCGTAGCTTTGATGAACCGCTTCTGGATGCCTGTAAGTTTACCCTGTATTCTTTACAAGCCAATTCGATTTGTGGCACACGTCCATCTCGGCACCTGATTGTTCTGTGGTGGACGTATCACTGAGCTGACCGAATCTCCTCACAGTTTGGCCCTGGTTCCCGAACATGCATCGGCCGTCATATTTCGATGCTCGAGATGTGCAAACTCATTCCTGCTTTGGTTCGAGACTTTGAGTTTGCTCTACATGATAATTTACTCCATAATGAGTGGAAAACGCAGAACTACTGGTTTGTAAAGCCTCTTGATTTCCAGGTCTGGGTAAAACCAAGGACAAGTGCGGGGTAAAATAACTCAAATGTGCATAATTTAATGCGGAGTCTACACAAGTTATGCTCATTCCGTCTAGGCTAGTCCGTCTTTGTCTCAGCACCCCCGCTCCTTGATCGGAGGTTGATTAGCCCCATGGGGAAATGCTCGGAATCCTGTCAATGACTGTTGCATAAGAAGAACAATTATTTTATTTAAACCCGAATCGAATGCTTCCTGTTGAAAGCCTGTAATCATCTTCAAGACCTGTGTCTTTCTTCTTCAGTCTCTGTGTATAGCGTCTATTGCATCTTCACAATGACTCTTCTTCAGACAACAACACCAACTCCCAAAGCCGACCGTATGTTTCCCTCCTTATCTTCGTTATCAGCACTGACAGGCCCAGCAATCGTCGTGGACGGCACGTCATTTGCGCTCAACGGCAAAAATGTCTCCTACCGCTTTCACGTCGATCCAGCGACTGGCGATCTCCTCCTTGATCACTTCGGCGATCGCGTAACAGAAAATCCCATTGCCCAGATCATGTCCAACGGCGGAGGCTGGTCTACTCAAGCTCATCTCCGCCGCGAGTTTCCAGACCTTGGCCGTGGAGATTTCCGCACTCCTGCTGTACACATTAAGCACGCCAAGGGCTTCACAGTTTGCAACTTCAAGTATAAGTCGCATACAGTCGTCAAAGGTAAACCTGCGATCGAGAAACTGCCCAGCACATTTGGCTCAGACGATGATGTTTCAACACTGATTATACATCTTGACGATGAGTATAGCTCTGTTGGCGCAGACTTGTCATACTCTATCTTCCCTAACTTCGATGCTATTGTGCGAAACGTCAAGATTATCAACAAGAGTGATGATGTCATCACTGTTGAAAAGCTGTCCAGCTTCAGCGTTGACTTTCCTCATGAGAATTACGAGATGCTGCAGTTGCAGGGAGAGTGGACCAGGGAATGCAACAGAACTCGCCGAAAGGTTGAGTATGGACTTCAAGGGTATGTTATCTGCTTGGCGCAGAGTTCCATGGCTAATATTGGTGCAGATTCGGAAGTACTACTGGCTACTCGTCTCACTACCATAACCCATTCTTGTCAATGGTCTCCCCATCAACAACCGAGTCCCACGGCGAAGTTTGGGGTTTCTCCCTCGTCTACACTGGCTCCTTCAGCGTCGAAGTTGAGAAGAGTCATCAAGGTCTCACTCGCGCACTCGTCGGGATGAACCCATGTCAGCTCTCTTGGCCGTTGAGATCCGGCGAATCACTGCAATCACCAGAATGCGTTTCCGTCTTTTCCAACCTCGGCATCGGCGAGATGTCACGAAAGTTCCATCGTCTGTATCGCCAGAACCTCATCCGAAGCAAGTTTGTCTCTGAAACGAGACCTGTTTTGTTGAATAGCTGGGAAGGTCTCTACTTTGATTTTGACGACAAGACGATCTACAAGCTAGCGCAAGAGTCAGCAAAGCTGGGCGCCAAGCTCTTTGTCCTGGACGATGGATGGTTTGGCGATAAGCATCCTCGCGTTAACGACCATGCTGGACTGGGCGACTGGGTTGCAAACCCCAAGAGGTTCCCTGGTGGTCTGGACTCTCTTGCTAAGGACATCACCAAGTTGCAAGTCAAGGATTCGGACGAGAAGCTGCAGTTTGGATTGTGGTTTGAGCCTGAGATGGTCAACCAGAAGTCTGAGCTATATGAGCAGCATCCGGAGTGGGTTCTGAGCGCTGGAAACCACGCTCGTAGCGAAACTCGCCAACAGCTGGTGTTGAACGCTGCCCTCCCAGAAGTACAGGACTTCATTATCAGCTCTGTATCCAAGATCTTGGAGACAGTTCCCGTCAGTTATGTCAAGTGGGACAACAACCGGGCGATGCACGAAAGTCCTACGCCAGACAACCATCACGCCTACATGCTCGGTATCTACCATGTCTTTGACGTGCTGACCGCCCGATTCCCCGATGTCCTTTGGGAGGGTTGCGCATCGGGTGGCGGTCGCTTCGATCCTGGCATCTTGCAGTACTTCCCGCAGGTTTGGACTTCGGACAACATGGATGCTTTCGATCGCATTCACATTCAGTTTGGTACATCTTTGGTCTACCCGCCTTCGACGATGGGAGCACATGTCTGCTCTGCTCCCAACGACGTGACGGGACGCTCGATCCCAATGAGCTTCAGAGCCCACGTTGCGATGATGGGCGGTTCATTCGGCTTCGAGTTGAACCCTGACCATACGCCCGAGGAAGACAAGGCGCAGATCCCGGAGCTGATCAAGCTCGCAGAAAAGATCAACCCCATCATTATCAAGGGAGATATGTGGCGGTTAGTGTTACCTGAGGATTCCAACTTCCCTGCAGCAATCTTTGTATCAGAGGACGGGAGCCAAGCTGTCTTGTTCGCATTCCAGATCAGAGCCACTACTGTTCTCAACTATCCTCTCCTCCGACTGGCTGGGCTTGACGCAGAGGCGAGGTATAAGCTTGATGGCGGAGAGACGTACTCGGGCGCGACACTAATGAATGGAGGAATTCAGTTTCGATTTGGTACAGATTACGATAGTAAGGTTGTTCTACTAGAGAGGGTATAAATGAATCGGGCAGAACGTTATGTAAAGATGTCAAGGACACCAAACGGTTGACGCAAAATGGAAAACCCCCAGCACAAGCATATTAGACAGATTGTCAACACAAAGGACGCTTTTCAGATTAGTTAAAAGAAAGTCCAATCTCGGGATCAAATTGTCCACACGATATTGTCGCGTCCTCCCAAGTTGTCGTCACCACAGGCGTACTCAAGTCCAACAGATCGAGGTTGCCATCTGGTACCCAGCCCAAAGGATCCACGGGCTGTTCATCTTCCGGCGACAGTTCCTCAACAATCGCTAGCCTTTCATCATTTCCCGCTTCTTGCACATCCCACGGGAGATCTAGATGCGCGTTGGGATCTGCAAGAGCAAACAATGTCTCCGAGTGCTTGAGAAGATTGGGCAACAAGTGAGATTGAGCGCCTCGAACTGTTGAGAGAGCATGAATCACGACGGAGAGCAAGTCACGAGGGCCATTCTCGAGTGCGGAATATGTCCAGCCGGGGAGTTGAGCGGTATCTGCGAGACTGACGCCGACGTCAAAGAGCTTTTGTTCCTAGACAAGAGTCAGGTCAGTATTCCATGGCCAGTCAGAAACGAAACACCGGTGAGTCTTACCATCCCGATGCCATGGCAATCTTTCGACTTGGTTCCAACAGACCCCAAGGCAGACATGATGATCTTTCCTGCATCCATTGGAAGAGAAGGCGGAAGAAGTAGTCCAAAGCCAGATGCCGACGAAGGATTCTGACCAAACGCGATCCGCCACATGGATATTCGAAGCCACTGTTGAGTGATGAGCGTATCGAATCGTTGACTCTCGATAATCGATTGGTCTGGCTGCACACTGCAGAGTTTGTCGTTGATGGTATGTACAAGCTTCAAGTCATCGAAGCGCTGATCATCACCCTCAGGTTGCCATTCGTACAAAGAATATGGGAGAGATTCGAAGAGGCGGATGTGGTTTATAAAGTCGTGCATCACTACAGGGCAATTTGAGTCGACGATTTGGGGCTTGTTGACTGTGCTTCGAAGCATGACGGATCTTCTGTGCTGAAGAGCAAAGGTTCTGTGGAGCGTTAGTTTTGGGGTAAGGTAATAGGCGAAGGAACTTGCCTTTCTGTGACAAAGAGGAGCCAAAAGACGCGTCGTCTCTTCTCACGTTCCTCATCAGGTAGACCATAATAACCAGACTCTTTTGTCAGATCAAGTGACTGAGCGAGAGTAATACTCTGATTGAGATAGAACCAGGCGTGGCGCGGATCGTTGAGATTGCCATAGCTTGCAAAGAGGAAGAACGAGACAAGTACCGAGTCGAGGGTTGCATCATCTATCACGCTGTATTGGCGGAGTGAGTTCTCAGCCAGGTTGACGAGAATATCACCTGTCAAGCGTGGCTCAGATGGGATTTGTGCGTTGAGGTCGTTCTCACAGTTGTCGATCCTCTTGTCCAACCGTAACTGCATTCTTGTCGCGGCACATATTGCAAGGATGAGAGCATATCTGGAAGGTGGTAGGTCATCTAGTCGAGCTGCGTCGGCGAGGATGTCATCGTCGACGACTGGCATGATAGGGTAGAGAAACCTCTGGAAGAGCCGTATGTGAGCAACGAGTGATAGAGACATGCGTTTGCAGAGGTCTCCGGTATCGATAGTCGCGTCATTGGGCGGTGTTGTCGAATCTGATTCCGGTTCTGGTTGTGATTGTGGAGCAGGGTCAATGTTGGTTGGTGGAGATGAGAATGGCTGAGTGTTGACTTGAGCGTCTGTCGGGGCATCTTCATGGCTGTTGCTGGTTGATCCAGGCGGCGCTTCAGAAGTGAGTATCTGGAATTGATACTCATCAATACCCAGACCCTGCCTCAGCTGTGTCTGTCGTCTCCCTTGACCCTGCTTTGGGCCCTTCCTCCGAATGCTGTGGCGATATTGGCAACGGAGGTCTCCGATGTGACAGTTCTTACAGGGTAGACCACGATCACACTTGACCTTGCGGAATCGGCAGTTGTCGCAGACCTGGCCGCGCTTTACCGGGATAGTCGCCATGTCGCTTTAGATCCGGGGTTGTTGAATGCTTAATGGAGATATAGTCGGCAGATCCAATTCTTTTGCCAGCGTCATTTCTCGTGACTCTCGGTCCGATATATCAAGCGATGAGGGGTATCCACCAGAAACTGACCATTCTCGAGGTCACGATGGGCCCGAAGCTAAGCATTCTTCAAGTGAGGGGCTATGCCGAAAGGGGTAATGTTCGGACTGTAACATTAACCCCCATGGGGCGGTTTTCGGTTCCCCATGGGGACTTGGGAACAAAAGCGATTGGGAAACATGCACGAGGAGGATTCAATTGCTCCAGTATATAACCTCAAGATGCGTTGCTGATCAATTGAAGATCTACTCCATCAGACACTCACCAGCTCATTCTTCTACTCACAGACATCAACTCTCAATCACAATGGGCAAAGAGATCATCAACCCTTCGGTTTCGCACGCCGAAAGCTACGATGTCGAGGCTTCGGTGGCGAAGACGGTTGGCCACGATACCACCGACCAGGCTCGTCTCGGTGCTCAGGCTGAGCATGACCTCCCTCCTCTCCAAGCCGTTCGCAAGTATCCCTGGACAGTTGTCTGGTGTCTCGTCGTCTCCATGTGCGTCATCATGGAAGGCTACGATACCAACCTCCTCTCCAACTTCTACGCCTATCCCGCCTTTGCCAAGAAGTACGGCCATTGGAACGAAGAGACCAACAACTACCAGCTCTCTGCTCCTTGGCAAGCTGGTCTCGGTAATGCTGCAGGAGTTGGTTCATTCTTTGGAACTCTTCTCAACGGTTACCTCGTCACCAAGTATGGCCACATCAAGGTCCTCATCGGCTCTTTGATCTCTCTCAGCTGCTTCATCTTTATCGTCTTCTTCGCTCCCGACACCAAAGTCCTCCTCGTTGGACAGATCCTCTGCGGTTTCCCCTGGGGTGTCTTCGCTACGACTGCGCCAGCCTATGCCTCTGAAGTTCTTCCCATGTCGCTTCGAGTTTACATGACCAGCTGGACCAACATGTGTTTCATCATCGGACAGCTCATCTCTGCTGGCGTCATGGCTGGTCTTGTCAACACTCCTGCTCCTTGGGCGTATCGCATCCCCTTTGCGCTCCAATGGTTCTGGCCTGTTATTCTGGTGCCTATTCTCTGCTTTGCTCCCGACACTCCCTGGCATCTTGTTCGAATTGGCCGACACGACGATGCCCTCAAGAGCCTCGCCCGACTCCGACCTCGTGCCACCGATGCTGAGCTTCGCGATGCCCTTGGCCTCATTGTCTACACCAACAGCCTCGAAGAGCAGCTTTCCGTCGGCACTTCATACCGCGACTGCTTCAAGGGCTTCGAACTTCGACGAACCGAGATTGCCATCGTTGTATTCGCTGGTCAGATTCTTTCTGGTCTCAACTTTGCCTACAACTCGACCTACTTCTTCCAGCAGATCGGTCTCGACTCTAACACCACCTACCATCTCAACGTTGGCGGAAACGGAATGGCCCTGTTTGCTACCTTGGTGTCTTGGTTCTGTGTCATGCCATACGTTGGAAGACGCACGGCCTACCTTTATGGTATGTTCACCATGGCCACTGTCCTTTTCGTCATTGGCGCTCTCAACACCCGAACCGAGAATCATTCAATCGCCATGACCCAAGCTGTCCTCACTCTCGTCTGGACCTTTGTCTTCCAATTGTCTGCTGGTCAGCTCGGCTGGGCTCTTCCTGCTGAGATGGGCTCAACCAGACTCCGACAGAAGACCATCTGCCTCGCCCGCAACGGTTATGCCATCACTGGAGTTGTCGCTGGTGTTCTTCAGCCTTACTTCATGAACCCTACTCAGTGGAACCTTCGAGGTTATACCGGTTTCATCTGGGGAAGCACTGCTTTCATCGTCTTCGTTTGGGGCTACTTCCGTCTTCCTGAGACCCGAAACCGCACCTTTGAGGAGCTCGACATTCTGTTCGCCAAGGGTGTTTCGGCACGCAAGTTCAGTTCCTACAAGATCGATTCTTTCGAGGAGGCGGACAGTGCTGTTCATCAGACCGAGAAGGCTTGATCTTTGCAGCCACGTAACTGGGTAGACATACACTGTCCTCGTGTCAGATTACGGAATGGAGTTTGGGTTGAAGGGGAAGAAATTGGTTTAGCTGGTGGATTGACAATATAAACTATGATATGGATCTAAATAACATGATTATTGCGCAACAAGAGCTGTTTTGTGTCTTAGAGTGATCAGTGACCATCTAGTTTCTGCAGAGTGACCAATCATTCATCAATATCTCTTTCTGCCATCTCATGTTCGCCTATTGTGATTCGAGGTCCTTCAAAGTTCTTTCTTCCATCCACAATCCACTGAATGGCCGATATGACCACAATGACACCAAATGCAACAACACAGTAGTTCATCGTAGTCCCATCAACAGGCAACGCTGGAGGGAATAGGAAGAGCACGGTTGTAACAATAGTGTACACCAATCCAATGATGTTTGTTGTCCATCCAAGCCAGTTGGGTAGCTTGAAGGCTCCTTCGGGCAATTGAGATCGGCCACGCGCCAGGTGGAGGGCAATGGGGATGCCATAGCTCAGACCAAGAGCCACCACCGAAGACGCGACGATAGCATTGAAGGCAACAGTAGAACCGAGGTAGATACAGCCAAAGATGACCACAATGACAACATTGAGATAAAGGGCGTTCATGGGTACACCAAGCTTGGGGTGAACCTTCCACCAGATGTGTGATGCTGGAAGTCCACCATCTCTTGCGAACGCGAACATCATACGTGATGAAGTCGTCATGACTGCGATGGCAGCAAATACCAGGCAGAGAAGAGGAAACATGAGCAGGCAAATAGCTCCGACTTTGCTGTTGGTGGCCAAGTAGAAGATTTCAAGTAAGGGACCGGCCGTGGATCCAATGATGGTATCGGCGTTCTTGATACCGCCAGACACAAAGAGTACCACGATGAGAAACAGGAAGCCAGTTGAGATGCCGATGTACTGACAGTACAGCATAATCTTGGGGCCCTCGCTCGCTGCATTGGGAATTTCTTCAATCATGTGAGCAACGGCATCAAACCCTGTAAGTCCAAGTCCTCCCTGCAAGAGACCCAGGAGCCAGGCAATACCGTCTGGCCAACCGGTTGTGTTGATAAAGGTAGCGAATACGTAGTCGGCCGTGGCATAGTCGGGCGCAGCGCACGCGAGCACTGTAATGGAGATGATGAAGAAGCCGGCGATACTCCAGACAAGGGCAAGACCATTGATGCGAGGGAGGAGCGAATGAAGGAAAGCGTTGGTTGCGAAGGCGATAAAGGCGATACCGAGATATATGAGGAATTGGTGCCATCTCTGGAACTCGTAGCTGGGACTTTGGAGCGAGATGATGTTGATGATGAGGGTGCTCGACAAGGAACAGTTCGTCGCAACCAGACAGGCCCAGCCGCTCAGATTGATCCAACCCGTGATCCAAGACAGAGGAATCTTCAAAGACGCAGGGGCAATTGTGGCAACCCAATGATACTGTCCACCAGAAGTTGGCTGTGCTGACAGAAACTCAGCGAGACTTGCAGCAAGTGAGAGGTTGCAGATACCAGCCGTGACTAATCCCCAGATCACAGCAACAGGTCCACCTGAAGGTAGAGCGAGCGAAAGTGATGCTGCAAGCGCAGTCCAAGAGTTGAGGATAGCAAAGGCTAAGCCCAGCATTGTCCAGCGACTGAAGTTGCGCTTGAAGGACTGGGAATGACCCAGTTGAGCGAGTTGGTAGTCATCGAGATTGGTGGTTGGTTTGACATCCATTATGTCAGATACATCAAGAGAATGAAGTGGATGAGATATCTACTGGGGAATAGAAAGAATGCCAGGGAACTGCCTCGATTATAAACCTCTGATCCATCCATTCCGGACATAACGGTTCCAGCACATGCTGTAAGATCAGCAGCTATCAATATCGGCCGAAGCTAACTCGATTCAATCGCGGGGAAGAAATCCTCGAACCTCATTCGATAAACAAGCAGGATTTCCGTTTGCGCCCTCCGACTACGCTCCGTTTTCACAGGATAAGGATCCACCGTTATCATTCCCGTGCGGAGAACCCTGGTCAGACTGAAAGCCTGTGATCATGGTTTGGAGATAAGAGGCTGAGATGCTGACACTTGATTCGTCTGATTGTCTTGATGTCGAAAAATTGCTAGTCAACTGCTCGAAACGGTAAGAGATTGGGCCACCCTTGACATCTGCACGTCGGTGAGATTGATGATTATCGGGATACTCTTGAGCGCTTTGGGAAGTTCGAGGGAGACGCAGTTATCCATTCTCAGCATCGAATTGAAGCATTATCCGATTGGGCACAATGGTGATCATCTCGGCGAACTCCCTTTCTATCCTCAGGCAATGCAACGGTTGATAACGAACTAATAGTTGTCGTAACTGTAGGCTCCGTAATGATATCCACCACCGTTTTTAGTACCGAAGCATTGGCAGACGATATTCTCAAACGCATCATAACGCAACTCCCAAGGCATTCCGAGACCCTGGTACTCGAAATGGCATTCGTTTGAGTTGCGGTCATTCTGACAAATTCGTTTCCAACTTGCTTCACCAGCGTCAGAACTGCAGAATGCGTCCCGATCTGGCCAGTTACCGTCTCAATTGGTGCAAGCTCCGATGCCTTTGCTGCCAACCCTATAGCCTCTGCAGTCTGCAGTTCCAGTTGAATAGAGGCTCGCAGCCACGTTCAGGTCGCTGAGGAGGAAGGTTCCTGTCTTCGTGTCAGGGCTCTGATAATTGAGATTAGACGCAATGACAGACCAGTCATGGACAGGCGCAACTCAAAGGAAATTGGATGTGTCTCTTAAATAGATGTTCAAGATCTGGTTAAGTAATGATTATGTATGGGAATTTTATATAGGCTTGCCAGACTTATTATAGCCTGTATACTTTATAGTTTCATACACCTTTAATGCCTTTCGGCAGTTGTCTGCCGTGGAATTCTGTTGGTGGGCTTGGTGGTGCTTGGCAGTTAGTATCCGTACTTGGCAGGTCCGTTTCACCCTTGTTCCCGCTTATGGGTGACTGCTTTTCTGTATTTGTTCTTTGATCTTCTAAACAAGTTCTTATTACGTAATTAATTATAGAAGAATTATAGAATTTCAGCAGCCATGCTATCTTCTTAGCTTAAAGTGCTTTAATATTTTCATAAATTAATTATTAATTCTTTACTTAACACGGTGATGGAACGTAGGGGGTAATTAAAAGACAGAGTCCTGACTTCCAGGGGATCCCCCTTGTCGCTGTCTTGAGACCGCGGAATGGGGCGGAATTATTAATATCTAATTATAGCACAATGCACCAAGAAAGAATAACCTGCCCTGTAATGCTAATTATCTTTTCAAGCATGAGAGGCAGAGTATCCAATTTATGCCATTTAAAGTAATATACTTCCTCCTTTATATTATATTACTATATTTTAACCTTAAGTAGGTATGACTTTATTTTCACAACGTGCAGCCTTTGGGCAAACTCTATCCTCACGACGACAATCTTGCTCGCATAGAAAGGACAGGGCGATACGCGGGTTTGAATTATCACGCCTCTATCTTCTGCACTCTCTTCTATTGGTGATATAAGCGAATGTGGCTTGCGACTCATTTCCTTTGAGGTTCTCAAAATCTGTAAGAGATAAGGCTAGCCCTACCTCAGTCCAGCGTTGTCCCAGGTATTCGGGTAGTCTTCGGGCCCTGACTCTTGCAAGTGTCAAATGTGGAGCTTTCCCCCTTATGCCATTGTTCCAGGTCAAGGCTAAACTCAGTCCTGGAAGACGGCGTGGACTGATTCAAAGCCGGCTTTCAAACCTGAGCGAATAACATGACGAATTACTCGTTGCGAATTGCGCGAGGGTCCGAGTGACACTAGGATGCAGTGCCGTCAACGCCGCAGTGGGGCGGCGTTGTCCCTTATCTCTTAAGTACAAGGCTTTTGGTAACCAACGAACAAGAGCGCCGAGATAACCAGTTGCTTAAAGACGTTTCTAACATAAGGAAGAATGAGCATTTACATTATCATATCAGGCATTTATCTCTTGGATCCAACCGGGGAACCCTGCCGCTCCTGGTCCCATTGGTACTGGCTCACTTCTGTTAATGAGGCTATTCACCTGGCTGCAATAGTTTGTTTGTCTAACCAAGCCTCGCAACGGTAGTTCGCATTAGTCCAGACAGGCTGAAGACACTAAGCTCAGCTTGCGTCAATAGCAGGCTCTCGCGAATAACGATCAAGTGTTCGGGTTACACATCAACGCTAAGCCACGCCCGGGCTGCATGGGTTGGTTGTGAGCTTCCATCATACCAGTCATATCACAATCTTCACTGACTGGCAATATTCTGGAAGCTAATTGGGGTAGATATTGCGTAGGGGATGCCACACCAATGTTACGAGCCCCCCCTCGTTACATAATATCTGTCGCGTCGCTCAGTATCCGGTAAAGTCAATATAGAAGCAACTGACCTCAGCCATTTGCGGTCCACAGGACACAGTCGAGAGCTGGAAGTGGTCCAGATTAAACAGACATGGCCAATCGGCTCTAAATTAAATACCGCTCGCTTCCTTCGCATGTTGCATAGTGTAAAGCTAAATTGCAAACACTAGTCATGCTACTCTCTCCTCAAAACGCCACACTAGCGATAACAGGCGTGGACTGACTCGAGAAGATGGAGGTCACTTAACTCGAATTGAAATGGCTCAGCCTGTTTACTCTCAACTGGGAATTAACCAACGTCTCTACATATATGTCCATGGAACTTTTGTTCAATGATCTGCGTCCTTCGTCATTTCTCTCCCTTCATTCATGAACTTTTGATCTGAGACAGTTACCCATCATGGTCCAAGCTTTCCCCATCTACCTGCCTCGGCAGCGGGAGCTGATCGCGACATGGGTAATCCTGCCCATGCTGTCAAATATTACAGTCGGGCTTCGGTTTTACGCAAAGTCCAAGACGAGAGGCGTCTATGGCTGGACTGACTGGATGATCATAGCATCCGCCGTATGTCATCTGGTCCTATGAAATGACATTTGTCTTCTAACACTTGATAGTTCTTCACTGACCTTTTTTTTGTCTTGCTTCTTCTGAGTAAGCCGTCTCTTCTCCTCCATACAATCGAGAGCATGAGAATTTGCCAAAGCTCAATAGCTAACATGTGTCTCCCCACCAGTGCTTATATACGGAGGCATTGGCATCCCTGGATACCCATACACTAGTACTACAGAGCCAACCGACGTTTCGTTGATCCACGATCAGGTACGCCCCGTTCAGTAACACTTCTAGTGCTGTATTAGCTAACAAAGCTTTGGCTCATTAGATTGGCTGGGGCAACAACATCGTCCTCGTTTTCGCAGTCTACTCCTGCAAAGCCTCGATCCTATTCCTCTATCATCGCCTCTTCACAGGCCACAATGGCCCAATGAACATTATAATATACGTAGCATCGGGCATAACCTTCACGTGCTTCTTTGGAAGTTTTATCGGTTATCTCGCCGCCGTGCGGCCGATCGAGAAGTGGTGGGCTTGGGGCGATGCGACGGCTGAGCAGTTCCTCGCCATGCAGAACATCAACATCGCCTATGACAGCCTGACGGTTTTCACCGACTTCTTGATCTTTGTACTCCCACTCAAGTCAATCTGGGGGCTAAATATGAACCGCGGAAAAAAGATTGGTATTATTGTATCCTTTTGCTTTGGGTTTATGTAAGTGGCCTTGACCCCTGACACATCAAACACGCCCTCTGCCACTCGACTCCTGAACAGTGGACTGTTACTAACAACACAAAACTAGCACTTGTTTTATTGCTCTTGCTCGTGTCGTCTTCACACATGGGTACCAATGGAAGAATCTCTACGATGAAGGAACTTTATGGTCCCTTGCAGGCGTCGAGCCAGTGGCAGGGATTATCTGCGCATGTCTCCCTGGCCTGCGTCCACTGATGCCCAAGACCTTTAAGATGACGTCTTACGGCACTCCGGCAAATCCCAGCAGATTCAGGACTACTGGCACTACGGCGACGGATAATGCTAAGAGGAGTACTAATAGGGAGCCCAACCCATTCAGGGTCCTGAATGATGATAGCTCGGTGACACAATTTCGAACTGTCAGAGAGGTCCCTTCGAGATCGGAGATAAGCGATGAGTACATTGAGCTCGAAGAGCAACGGCCTAAGGCTTTTGATACCTAGTGAGGAATTATTCGAAGACAACTCAAGACATGTATCTATTTTGTTTTATTATTACTATCTACTGAAGCATTTTGCCATACGGGGCACTCCGTTTCAATATTTCAGCGTCTCCTCTTGTCACAAACCGGTGCCTAACTCAATAAGATGACAGTAAGTGGCCGAAACTGGGAATGACTGTAATACCAAGTCCCTTAATTGTAGGCCGGACTATGAAGCCTCTCAGGTTCTGAGCTGTAAGTGTCTTGGCAGGCACACCAGCCTGTTCTGTCTCACTGATCTCTAGTAGAGTGACATACAGTCAACATGAGTCTATGAAGCTATTATTGCTCCAGATACAAGTCTAGTCTCGGGTCTTTTCGCGAGTGTCAGGGCTAGGGCAACCCCTTTATGCACCAAAATGGCTATGACACGAGGTTTGTGGCGGTTGGGCGATGGTGTTGTGGGGACCAAGCCCAGGACATGACCATTCCTTTAAATAGGAGAATTGCACACAGCTCCAGCAATTAAGAAATTGGTAAAGATGAGAAACTTGATATAATCTGATGAAGCTATAAGCAAACGATAACTAAACTGGCAAAACAACCTTGACTCCCATGTACTCTCGTTGGTGCATGAGCTTTCCATCAATCAGAACTTGATGAGCACCAACTCTATTGTTCACTGTATCGGTAGGATCCGTACATGTTGCGATCTGGATCTCACGCCATTCTCTGTTGGTAGGAACGAGCTTGCCTTGCTGCGTTCGCTTCTTGAACTCGGCGTACACTCCTTGATCTTCGACACAACCCTCGCGTTGAATAAGGGGAGATTCTGTCACATAGTCAGTAACATGAAGTCGGATGGACAGTAAATCCCAACTTACCAGCAGCTGGTGTCATACGCAAGTCACCAACGGAGCTGTTGAAAAGCACCAATGAGAGACGCTCGTAGTTGCGTTGGTCAACCGGGGGCTTGTAGACACGGTGACGAGTGGCTTTGAAGTGTCCCCCGGACACGATCTCGAGGGTATCGCCAATGTTGACGACGAGAGCACCCGGCTTATAGGGGGCATAGTACCACTTCTCATCCTGGCCCCAGATCTGAAGGCAAGAGACAGGAACGGAAAAGAGCAGGGTGGTGAGACCAAAGTCTGTATGACCATGCATGCGAAGGCCCTTGGAAGCCTCTTCTGTGGTCTTCTGCACAGGTCTGAAGAGAGCATGCCTGAAGTAACCCTCGCCAGTTGGGCTGCCGTGCGACTGGACGTTTTCCCAAAGGTAATCGTCTGGGAGCTCGAGAACGCGGGAGAAGAGAGTCAGGAGGCGACGGTTGACCGAGCCAGTCAGGTAATTGGCAAAAGACTCGATCTCATCCATGAAGGGATGGAGACAGGTAGGGACGCGGTTAATGTCCTCCCAGTCGGGTCGGTACCAGTTGAACTGTTCAATGCCATCAGGAGGTCCACGGTGACGCTATTCGATGGAAACAGTCAGCCAGCTAGTTCAACTGAAGAAAGTAATGGATCAACGGCGGGGAAAAAGGTTTACCTTGAAGCCAAATGGATGTTTATAGCCAGACCAGACACCAGAGTCAGGGTTGAAAAGTAGACGTTCCTTGTCCTCCTCCGAGATGTTGTTGTACATATACTGGGCGATGGCGAATTGGCGATGGAGCTGTGGTATAAGTCGTCAGCGACAGTGGTTTCATGTCGAATGCATTGCATCGTACCTGTTCTAGCGAGATACCATAGTTCTCAAGGAATAGGAACCCATCCTCGCGAATAGCTCTCTTGACTTGGTTGACCAAGTCTTGCACAACCGCAGGATCATCCGAGTCAAGCAAAGAAAGATCAATAGAAGTGAGTTCGGCAAATTGCTCCTTTTGCTGTGTCACTGGTGGGGGAATCCACTCAGGGACGAAAGGCTTGCCAGGCAACTCGGCTGAAGGGGGACTAAATGGAGCTGCTGGCGACATGTTGAGAAATTTTAATGATGTTTAGATAGAGAGATAGTTGTTATGGATTGTGATTTCTTGGTCTGCTTCAGATCGTGGTTTGATGGTTGATTGTTCTGCTCTTATACAGCTAACTGCCTGAGTTGTTTGGTCGAGCTCCGCCTCTCGGAGATGGCGTAGGACAGAGTCCGGCTTCTACCACTCGTCTGAGTTCAACAACGTACGATCAACTCACGTGCCTCAGCTATCTAGCTCCAACATCAATGTCTATCCTGCCCAGTATCGATGCTACATCGCTTGCTGATTGATAGTGCCTCATCACAATCAATCAAGCTCCTCCCCGAGATGGCTGAAGCCAGTGATCGTCCTGGGCCTGCACCTCATTGGGATTAGGGCCGGAGGACAAAAGAACCAATTGGGAGGAGCTAGCGCTGGCTGTAGGGGGCCGGGCAAGGTACTTGGGAGGAGCTCCTCCCAGATAAGTGGCCAATCAGCTAATCCCGAAATCCACCATGAACAAGAGATGAATATGATAAGGGTACGGTTCTTTGCTCAGTACCTGGGTATCAATCATCATTCAAACCATTCACAAGTCATCAGACAATTACTCGCAACATCTGCCTCACTTTCAGCCTCATTCTACCTCACACAACCATGTCTCGCCAACTTATTTCCAGCGAAAAGTTCCCTCCTAAGCCCCACAACTGTAAGTCGGCTAAACCCCAGGTCCTCCATTGAGAGAGAGAACATCACTGACACCTATCGACCTTGCGCAGGCCCAGCCACCAAAGTACCTGGTCTAGTCTTCTGTGCCGGACAGACTGCTACTGGCGAGATTAAGCAGGCAACAGTGCGTTTCTCAAGTCCCAACCTCTGCTGCACCCTCTAACCTATTGTACAGAGAACTGTTCTCCAGAATCTCAAAGAGGTGCTTGAGCTCTCCGGCTCATCTCTTGAGCAGGTCGTCAAGTACAATGTCTACCTGGCTGACATGAAGGACTTTGCTGCTATGAATGAGGTGTACATAGATTTCCTGCCCCAGCCCATGCCTTCGCGCTCGTGCCTCCAGGCTCTTCCTCCTGGTGACGGTACTGTCATTGAGATTGAGTGCATTGCGCAGGCTTAGTTGGACTTGAAAAGTAAAAGATTAGACCAGGTTTCAATGGCTTTATAGATAGAGAATGTCACTATTAGCTTTATAACATGGTGCACTAGTGGAACATGATCGACAGTTATACCTCCGGGGAAGGTTTGTCATCACCAGAACCCGTAATATGCTGAATAATGCAAGTTCACATAAGTAAATGTGACAGTCTAAGCCTATTTTCAAACTATCGGACCATTTCTCATAGCTAACTTACGATGGGAACTATGTGTGAGCCGATCCCACCTCGCACGACTCGGTGAATCGAAGCGATAAAGTCTTGATCATATCAAGCGTGGCCACCTTGATTGTTCCATCTAATTTACAGATATATGGAACAAGGCTAGTTGAGGCTTAGAAATACTTGTTCATAATGTGTCTAGGCACGTCATGATAATCTTGCCAAGCTGCCACTGCTGCCTTCGTCCGAAAACCCTTCTGGCCCACTCTAGAGCCCCATTGGTATCTCCGTCTTCAACGCCAACAACCTGCATCGTTCCGAGCGTACTACCTCGCATCAACTGCCAGGCAATTACGAAAGCCTTGAAGGCGTATAACATGATCCAAGGCGCCTCCGAGTCTGGTACAAGGGGCGAGTCGAGATATGTGAGAAACCAGTCGATATGAGGTTTGATGACTTGCGCAGTATTGGACTCGCAGAGAAACTCGCACGATGGTGCCAGATATGTCGTCTGCTGCAAGACTGCGTCCATGGTCCCACCCACGATGCCGCAGGTATGTGACGGCGACCATATCCGCACATCGACCATGGCAGACTGCCATGTGGCCTCGCACAACGCTCCACGAGGCCAGTTTGCGTGTTCTGATCCGGACTGGATAACAGGACCCAACGCTTCGAGGGACTTGCGCAATGGTTCAAGCCTTTCTGTGCTAATCATTCCTGTCATGGCACTCCAGCCCGACGTTTCTTGAGCGCTGGATGCAAGGAACTGGGTGATGTTTATGGCTCCATATGGGTCAAACGAGGGAAAAGAGCTGGGATCCGATGCCAATGACAAAAAGAGGCGAACAGCATCGGGATACTGAACCGGTGGGCCAGGGACGACGGCAACTAATTTTTTATGCGCCCACTCGGCTGCTGAAGACGCCGCCCACTGATCCTGAGGGCATGGCAGCTCGTGCTTGATCTCGAGATGTGAGAATTGTCGGGGTATCGAGAGAAACTGATACCATAACGTGTCGATTTGATGGGCAGCGAAGAGCGTCCTCTTATGCGACTCGGCCTCGATGAATGTGCGCCATAAGGAATTAAGGCACGGGGTTTTGGACGTGAGCTCGGTCGGTAAGGGTATAGACAGTCCACTTGATCGAGCGAGCGAGATCATTCTGGTGTGAGTCTTGAGTCCATACGCTGAGTGGTTACCGCAAAGATACATCATGGCGTATATCTCGAGTAAGAGGAGAGATTGCACAAGCGAGAGGGTACGTGTTGAGTCATCTGGCCCATTATCGTCGCCAGACACGAGATCACGAGCGCGATGGTAGCACCTCTCGGATAAGCTCACGCCAGACCCTTGCTGATCACTACGATCTGGATCTACGCCATACTGATATGCTATGCAAAGCATGCTGAGGAGTAAGTGGCTTGGGATGGACGTTGAATCAAATGTCGGCTGATGCAGAAAAGGCAGAAAGTGGGATACATGCTTGAAATACAATTGACAGCCTTGTGTAATCTGGCTGGTCGACGGATACCAGTCATTCTGGCCCTGGTTGAGGTCAATTGATCCGTACAATAACCTTTCGGGGCTCCCTTGATCGAGGCTAAAGTTGAGAAGACTCATTCCCGAGGGCGAATTCGACATGTTGAGATTGCACGAAGGCTCGAGAAAGTTGACGCCTGCCAACTGAGAAGCAGTCGGGCCCAACAGCATGGACGCTTGCGATGAGAATGACGTGGCGAGCATTTGGGTATCGTTCAGATCTGAGGGCAAGCTACTGGAAAGGTTGATAGCATCGTCATCGGTAGATGCTTGTCGAAAAAGCTGATCTGTGTCAACCTCGGCCTCACTGGCCTGCGACGGCGGCGTAGGTGCATGGCGCTGCAGGTCGCTCTGAGGTGAGTTTCCTCCTCGTGAAGTCTTTTCCACACGGTCCATGTGTTTTCGCTTCATGTGCCGGTGACGTAGATCCGGGCGCGAAAAGGTGGCAGGGCAGAGGTGGCAGGGTATAGAGGCATTGCTGGAAGAGCGAGAATGTAGCGCAGCGTGACGCTTCAGGTTCTCATGGCGGGTGAAGCGACTTGAACATACTTGACATTGGAAAGGTTGTGAGGACGGTGGGGAGGTGGCTATGCTGCGGGTGCTTGTTGATGCCATTATGAGCTGGTTTGTCCGCGGTTATATATGTATGTATGCATCAATGGCTGGGTTGAGTTGGAATGACTGACAATTTCCCCCAGACAATCCCCTTCCAGTTGCTCCCTCTCTTCCCCGCAATCTGCAATGCATTGTGGGTCATCATTATCTTCAGGGATATGATAGGCTCCACTAACTTATCTCTCTCATGACGCTTGTTGACTGATCATGGCTTCTATTGGTCCGTCAGAACGCCTATCACCAACTGACAATCACGGGCTCCAGTTTTATAAATCGTTATCTTTATCGGTTATCAACTTATCATACGGAGTACCCATCCACTCTGAAACATACCCTATATACTCAAGACACTGGATCTTCTTGTGCACTGCAGTCCCTCTTATCCAGTATCAGCTCCATGTATCAGTTCTGCGTATTAGAAACTATGTTGTAATGGTTGTTTACAAAATTGTACCCTAATGCATTACTTGTAGGTGGATATGTGACGAGGCATGGACACCTCACCAATTCACTATCTATCTATTTACAGAGCCCATTCTGATACGAACGACACGTCACTCGCCATAGCAATCAGTACATTTCGTAACGCCATCCAAGCTGAACCATCTCCTCAGTAACACCGCCCTTGACAACCTTGGCTATCTCCTCAGGATCGCCAGAGTCCAGTCGCTTATTCTCGCGTAAGACGAGCCAGCGGTAGAAAGTAATAGTGCCGGCGAAAAGAAAGGCGCAACCCATAAGAGTGCCGAATGCCGCATAAAAGTGAGGAGGAGCATAGTACAAGTATGAAGCCCAGATATTGGAGGTGCCACCAATAGCATTGACAAGGGCAGATGCTGCAGCACGCTTCGAGACAGGACGTGCGAGATGAAGGTTGATAGTCTTGTAAAGCACAAGCTGAGGACCAACAGACGCAAAGGGAAGAATCATCATGGAGAAGTAGCGAGCAGGGACATTAAGTGTAGACATGGGGATGATGTACATGCCAATGGCAATGGCGATGCATCCGATGATGATGGGGTATGCTGTGTTCTTCCGGTCGCTATACCACATCAACACCCAGTAGACGGCCCCAGCGAGGACGTAGGGTGGTGCAGTAAGGAGTAGGCTGACAGTGCTGCCAAAGTTGAGCGAGGCAACCAAAGTTGGAAAGTAGTTGGCAATCGAGCCCTGTGCCTGAGAAAGCAGGTTGCACAGGATGAGAAGCAGAAGCTTGGGGTCAGACAGAGCCTTTCCAAAGCTCTTGAGAGTGCTTTCCTTTTCTGAGCCCTCAGCTGCACCAGTTGTTGACTCGATACGCCACACGGCAAGGTCTCGCTCGGGTTGGGAAAGGATTCGGCTGTTGTAGGGAAACTCGGGCATGAAAAAGGCACAAACAACACCAATTCCAACCGTGGCAGAACCCTCAATAATGAAGAGCCACTGCCAACCCTTGATTCCATGTCGACCGTCGAGCTGGAAGATGGCTGCGGCAAAAAGGCCGCCAAACGCGTTGCCGACTTGTTGGGCAATGTAGAGACTGGCAATTCGTTTTCCGAGCTCGGTCTTGGTATACCATGCGGAGAGGTAGTATATGGCACTGGAGATGAGTCAGAAATGTCTCTCTATCTGTTGAAGGAAGTGGATGATTCTTACCCTGGAAAGAAGACGGCCTCAGCGACACCGAGAATGGCTCTGACAGCGAGAAGTTGACCATAGTTTTTGACCAGAGCCGTGCAGGCTGAGATTGTCCCCCAAATGACCACAGCAACACAAATGTACATACCCGGCCGAGGAATCCTTGCAATTATTAGATTGCTTGGGATCTGGAACGGTAGGTAACCGACAAAGAGGATTGATATAGCAGTAGCAAATTCCTCCGTAGTCATATTGAGGTCTTCAGTGATGCCATGGAGTTTGGCCGCGGCCAGGTTCTGCCGATCGATATAGTTGAGGATGTACAATATTCCGATGATGGGCAGGATGATGGAATCGATCTTGCGAACCAATTTCTTGTTCATTGTAGCGATCTCTTCCTCGGTGAGGTGCAAGAGGGTTTCGGGCATCCTCTGATAGGCAGTGCTGGTACCCTCGGCGTGAGACGAAGGTGACCGCTTGAGGGATTCATCCACAGGGACGGTAGCCATGATGGCAATGCTTTTCGTGACTTGGAGTGGTGAGGGATAAAGGGACGAGGATGGCTGTCTGGAATTTTCGTTCCAACACTCGTCGGGAGACGAGTCTATAAATCCACCGACAGGCCGGACATAGCGTTATCTCGACGCATATAATGAGGTCCTCCAAGGTCTCGTGGCGGACGACGAATGACTGGGGGTTGATTAGAATGCGGGGATGAAATGCGTTAGCTCGGCGACGCGACTCAAGCTCTAAGCTGAAGTCAAACGGTGTAGATACCAGAATCCGGGGTCCAGCCGGGAGTTGCCGTTACGGTTAGTCCGGTTTTCCAACCAGATTAGCAGTCTTATCGGTTGGGTTTACCGATCACTCGGAGGAGGAGCTCACTGGACAGGGCCTGCAGGAAGATTAACCATTCCCCTGCAGCTGGGGAGAGCTCCTCCCTGTGGATCCAGCATTACGCCACGGTAAACGGAGGCATACGATTGCTATTTTTTGGGAGAAATTGTAGATAATTACCTTTGTTATAATTGGAAGAATTCATGCAATTTAATCAGGACATATAAACGCATCATAACAACAACTCACTGTCTTATCGGCATCAACAACAACCCATCAAATTGTCTTCACACTTGCTTGCATAGCCAAAAAAAAAAATTAAAAAAATTCATCAAGTCTTTTCGCAAAACCACAAAGCAACCATGACGCAAAAAATCTATCCTACGGCCCTCACAACAACTATTGAGAACCCTCGATTAAGGTTTCTCAATAAAATCAAGGCTGGGGAGTTTCCCTTGATGACCTTTGTTGCAATCCCCAGTGTGCGCCAAGCTCAGATTGTTGCTTTGACCGGCCTGGACGGCATCATCCTTGACTGTGAGCACGGACACATTGGAGATGACTCGATGCACAACTCAGTGGCGGCTATTTCAGCCCTTGGGGTGTCGCCTATCATCCGCATCCGCGGGCCTGCCCACGATATCATCAAGCGAGCCCTTGACACTGGCGCGCATGGTATCATGGTTCCTCAAATCAACAACGCAGACGAGGCAAGGCAAATCGTCGCGTCTTCCAAGTTCCCGCCTCAGGGCGTTCGAGGCCAGGGCTCTGCATTCCCTGCCATTGGTCACGGTCTCACAACACCTGAGTACATGAAGTCTGCCAACGAGACCATCATCACCATGATTCAAATAGAGACTCGCGCTGGTGTCGAGAACGTCGATGAGATTGCTGCCACTCCCGGCGTGGACATGCTGTTCATTGGACCCAATGACCTTGCTCAGTCATTACTGGGATATGTGCCTGCGCGGGGTGACGAGCCTGAATTTGTTGCTGCTATTGATAAGATCATCAATGCTGGTCGCCGACATGGCAAGTGGGTTGGCCGTATGGTTAATAACGGCTCGGCCGCAAAGGAGGAGAGGTCGCGGTATGACACTGTAGCTATTACAGGAGACACAAAAGCAATTCAGAACTGGTATATAGCCGAGTTTGATATTGCTCGGTCTTGAGGAGGAACGCTTATAGATTTCAATCAACACTCTCAACCTTTTAGTCCTATCTAGCTGGTATCCTACTAAGAAGGTTTCAGGAAACCTGTAAAATATTTATTTATAATTGTGGTCTAATAAAATTCCATGATATAATACTCAATTCACGTACGGCATCTTGCCAAGTGAAGCTGTCGACGTTCAAAGTAACAGGTTATTAGCATTCTCAGCCTTGAAGCTCGTGATAGAATGCCTGTAACAGGCTTTGCAGACCTTAAAACGTGATTTGCAATAAATAATTAGCTCTTTGAGGAGGAAACAAACAACATCCATCATTGTAGATCTCGGAATTTGACGAAGAAGAGATACGATTGGCTCCTCAGAAGAGTGACAAGGGCTGGTATCAGCTGCACCTGAACCCCTGGCTTCTCACAGTTGATTGACTGAAATGGGTGTAGCGGAAGCCCAGTCTGATCAATCACAGGCTCGAGTTCAAATGATCCGACAAGGAATAAAACAGTCCAAGTGGGCTATCCGCAATATTTCAGCTTGTAGCCAATCCAGTAGTCTGTTTGACCAGAGCCAACAGGGATGCAACAACTGTGACAACTACAGGGGGCTCAGGTGTCCGTGTGCAACGAATCATGATACAACCGCTATGACCAGTTTGTCAGTGGGCGCAGCAATTATAACGTTTTATGTTCAAAACAACCATAAGTGAGTGGTTTATAGTTTGTGTAGCGAATCGCACTGTAGATATGGTCAAAACACGTTTTGGCGTTTTGTTTAATAAAGAGGCTGTGCTCTTCGGTTCTCTCGGGAGACGAGGATTCCGGGTCTTGGCCGTGAGGGTCAAAGCGAAAGTGAAGCCGTTTAGTGATATGTTTGTAGAGAATGCGGTTCATTGTGAAGCTCTTGAATGTCTCATAGGGTGTCTTGTGTTTTCTTGGCTTGTCTCTTATGGTGATATGTGTATGTCAAGATGGTAAGATGAAGATAAAAGCGCCTATGACATTTCTATAAAAAAATGTCCATTTCCCTTTATCAATATTTCTAATCATCATCAACAGCCTCAGCATCCTCAGACCATCAGTCGACTCCTCTTCTATCTTCTTCACTTCTATCTCCTGCCGGTCAGGTCTTTAATTACCCTTCCGAGTTCTTTAATTACACGGACCAACTTTCTACTTAACCCTCCACCACAACAACATTCACAATGGCCCCCATCAAGAACATCATCTTGGCTCTTTTCGTCGCTGCCGATTTGACAGCTGCCCACAGCGTCATCACTAATGCAGTTGGAGACGCCGGCGGCTCTGGCATGGCTCTCGGTGTTGACACCTCCACTCCTCGCGATGGTACCAGACGCCGTCCTTTCCAAACCGATGCTACTCGCTTCCGCGGTGATGCCGCTGACACCGTTGGCGAGACACTCGCTGGTGGTGACAACCAGATCGAGCAGGGCACGCTCGACATCATGGAAGAGACTGGCAGTCAGCTTCCTCAAGTCAACCCTGGCGGCAGCCTTGAGATGACTGTCCACCAAGTCAATTCTGATGGCGCTGGACCTTATACATGTATGATCAATGCCGATGGAACTGGTACTTCGTGGGACAACATCCAAGTAACCACCAACGTTGAGGGCAACGATCGCGGCCGTAACCGCGATGGTGAGATGGGGGATTTTCCTCTTGTTGCCTCTATCCCTGCTGGACAGAACTGCACGGGCTCGGTTGCTGGTGAGGAGAATGTTTGCCTTGTTCGTTGCCAGAACCCGGCGCGGGCTGGTCCTTTCGGTGGTGTTATTCCAGTTCAAATGGCACAAGCTACCGGTAACAATGGCAACAACAACAACGCTGATACCGGTAACGCTGGTAACACTGATAACGCTGGTAACGCTGGTAACGCTGGCGATGCAGACAACACGGGCAGCGCGGGCAACAATAACGGCAACGGCAACGGCAACGCTGATGAGGATGATGAAGAAGATACCCAGGACCAGAACGACACCAACACCAACAACCGTAACAAACGCCGCGCTCCTCATTTCTCTGCATAACCATCTGGCGATTGTCAATGAAAGAGGTCTGAGATCGATGGAACATGAGAAGACGTGGACATGAGACTGAAATGAAGGGCAGATGATGGCTAGGCGGCTCTGTAGTGGAGTATATTAAGAAGACAATGTACAATATACAAATATGCCGACCGACTTAGTGTTTAATTGTGTTACCATGAATATCAACACTTAACGGTCTGACTGCTGTTTCTAGTGTTGTACTTAAGATGACAGCTGATATGTTACCTTCAGGTGGGATACATGGTTAATGGCTTTTCTTCAACAATCATCATCTCCGTAGCTTGATTCGCGGTGGCATCTTGATTGAGAGAAACTATTTACGAAAAGTTGCAAAACAGATACCAATATCACTCGTTGACTGTTGACTTCTGAATATATACTGCACCCATACCCAATAGATCCCGTATTAACCTGGACTAGTCTCGTTGGTGCTCTTCTCAAGTCCTCTCAAACGGAGGTCGGTATCTATTTCAGATCGTGGAGTTTCTGTAGACTTGCGTGCCTAAATAGCTGTTGGTCATACTTCGACGTGATGACTGCAGTTCAACCTTTTCTCAGCCTGGATGACATGGAGTACGGAAAGGTTGCAGCTGAAGCTAACAGCACAGTCCACAGCCTTCTTGCAGCACTACTCGAATTGGGAGCTAGCACTCCTTTTTCTGCTTTTCATTCAAGTTAAATTTCCTTTATTATTAAACACTGGAGCGCAGGAATTACGTTTTAAGCTGCTTACACAGAACAAAGGACGTGAAGATGCAGACAACTAAGCAACTACCAAGGCCAAATCCTCAGCCGCGGAATTCCGCGGAGTTCTCCGTCTATAAGCAAATAGACTCAAATGTCTGGGCACTTTCGAAGAACTAACTCGAGCGGCCTCTAGTGATATCATTAAAGCCGAAGGGCTGCTTAGCGTGCCCAGAAATCTGGCGGAAGACGCGGTACAGCAATCAACGGTCAGCCTGCAGTTCAAGCCACCCTCAGGGGAGGGGTCCGAGAAAGTTCGCCCTCAAGTGACAAATCTCACCCTACAATAGACTTGGGGAGCGTTTTGATCCTATCAGCTACTTGTATTCACTCTCTTGCCTCTGGCCTTGCACTGTTTTACCCTCAAGGGCACCCAAGGTCCTCCTCCCTACCTCCTTGACAAGAATGATTCAGTTCGGTTCGCGAGAGATGACCCTGTTTGAGAACTCCAATCACATACTATTGAAGATGAAAGCACCAGTGGCAGCATTCCACTTAGACGATTGGTCAGACTTAACACGTCACGCTCTTGGCGTCGGTGGTATGATAGGCAATAGCGCAGTGTAGCGTAGTATAGCGCAATATGTCATGTTGGTTCACGGCGCGGGCCTCGCGTTGACCAGGGTAAGGGTGCCTGCAGCAGCTGGCTTAAAGATGGTGCAGTCCGTAAAATATCGGGGAACCGATACCGCGTGAACGGCACCCAGTGGATTAAATCACTCACTGTTTGGATCGTCAAGGTCCAAATCGTTTACGTGCTAGATCTAAGACACTTTTTACTTAACCTAGGCCAATTGAGTTGACAGTGAGACACAGAGGCTTGGCGCACTTGTAAACCACTAAAGGCTGACGGCAGAATGACGTGGCAGACGACGCCATTTTAGCCAACAGAATCCGAACTACTTTCATGCAATATCAAACTCAGTTTGTTCCTCAGATAGCTGAGCAGTTGGTAATTTACCATGGTTGGTGTGGAGTAGCTGAATTTTTGACAAGGGGTTCTATCATGTCAGACGACAGCCACGCGAAGCTAGTTTGTCGATCCCGGCACTATTTGACCCAACCGCAATGGCAAGGCCCAATATTTCCCTGATTGCCTACTCTTGCACTACCGACTGGGCTCTTCTCATTGGTCGTTGTTCCAGGGCATAGCGGACGTGCCGGATCGATCGAGGCAAACAATAGTTTCTTGGTAGATTGCGCTCTGACCAGTGATCTATCAGATATACAGTGGCACGACAAGATGTCTCAGTTGGATTATGGAGAAAGTGAAATAGTTTGGGACGAACATGGTAACTATTGCCTCTTTGGGAGCTGAAAATACCGCATTGCTTCTTAATCCGTGATGATCCGTTGATTACTGACACCTGAACGTCAGCCGGGCGATGGAGGTGTTCTTGCTGCGGCCCTAGACGCGACAAGGATTACACGGTCCTAGGACTCTGGATGACATTAGACACACGGCAATCTGCTTGTTGGTTCATACGACAAATAGAATTATGGGGCGATCTACAGTACAGAATGCCATCTCAGCCCAACCAGGTTATCTCCCAAGACGCGAGGACCCGAGCGCAAGGAGCTGCGCCATGCAAAGCAGCCATGCCAGCACTACCGCGCATCCAATGACAAACACTACAAAGTACATGAACTCAAGGGGTCTCTCAAAGAACCACAAACGCCCCTCGGCCCGGTCATTCTTCTCCTTTCCTTGGATCCGCCCATCCGGAACGTATTTGAAATCAAGGATGGAGCCACCTCCGAGACCTTGGTTACTGTGGATTATAGCGTTATGCAGCCCTTCCCGACAAAGATCAATCACCTTATCGTCCAAGGCAGGGATCCATCGCTGCAGGCTAGCCAGACTCCACACCAACCAGCAATGGCCTCTGAAGCAGGCATATGAGTACCAGCTGGGCCGTCCCATACCAAGTTGGTCGCAGATCTCGTGGCCATTCAAGACGCGACTAGCAGCCTGAATGAAACCATCCGAGATGTTCATGGGTGGTAGATCCTTGAGGGCCTCAACGAAGTTGTACCCAATGACAACGGAAGTGGGTGTCACAAGGAGCTCGTTATACGCTAAGCTTTCCATCACAGCCTTAGCTTGAGTTGCTGTTGTGAAGTACTCTTGAGGCGCCCCAATAACATGGGCCACGTATCGCCAAAGGGCGATGTAATCTTCGACTTCCTGTTTCTCGGGGGTGATCCCCATAAGAGGGAGCTGAAGCCAAGCGTGGTTGCAGCTGAATGTTGCAATGGCATGTATCGAATCAAGGGTGTTGATAGGAATGCCATGTGTCTCTTGGTCGAAGAACCGGCATTTCGATGCGGCAACTTTGAGGATCTGCTGTCTGACCATGGAGTGCAGTAGACGGACTCGCACAATCGATCTATGCCCTGGTCCACCAGGCTTCACATGATCAAGAGAGTGGGTGACTTGAAGAACAAGTTGAAATGTTTCAAGCAGTCGACGTCTCAAGACACGAGTGCTGAATCCACCAGTACGAGCAAGTACCTCGACGACGCTGGTAGAAGCAGAGTTCTCACCAACAAAACCTTGGAAAGCAAAGCCGATGAGGTTTGCGAGGGCATAGCGGTAGAAGAAACGCTGCCCTCGAGCAATCTGATCCCAATCTACCCAATAGGGGACAGTATGGACCTCGGTCCAGAGCTGCGAAAGCACTGGGCTCTGGTCCTGGTGATGAGAAAGTGTTTCGAACAAGTCTGTTCTGCCGACTTGGTGGCCTTCTTTCTTTTGCTGAGCGTGGATTTCTTGGATCTCTTTGACAGCAGCAGCTCCAAGTTCGTCACATTTGTAACGTAGAGGGTCTGTGTGGGATTTGGGAATGTGATCATTCGTCCATGTGAAAGAGTGGTTTCCAATGGTTCGAAGCTCTTCCCGAGTTGCGGGCTGCCCAAAGAACTTCATAGTAAGGTGGATGAAAATTTGTTAAAAGTTGGAAAAAGGAGACTTGGAACTAAGTTGACGTTCCAAGAGAACAGCAGGACAGACATCCTTCAATTTAAGCTGGGGATGTCCAAGTGTACCTGACAGCAAGACTTGGAACACCTCCCGTTCCTATCCCTTGACTCAAAAGGTACATCTCGTAATATTGCTTCTCAGAGGTTGTTTGGGGTCCTCCGGCTTTCTCCATGGACCATTCGTTGAACCACACGATCAACATGACAAGGGGGTGGTCTTTTGGTGGATGCTTACTCTTAATCTCTCACTCCATGATTTAGATCTGAACCATACCCACGGAGTGTGTGGCTCGTCTGCCAATAATTCGTAAATAGGACCCCTGTCCGCCCATCACCTGGTATGATATGCTCACCCTGGCTGGCTCCAATGTCTGGGAATTGTGATTCCATCATGGCTTAGTATGTGTTTAGCCTCAAGCTGAAAGAAAATGGCGCGGGATGAAGGGAAGCTGGCTGATTGGAACACCTCCGAGGCTGGGTGTCAGAACCCTGGCGTTCTTTGTTCTCTTTGGGATATTTGAGTACTCGTGACGCCCAGCAAGCCTCGAGCTGATTTCTGCATGTCAAAGAACGTTGTTGTTCCCTTCCCCATCATTCCCCCCCCCACAATCTGTACCTGCAGCACCCGCGATGCAGGTGTTCACTACCAAGATGGAGTCGAGAAGAAGTGTCATTCTTCCCGACATGTTCAAAGGCTTCGTGGTCGAGACTCCGCCTATGAATCCCAACTATGAAACAGTCAAGCCCATCTCCGAGAGGTGGCTTGCAGAGTATGCCCGCCCGCCACCTTGGTACATGCCATGCTGATGCACTATTAGGAAGTGTTCCTTTTCACCTCGAATGAAAAAGAGGGTTGAGTTCTGCGACTTTGCCGTATTCATTTCTATCGCGGCTCCTGATGCTCCATTCGACAAGCTCAAGACGATGTGCGATTGGGGGAACTGGGTAAGTGAACCATGTCTCTGTTTGTATTGCTGCTCTCTGACATTTGTTCCAGGTCTTTCCTTTCGATGATAGTATGTGCTACCATTCACGTTTGTTGTTAATTGCGGGAGCTAACAATGACAGTGTTTGATGAAGGATCATTGAAATCCGATCCGAAACGGTCGCAAGTCGTTATTGATAGTCTCATGGCAGATATGTTGGAAAAGACTTATACTAGGACAAAGAGCGCTGTAGTCCAGGCTCATGACGACATTTTTCGAAGGGTGTCACAGGTAAGTCCAGCTCTATGACATGGCGATGACGGTAGTCTGACATATGATCATGATAGGGTTCGACTGCTGGCAAGTTTCCTTAAGCTGATCTTGACGTGGACCTTACTGATAGCTTCAGGTGCCCGGAGAAGATTTGCTCTTGCAATGAAGCAGTACACAGACGGAGTAGTCCATCATGTGAAACAGTTTTCTACAAATAGCATTCCTAGTATCCAGGAGATGCTTGATACAAGGCGGCTTTCATCGGGAGTGACGCCTTTGTATCATCTGATCGAGTATGCCCATGATATCAAGTTGCCAGATGAAGTATTCGAAAACCCCATTATCCAGAGGTTAGAGCTTCTGGGTGCGGACTTTGTCTTGCTGTAAGAGCTACCCATTCTTCATTTTTGTTTTAAATAACTAACCGGCATGTAAGGTCCAATGACATCTTATCCTACCGGAAGGAAGAGGTAAATCGGCCCATTCATTGCATATAATATTTCAAATCATGGAAGTTAACATGACGCAGAATGACGACTGCCCTTTCAGCATGGTTGCAGCTTGTCGAATGACTGGCCAATCTCCACAAGAGGCATTCGATACTGTCGGGAACCTTCTTGAGGAAAGATACCAATATTGGCAGAAGGCAATTGAGCAACTGCCAAGTTGGGGACCCGAGATCGACGCGAATGTCGCTCGCTATATCCAAGGCATTCAAAATGTCGTGCAAGCCAACATCACGTGGAGGTACGAGATTGCTGCCGAAAGTGAAACCAGATCAAATGCTCACATGCGACAGCTTCCGATCGGGGAGATATTTTGGGAAACAAGCTCCCGAGATCCGACGGACACGAATGATTGATGTGATGGTTAATCCGCCCTACTTACAGGCGCGACAGCTTCGATCTGGTTGGTCAAGATTGATCATTGGGTCATTATTCAGACGATTCTTTGGATCATTCATTATCTGTTTTATGTTTATTTTTTATTTTACTATTTTGAAGGGCTGAGGGGAGTCACGGACCCGACAACTTGGAACAGCTCCTTCGGCGTTAAACCGGCTGTAAATATTGAGTTTAGACTGAATAAAAACATCAAAGCTGAGACAAATGATCAGCTTCGTGATCAAGATTTATCAGTGCGCCCGGTCTGTTTGGGGGAAAAGGCGGACGGCGGGAAGCCAAGACAGGCTCTCAGTGGTGAAAAAAGTCTGTCTGTCCAACTGTAAAATGCTTGTGTGTCACTAAAAATCCCGCTGTCCAGGGAGAGCTGACAGGCTGATCACTTCCCAATTGTCCTCTAGCCTGCGACATGGGATGCATGTCAGTGGATCGATGCCTTCTATCGGGCCAATACATTTCTTATTTCCGCCGGCTACTGCGTCCCTGTCAGCAACTAGCCAGTGAGATCCCCATTCTGCGAGGGGGGACATGGGAAAAAAGAGTGGGATTCCGTTCTGTGTGTCATGCTGTTGGTGAGGCCCGTATTACTTCAACTTATGCACTCTGTCTTCGGGCGTCATGCCGAAAGCTTTCGGCCGATGTATTTCGGCCACCACCGACTTTTTACAGTACAGTACTCCGAAAATGAATCTGTTGTCTATATCATAAACCGATACTGAAGTCCAAGTTTACACTTTCGCTGACCTTTTACTTTGGGGTATTTGTTTAAAAATGTCTACCAAACCGCTGACCAAAACACCTACCCTCAAACGGTCACGGGTCCAAGCAGAGGACCAAGATAGCAATTACGATCCCTCTTCGGAAAACACAGGTCTCAGCCATTTATTACATACAGATGAGGGTTGTCTCGACGATGGATTTTCCTACTCACTAGTCAGTTCCCCGCGCCTGATAAATAAAGTCGTAGCGATAGTTCTGGCTGTATCTAACCTCGCTTGCAGCATAATAACAAGGACCATCATGACCTAGCAATTCTAGATGCTAGCGCTGACTCGCAATTACGAAATGCACTCCGCTTGCTCCCTGCCAAGCCTCAATTGGGTGAGCATCTCGTAATCTGACCTTGCTTCACGTCTAATAATTTCTCCAAGACGCTCTAATTGAAGCGTTCTTCAGCAACGTCAATCACCATTACAATTTCATTCACCCACCAGCCTTCATACGGCAATACGTCAATTGGTCGTGCAGAACGCAACAACGATGTCTCCAGGATCTTCAACTTACTACCCTCATCTTCATGATGTGCGCTTGCGTCACTCAGCATCTTGACCTTGATTCGCAAACAACACTGGGCATCCATCTGGCCCAACCTCCAAAGGATGTTTCCAAGGCTTACCACGATGCTGGAACAAGGCTTGCTGAGGCAATACCAGCTGGGTCCTACCATCTGATTAATCTTCAGTGGAAGGTCCTTTCTATCTGTTGGTTCAAAGGCGAAGCAAAATTCACTGAGGCCTGGCACACAATCGGGCTTGCTGTGCAAGAGGCATATGAGCTGGGTAAGTCAATGACAGGAATAAAACAACCATGCTCTTACTGAACATCTTATCTATGCAGGATTACACAAGTCGCGACACAAGGCGACACAGGATATTGAGGTGCAGATTGGTCGGCGAGCCTGGCGTGTATTGTACTGCTGGAACTGGTACGTGGAGACCGGAGAGCAAGATGACGAGTCGTGTCCAATGGCTAATATCGCACAGGCAATTATCGTCAATACTAGGTCGGCCATTCATCATGAACGACATCGATTCAGAACCTGAACTACCCGACCTGAAAGGTTCAGCGCCAACACCAACACTCCATACCAAGCTTCAATACCAACTCATATCTTCTCTCGCCAAGCGCTGGCAGACACCACAGAACATCAACTCGCCATCCAAGGTCCGGGACTACAAGAAGATGGTGGAACATCACGTATCCTCCTTTCCAGCTGTATTTGCTCTAAGCGACCCAGACACTTCGAAAGATATTGAATGGCCATGGGTCGTGACGCATCGCTACTATGTCCAGACAATGGCGTACTTTATGATTCTCCAGCCATATAAATCCTACTTACTGCATCCATCAACAGATTTGTCTGTACCCGAGATACAACAGCTACGAGCAGAAGCGGTGGAGTGTTCTCTGAAGACGTTGCAAATCGCAACTCAATGGGCATCTCGAGTCTCGCAAGGTGATGGGCAGTTTCATCTTGTTGTTTTGTGTCTCTTTGACACAGCCGCTTTCTTGTCCATGTCCCTGCAAAGGGATCAAGTGAAGAACTTCCCTCAACGGATCAAAGTAGTCGTTGCGGTTAATGAGGCAGTTGCGACACTGAAGGAACTGCAGGCAATATCACGGGGAGCTCAATCGTCGTACGGCCTTTTATGCAAGATTCTACGGAAAATGGATTGGAATGCCACGAATAGATGAGAAACTTAATGACTCACGATTTATGTCACGTATTTTAATTGAATTCTGCACCCAGGTGTTTTTATACCACAAGCAATCAATGCTTATGAACTCTCAAGCCTCTCTGTGATCAAGCATGTCATTTCCCGTTAGCCCAGAATCTCTCCAAAGCGTCTTGTCGAACTTCATATGCCCAGTGGTGGCACGTCTGGTGCACTACAGGGCTCACATCAACATCATCTTCTTCTCTGCCATCGTCCGCGAATACCGTCCGTATCCCCAAAGTCACGTATTTCTTGAGCAATATCCGTCGCCAACGACCCGTCTCGCCAACGCACTTCTTCCAACGACTGATCTGGCGCTCGTCATCAGGACATCGCCGGCCCATCCAGAAACGACAATACCATTGAAACCAGCCCCGAACGTCGTACTCGTGGGCGATCCAGCCAGCTGCTTCCCATTCTTCAATGCTTTGCCCGCATGCGACGCCGTATTTGTTTATCTCGGGGTTGTATGTGCCGCTGATGAGATATTCATCCACGTTCAATCCCGCAGTCCATGAGGATGGTAACTCTCTCCAATCATCTTGTATAGTGATTCCCAGATGCTTTGAGAATAAAGGTCGCCAGTAAGAGCCGCCAAAGCTTCCCTCGCGGATGATCTCTTCTGGGGATTTGTTGGGCCGGAAATCAGGATGGGAATCGAAATGAAATGCTCCAGAAGCATCGCGCGTCGGCTCGTCAGCTTCTGGCTTCCATCTTATCCACCCGTCTACAATGGATTTGACGTCCTTGGAGTTTTGAGGGCTTGATTCAGGGTCTGAACTTATTGATTGCACAGCGTTGTTGTAGACTGCCCGACTCTTTTTTCTGGTTCTGAAGGATGTCTGTGATACAGATACATCATCTCGATCCTCATTGTAACTCGGTTTCGTGCTGGCTTCCGCTATGCGCCTGGACTGTCTTGTAGGCACGCGTGGTGAAGTGGCCCTACGTTTAACGCTTTTGCTGGCAGGCTTGGATTGAGGATCGACCTTGGGTATGGGATTCTTAAGCTCACTGAGAAACATCTCATTCTGCTTAATATTCTCTTGTCGTCTTGCCGCAAAGTCAGCCATTTTGATATCCGAGGCGCGTTTATGGTGGTGTTCTACGCCTGAGAGATGTCAAATGCAGTAGGAAGTGGATGTTGGAGCACTACGTCATAGACCCGAAGTTGCACCATGCCGTACAAACATGGTTAGTGCCAACCGATTCTGAGATATGTAGGGTAGTTCTATAATGAAGTCTGTTATTTTATATTTAGGATTCAAAATTATATTAATTTATAACGTATAATCATTAATTAAATATAATTGAATATAATTAAAATACAAATAAATCTCCTAAGCCTTAGTAAAATAACCTTCCAGTTTACTGTGAGGGCTTGATGAATTAAAGCCGGAGGCCGGACCGGCTCCACTCAAGCATACCGGCAACGGAACCGTACTCATACACAAGTCAGCTCAAGATTGGTGGCCCTGCATATATTTGGAGGCCGTCTTAAACTCGTCCCTTTCCATGGACAAACTTTCTAGACTATCTGCAAAATACTCATTTACTCCATCCCTGGTTGCTATTCCTACGTGCCAGTTTTAGCTAGTCACTATGCATGCCCATAACACTCTCCGACAAATCAGCCTTGGCGCGAACTTTTCTCGTGCTCGGCGAGGACGTGCTAGTGCTTGGGGCTTACCCCATTATCGTTTTCGATCAGGGACCCAGAACTCTTTTGCAACATCCGCCATCGTTTCATCTATTGAGAGGTCTAATACAATCGGGTTTATCGGCCTCGGCGCCATGGGCAGTCATATGGTCAGCTCCTGCACATTCAATTCAATTTTGTAAAGGGGGATCTAACCTGACTAGCTTAACAATCTTATTTCAAGATACAGGAGCCCCGCTAGCGGAAAGGAGGTCGGCTTCGCATTGTGTGATGTGAACCAGGCCGCGGTAGACAGTATCATCAAACGCCAAGACTCTGAGCACCCCGGTGTGCCTCTCATTAGTTGCTCATGTAAACATGTATCATAGGAGAAGACTCCTCATGTATGTTAGTGGCGCCGCTAATACCTTATAGCACCTTATGATGTAGCACAGAAGGCTTCTACCATTATCACCATGGTTCCCACCGGAAAGCATGTCCAGGAAGTGTACGTTGGCCAAGGTAAAAGTGTCCTGAGCGCTCTCAATGCCATGAGTCAAGATCAATGCGCAGATACTCTTTGCATTGATCAGTCTACCATTGAGCAAAGTGTTAGCAACGCGGTTGCCTTGCAGCTGCGACAAGTCGGCGCAGATCTGGTGGACGCCCCAGTTTCAGGAGGTAAGTCGAGCGACCCATTTCTGCCATGACAACTAATCCACCATGATACAGGTGTCATTGGTGCAGAAAAAGGCACATTGGCGATCATGGTTGGCGGATCCAAGACCTCTTACTATCGCTCGGTCCCCGTCCTTCAAGCCATGGCTCGCAAGGTCACATATTGTGGTGACCTCGGGGCTGGACTTGCCGCCAAGATCTCTAATAAGTGCATCGCCCTCAATCGGCTGCTTTCGATACGATGACTGACCACAGACACTCGCCTGAACTATAGTCTCCTACTTGGTATCACCATGCTTGGCTTGAGGTGAGTTAGGAAACAGTCAGAACCCCCAGATACTCGAAAGCAGAGCCTAATGAAATTAAGTGAGGCGATGCTGCTGGGAAAAAGACTCGGCGTTGATCCGCAAGTACTTGCCGATATTATTAACAACTCCACGGGGCGTTGCTGGTCTAGTGAAGTAGGTCATCAAACGACCTCGCATATAGCAGATCGGCATCTTCCAGTCAGAGTATACGCTGATGTTCTTGTCTAGATCAATCACCCAGTTCCTGAGGTCAAGGCCGGAGACTCTAGCCCTCCAGCTCATCGAAACTACGAGGGCGGCTTCATTACCAAGTTGGCTCACAAGGATCTTGCTCTCGCTGTATCGGCTGCTGAAGAGGCCAATGTCCCTCTCGCGGTGGGAAGATGCGTTGAGGAGATGTATAGACCGTTGGCCAAGTCCAAGGAGTTCGGAGACCGCGACTTCAGTGTCATATACGAGGCTCTTGATTCCCTGGGCCCCACTGCGCAAAGCTCCAAGCTGTAACCCACTTCTCATGGAATTCCGATTAGGCATCCATAACTTGGTTATTAGCCAAGTCGGAAACCGGTAACTTTGTGCCTCATTTCAAAATAGAGATCTAGCATGGGGATCCCTGACAGCTTCAAAGCATGTATACGAATCCACTATGAAATTTTAATACAGCTTGCTATCTCTGACGATGGTCCTCAATTCCCATTAACTATTACTCTTGAGTTGCCGCGTTAAAACTAGATAGCAAAGCATAATCGATGGGACCAAACAAGTCGATCCAAGAATTTGGCATTAGACCATCTGATTCCTGCCCACTCGTTTGAGCATCTTGGCTAAGTTGGTTTGACATTGTATTATAGTCAACTAGGGCCCACATAGCTTCTTCCTTTGAAGGCGCGAAGTTCAAGCCTTGGGTGAGACTATTCAGGTGGCGCCCTGGAAACCCATCGTAGACTATCTGACGAAGTGTCGAGGCCTATTCACAATAATTAGTGCACAAAGAAGGCAAAAGACTGAAATCTAGCACGTCACCATTGTTCTGACATTACTCCAGTGCTGACCAATGATATCCAGATAGCCCAAGGCCTCTTCAAGCAGTATTTGAGCCTCTTGGCAAGTTGGCGAATCTTCGTCATACGTCCGTAACGCGATAATGGAGCCCGCGACTGTCACGGCATAGCCGCTGGAAGAGGAGTGAAACGAGCAGCCTAACTTGCGCGACTCCCGGATAAGAGCCATCATCTGCTGTGCGTGAAGCCAGGCCAAGTCAGATGATCGCTTAATAAAACTGATAGGAGCAAGGTTCCGGCATGTGTTGATGCGGCGCCGTAATAAGAAGGGATGGTTGAGTAGACAATAGCAGAGGTGAAATAATGCTCGAGAGAAGATGATCGGGCCTGAGGACTGGCTGTCTACCACGCCTTCAGCCAAAATATAGGGTGCGAGTATCTCATCGATTGGTCTCTCTATCTCCAAATATGCCTCGAAATGGAGAAGATCGGATTCAATGCCGGCAAAATCCGAGCCAGGATCCCAAGGTGGATGTGGGCCTCTGATGTTGAAGTCTTGAAGTACATATTGTGCACATCGGCCGAGGATCTGCGCAATAGCAATAACTTGTGCCAAAGGGCATTGGCGTTGGGATACTGAGAGGGTTCGGTTTGTCATCTCGTCCAACGATTGTGTTTTGGCCCATAGGCCCTCCCTCCAGATTGACTCGTCACACGGCAGCTGTAGGTGGCACGACGCGTCAACGATGGCTGGCGGTCGACCACGGCCGCACGAGACCAAGCGATCCAACAGATAGACTGACCAAAACACCCGTCGTCGCTCTTCCTGTTCGGCATACGAGAGATGCGCTGCGTTCTCTAGCATGAGCCCACAATCCTGTGCGATCCTGACGGCCAGGCCGACTTTGACCCACGCTGAGCCATGGCGTAATCGACCGGCTATACGCGTGACAAAGTGTGAGACATATGTGTGTATCTCGGATGCTAGAGAATGCATGAAAAAACGTACCAGTAAAGTCGAACAAGCCTAGCAAGGCGACTGTCTGGACTGTGGATACCTCTGCCACCTTGCCGACGGTAAAACAGTCTGACACAATGAGTTTCCAAGATCTGTTGGCATATTCGACAGACATCTCTAACGCGCGCCCCGAAAAGTACGGATGCGAGCAAAACCGGACCGCAGTCGCCATGACGGCTAGGACTAGATGTCTAGGGATAGCGTGTTGCGACAGACACCGCCGGAAAGATTCTTCATGAAAGAACGAGTAGGGCTGATTCTGGCAGTAACTAAAGTATGAATCAATGACTGCCATAAGCACATCCTCCGGCGTCCCAAAGTCCTCGATCGCAGCGTCATTTTGTCGTGAAGGTTGGAACGTAGTGCCTTGCTCTGCGGTCTCGAGCCCTGTCCTAGGGCTGCTGCTGCTCTCTGTACGCCCGGAAGATGCTGGTAGCCCCATACCACCCAGGTTAGTGTTACTGCTATCTAATAGCGAAACGAGGCATCTTTCAATCCTACAACGCTGTTCAGTATCATGATTCCTTACTGTTGGGACTCAAGCTCACCGTTGCAGACTTGATCCCATCGACTCGATCTTTGCTTCAAGTGTTCCAATCCTACTAACGAGCTCTGAAGTCTAACATGTAGGCTTTAACACACTGCTGAGTAAACCGAGATGGAGTTAATACATACCTGTGTGTCGCTTGACTCGGAGGTTTGTTGAGAAAGGTCGGGGTCGTCAATGCTCACCGAACGAGTCCTTTGTTGCCTAGGAGCCTGCCGCCGAGAAGCTTCGACAGGATATACACAGTCTTGTACCGTTACACCCAGGTCCGACAAGGTTAACATTGGATGCAAAGCATCACTTACCAATGTTGAGTCGTCGGCATTGTCCGCAGACAGGTCGATCGCCAGTGCAACGGCATTTTTTTCGTCTTCCGGAATTAGCTGTCGCTCGCAGGCCAAAGCGTGAGTGTCCACAGAGGGGGTATCAATTGCGTACCGGCATTGTAGGCATGCTTGGGCAATGCGCTGCACTGGAAAGTAAGCATCGGCGTTACTCCCCATAGCTTAGATAGTAGGACACGGATCGGATGCTTGAGGGTGGATGGAGTCGATGAGTTGCTTCCGGCCAGGCCAGGCCAGGCAGGTCACGGTCAAAATCTGGACCCGCCATGGCCAACTACGCCACTCTGCATGCCTGTAGAAAATGCCCATTTTGGGTCTAGATGCAAGGAGATAAGACTTGATAATCATGTGGAGTGTAGCCGGACCGTCTCCACTTGCCGGAGTTCGAGACCATGTTTATGCTTATCTCGGGTTTCGGTATCAGCTGCAATGGTTGCAACAATCCATCACAACCCAAAGGTACGATTGAACAACTTTATAGAGCTCGATGTTTTACAGTTGACATATCTTGACGAGATACTCGAAAAAAATCAATAGAATTAATTCCTTAACCCAAACCATCAAGACTATCAACCAGCTACAGAGTACGCAGGAATGGAACACTCTAGGTAAGTTTCTCGAGCAATAAGTGCCTCTCTTGGCAGCTTGTTATAGTTGATAACTGTTATAAGCTTTTGTGAAAAAACAAAAACACAAAAGGCTGACATGGTTTATAATTTGACAGCAACGGCGCGATAACGCAGGAACCATCACCGGTGATCCTAGACGGAAATCAAGTCAGTCAAATGGCGTTCAGCTCGTTCCCGGACACGAAATATGGCAACGTGGTTTGGCAAACACTCCTCTCCAAGCCGAGCACCTGCTCCGACTCGATGTGCGCGGGGATCGCGACCTGTCCCTCCAACGGGACACTCGCTCTACACCAGCATTCTCAGGCAGAGATCTACTACGTGCTTGCGGGGTCTGGGCAAGTTGAGATCGACGGGGTCAGGCACCATGTGACGGAGGGTTCCATGCTTTGGATTCCCGGGAATGCGATGCATGGTGCCTTTTGCGGGCCCAATGAGACACTTAAATGGCTGTTTGTCTTTCCAGAAGCACGTTTCGAAGATATCATTTACAGGTTTAAAACTGCATAGCATTCTTTTAAAATTAATTTTTGGGAGGATAGGGTATAAGGGCGCTAAATAAAGTAACCTAGTCCTAGCTTTTGATCTTATAATATCTACCTACTGCAATCCTCTGCAATTACCTCGTGCCATCTCGAACTGATCAAACTTTATCTCACTACTCTGCTATGCTCTCCTAGAAATAATCCAAATCTTCAATCTTTGCCATCATGTCAAAGCTGTCAGCCATCTCAAACAACTCAGGCGATAGCGCTAATGCAAAGGGTGCGATTTTAATGCCTAATTCGTTCAATAGCACGTCAGCAAGTATAAAGCCACCCTAGGAGTATCTCAATTTCGGTAAATGCATACTGGACATTGTCTGACAACCGAATCACTTACGGACCGTACCCACTCTCCCCACAAAGAAAAAGCCCTTGAGCCGAACAGCTCATCACGGATAGCAGGTTCATGAAATAAATTGCCATGTTAGAAGTAATACTATAAGATAAGGTTACAGAAGTCGCTCTACTAAAAAAGTGAATCCACAGAGTCAGAACTCTTCAATTAGTTGCCACAATTTGTTCCTATTTAAATCTTGCAAACATCATTAATAATGGCGAAGATAGTTTGGGGCGCTGATATCTATGGACAAGGGTCCTGGATTGACTCTGAGGCACCGCCAGTGCCCGATGATGCACGTCGACTTCTCAAGGTGCTGGTGGAGGCGACGCCAGGATTCACCAAAGATCCTGCCGTTCTGGACACCGTATCTTTCACGGGTTCCTCTCACACAATTGTCCCCGGCCCATTAAAATCGGCCGTGATCGCTGGGGCTTTGCACGCTATGAGCGGCATAGTTGCTAACGAGCTCCTGGAGCTCAGAGACGGCCAAAGCTCCAGCCGGACTGTGTCTGTAAATACCGATCATGCTGCATTTTGGCTCGGAAGCGTGGGCATGACCAAGCGAAACGGCCAGACTGTCCAGGAGCTTGCCAGAGATGGTAAATTAGCTGCCATCTTCCCTAAAGACCTACAAGGAGACATCTTCGGAACGCCACTGAAATTGCGAGCTACGGCAAACTATGAGACCAAGGATGACGGGGTTTGGTTTCAGTTACATGGGTCTCTAGGCGCAGATCCAGTACTGCAGACTATTGGCATAGACCCATCACAAGAGTGCAGCAGTAACGATGAGGCCTATCGAGTCATTGTCGAGCACGTTCGCAAGTTTGGAGCGCATGAGCTGGAGATGATGCACTTCGTTCAAGGCCTTTGTGGAAGTATCTGCTATACTCCGGCTGGATGGAAACAGACACGCATGGCCAAGGACTTGTCGAAGCACCCCCTTATCAACTACAAGCAGCAGACACATGCAGTCCATACACCAGCCATTCCGTTGCCAGTATCTGCCGACAAAAGGCCACTGGCCGGTATCAAGGTCGTGGAGCTTGTCCGTATTATTGCAGGCCCCGTGATGGGAACGACATTGGCTGCTCTTGGAGCGGATGTGATCCGTGTGAACTGTGGCCGTCTCCCTGACTTCAATGTAAGCCATTTCTACCCTCTTACCTGTCCTCAAGCATCTTTTATTTTATACAGCTTTGCCATTTCTTTGTCTTCTCTTCTAGTCATAATTGTCAAAAATTTGTTGAAGCTAAGAAGAATTTAATAGTCACTTCAACTGACGCTGAATGCTGGCGTCAGAACTGTCGACGTTGACCTGGCAAAAAAGGATGAGGTAACGCAACTGCTCAGGTTAGTCACAGATGCAGACGTTTTCATCCAAGGCTACAGGCCAGGAGTGATTGCCCAGAAAGGGCTCAGCCTTGACAATCTCCTAGAAATAGCTGGCAAAAGAGGCAAGGGCATCGTGTATGTGGAAGAGAATTGTTACGGGCCAGACGGCCCTATGGCCCAACGACCTGGCTGGCAACAAATTGCTGATGCTGCCTGTGGGTGTTCTTATGTCACCGGGAGAAGCCTGGGCCACAAAGACGGAACATGTGTGCTTCCTGCTCTGCCTGTGCCGGATATGCTTACGGGTTTGATTGGATGCATCGGTACTATGATGGCCATTAGAGATCGTGCACGCCAAGGCGGATCCTATCACGTGTTTGCTTCCCTCATGGCCGCCGCTGCTCTCCATCTAAGCCCTGAGGTCGGATTATACTCACCAGAGGTGGTACAGGACTGCAAGCAGAAGTTCGGTTGGGACGAAACTAGCCCTGACCTCTTTGTACTCGAGCTGTTGGACGTGGTACTGAAGGCATGGGCTAGAGCGATGCCGAAGTACTTCGGAGATGACTCACCTTGCATGTCTACCCTCAAAGGTGACTGGGGTGAATTTCAAGTGCTGAAGCCGGTTGTTCAGCTAAGCGACGAAAACGCATCGCCATACTTCTCATCCGCTCCAGAGCCCAACTGCTATTGCGACAGTGCTGCGATGGAGTGGCGATAGGAAAGGCTTGTGGTATCTAAAGCTTTTTATCAGAGAGTATATAAGAGAATAAAGTAGCTATTTCCTGGTAATTACCTTCAATCACAAGCTACTTATATATATATAATAGCTAAACATGATAGCTTCTTTATATAATTTAAAAGTATTATATTAAGCGAGGCTACATCTTATTGTTAAAGAAATGAAATAAACAGAGATTAGTAATTTAAGACATAAATATTATATTACTTGATCTACTATTATAATAACTCTAGATCTTGGGGCTGCTTGGCTCCTCTATCTTAATAACAAGCTTGCCCATCTGTCGTCCAGCTTTCATATCGTCAAAAAGCCCATCAATATCCGTGAGGTTACTCAGACCTTGCACTATTCTGCTGATCACTGGTCGGATCCCTTTGCGATCGACGAAGGCAACCATATCCCGAAACTCTTGCCTAGAGCCCATCGTAGTTCCCTTTAATTCTGCATTCAGAAGAACAGCTGGCATAGTCCAATTCATTTTTGGCGAGACGGTCATACCATACTGAACAATAACACCACCAGGTTTGAGAAGCTTTACAGCTTTGATAACGATATCACCACCTGCTCCGTCAATAACAGCATCAATGAAAGGCCTCGATGACGGAAGCTGATCGCGAATATCTGCCTCCCACTTCTCCCTCTTATAGATCGCGCCGCCTTGTGCACCCAAGTCTCTAGCTCTATCGAGCTTTTCTTGACTACCAGATGTGACGAAGACGTTGGCACCCATAGCCACGCTGAACTGTAAGGCTGAGAGAGCAACGCCGCCTCCAATACCTGTAATGAGAACATTCTGTCCTGGCTGGACAGCAGCCTTGGTAACTAGTGCCCGCCATGCTGTAAGCCCTACCAGTGGTAGAGCTGCGCCCTCCGTGGCAGACAGGTGTTTCGGGGCCGGAACAACCTCGTCCTTGTGAACGCAAACATAGTCTTGCGCGGTGCCTACATCATAGAGACGGGTCGATCCGGTAATGGACCATTTTTCAGGGTTCTCTGGGCCAGTTGGATCGGATATCCAGCCTCGCATCGGTGTTAGGAGGACGTTTTCTCCGAGTAGGGAGTTATCAGAAACACCTCGCCCAACTTCAGTAATCACTCCATAACCGTCCGATAACATGGGATGATCGAGGGATATGGCGGGGTATTGATGATGCCTGACGAAGAGATCGCGATGGTTCAGCGCAGCTGCTTTGAGCCGGATGAGGACCTCATGTTCTCCAGGAACAGGCTTCTCAGTCCTCCTGAGCTGGAGACTGCCGGTGAAATCAGTCTTGGTAATTGAATAACTCTAAAAAAACAGGATGGACCTTACGGGTAGTAAACTTCCCCAGGCTTACCTGCAGCCTGACCGAGATGGAGCACGCGGTGCAGAGCTGCTCTTGATTCTTTGGAGGCCTTGAACATGGTGCGTCGTACTGCCGCTAGTTATTCGGGGGCAGTCTGTAAAGTTGATCCCAAAGCGCCGGATTGGCTACCAGTGATTTTAAGAGTCGAAGCGAGACGTTCGCCGGACCGTACCCATCGAGACTATCGAATGATGCTCGGTGGGCACGGTCCGGCCGGCGATGGCTTGTCTAGGAATCCGGGGTCTCTGATTTTGGGCCCCAGTTTCAGTGCGTGAATGCCGTGGAGCCAATCACAGCTACATGATGAATTCTTAGCTGTCAGTCAATTGCCAGATTGTATAGTTAAGGAGAGCTCTAAAGAAGCATCCCTTATGCCTTGGTATATCGATGGCTTGCTAAGCCTAGAGTCTTTTTGCTTCTCTATATCAGTATATGGTTCTGTAGTTGTTCTTCTAAGCCTGAAAAGAGGTATATATTTGTAGCTCAGCACCTCTTTATATCCCAAAGTAATATTCTTGTCACTGGTTATATACGTACCTATATTTGTTCTTCGATGTTCTTTTAAGCGCAGGTCGTTAATTCTGAAAAGCGCTGTTACAAGCATGCAGAAAGTGCTAATCTAGACCATCTTTAAGACCGTCTTTACGGGATTGTATTAAAGAACATATAGAAATACAAGTGAAGATATTAAACGGCAATAATCAAGGTAAGGGAATACTTGCCCTATCTAGTGCATTGTCTTTATAAGCACTAAAAATAAATAGGGACTAGGCGACCATTCAATAGCAGATAAGATAAGATAGGATAAATATGTAGCCATAACTATACTTATTAATAACTAGTTAATGCCGCTATTTGACATTAAGCTTACTTTTTAGATGTCGGAAACTTCGGACTTATTCAGGGGCCGAATTGGCAAAATCACCTCAGCCACCCTCGTGTTGTCTATTTATAGCTATTTCGTTGAAACCGGTCGCCCTACGCCTTTTGGCCCATTCTGTGGCTGAGGCCATTGGCTTGAACGTAATTGCCCCTGATAATTGTCTTGGCAAAGTTCTATTCTTAGCCAAGGCTAAAATTTTCATCACTTCGAATTGATTTCTGGGAGGCCTGTAATAATTATTATATAAAATTGCAACCTCGTGTTAAACGCGCTCATTTTAGATTAACAGCACCGCATATCATCTTCCAATGTCCTCAGAAAACATCGTGTTCGACCCACGTGGCGATGTCAAACTTTGCGTTGGAGAAACAGATCCTGTCACCTTGACAGCCTGCTCAAGAGCTTTGGCTAGAGCATCGCCTGTCTTTGAGCGTATGCTCTTTGGGTTGTTCATGGAGTCGAGACCAGCAAATGGTGGAGACTGGGTTGTGGAACTCCCAGAGGACAAGCCAACAGCATTATCCATCTTTCTACGAATATCGCACGGCCAATTCGATCAGGTACCCAGGAAGTTATCGATAGATGATCTGTACGACCTTACGGTGTTGTCAAACTACTACGATGGCACACATATGCTGGAGCCTTGGATGGGAAGATGGATGTCTTTAGTGGAGGATGACGCAAAGGCGTTAAAAGTGTCCATGGCCAAGAGTCTATGGATAGCATGGGAATTTGGCCAAAAAGACTCCTTTTGCAGAATAGCAAGAAGAATGCTCATGGAATCGGATGGCTCCGAAGATCCCCATCTCATAATGCAGCCAGACATTATAGGTAAGCTTCTGATGCACATCAACAAGACAATAACTAATTCGGTTTCAGAGCGAATATCCAAAAATCGTCTCATAACAATCCAAGCACTTCTAGACGTTATCAGAAGACTCGTCAATGATTTACTCGTTGTTGATGAGAAGCCCCGCTGGTGTCGACATGCAGAGTGGATGGGGCCGCACCGCTGCGAATCCATGATTCTGGGCTCAATAACGTTTTGTCTCGCGCGAGGGGGTTTGTGGCCCTTGCCCCAGGCGGAAGATGTGATGGACAGTATCGTTGGCCTACGTCGTAAGATGACAGGGTTAGTGGTCCACGACATTGGAAAGGTTGATGGGCTTGATCATACACACTGCAATCCAGGGCCGTTCTTGCTGAGCGAAGTGGAAAGGGTTTTTATTGATATTCGAAATCCTGTCACCAAAGATGATTTAGAAGCGATGGACAAGCAGTCGAAAAGACTTACGAAGGCATGACAAAAAGAAGAAAATGATAGTTCAAGATCTGCTTTAGTCACTTATTAGAAACTTCTAGCTGGCCGAAGCAGAGTAGCTCTCTAACAGACGCTTTAAGATAACCGGTGCATCCATCCGTTCCATCATAATCTCAACCATACGGAGTCCCGACCCGTACTTAAAGTCGTCCTTGGAGATGATTTCCATAAGTTCCCCCCAGGTTGATGCCCTTGCCGTCATTGTCACGTACGAGCCATCGTTTGGTGCACCAAAGCAACTTGGGGCTTCGAGGTACCTCCACGGCGCGATATCGTTGTAGATCGCATCCTTGCCATGCACTAACCTTTCAATAGTATAGCCATCATTGTTGATAAGGAAGATGATCATGTCAAGCCGCTTATGAATAATGGTGCTGAGCTCCTGGGCTGTCATTTGGAAACTCCCGTCGCCCTCAAACAGAATCGTCCGTCCTCGACGAGAACTGTCCTCAGCTACCAGGTCCCTCTGCGCGAGGGCAACTCCTTGAGAGGATCCAAGCATGTAACCGATCGAAAGCCATACGCCCGAGTTGATCAGAGTCGTTTGCCTCGGTAGGACAAAGTCGCGGCCGCCTGTACTCGGGGTGCCGGTCTCGGTCATGATGATGTCTCCAGGCTCGAAGAACCCAGAGATTCGCTTCCAGAATGTGTCCTGGAGAAGAAGATCAGTCTTCTGAACTCGTGGTAAACTCGTGAGAAGCGCTGGGAGGTTAGGTAGCTGCTTGGGATATTCGACATATTGACGCAGCGCTCCGCCGTCAAGCTGGGTCAGTACTCGCCGAAGAAGTCCTCCAGGATGTAGAGCCCATCGGTTGTGCTCACCGTTGGCACAGCTGATCTGAACTGAGTCTTCCTCAAACCTGATTGTCTTGGAAGCCTCTGGGATAGTCTTGAAGTAGTAGGTGTTAACGTTGTTCTCAAATGGCCCAATGTAGAGGACTAAATCACAATTCTTGACCCAGTCAACAAAGACATGGTCGCCGACAGTGCCGTAGACTCCGTGGAAGTTTCTCAGCGTCTCATCGACAGCGCCCTTCCCGAACGGGGTCGTGGCCGTGGGAAAGCCGGTTACCTTGACAAGATCGTTGACCTCTGTCACTATGTTGTAGCGAGAAGCTCCAGCGTCCACAAGGATGAATGGCTGCTTAGATTGATGAATCTTTTCCACAATGGCGTTAGCGGCAGCCCGCTCCATCTGATCGTCATTGTGCTCCAGGGTAAAGTCGAGAGCTGTTGACAAAGGAGCCGATGGGACTTTGGCGTCGACCATGTCAGCTGGGAGCTGAATGTAGACAGGCCGCTTATGTCTCACGCAGGCAATAATAGCCCGGTCGATCTGGGCTGGCGCTGTCGATACGTCCATCAGGTTCTCCTGAACCTGAGTGATCTTGAAGCACATGTCGGCGAAGATGGAATAGTCATCTGGGCTACCATTGCAGAGAGAGTGATGCAATCTCGCTCCTCGTTGCTGAAGGCCTCGTGCAGGTGTTCCAACAATGTGGACAAGGGGACTCCTCTCGGCATAAGCGCCTGCAATAGCATTAATAGCAGACAGTTCACCTACACCAAAAGTTGTGATAAGCGCGCCGATCCCCTTGATCCGGCCGTAGCCGTCTGCTGCATAGCCGGCGTTTAGCTCGTTGCAATTACCGATCCAGGCAAGACCTGCTGGCTCAAGATAGTCAAGGGCAGTCAAGTTGTAGTCTCCAGGGACTCCATGGACGGCTCGGGCCCCCGCCTCGTATAGGCGCCTGAAGAGATAAGCGGCAAGATCTATGTTGAGAACCATTGTGCTGGTGATAAAGAGATAATAATGACTTTGAACGATGTCTCGGGTAACAACAGGGGTCTACAGTAAATAAACATGTGTGAGTTCGTCTACTGACCCTGGGGCCAACTATTTATACTTGGGACAGCCAGATCTCAGCTTCGGTATAATATGTTTCGGTGGGAATGAATAAGTTCAAGCGGCATGTTTCCGTTGCTCCTCTGCCGCCGCTTTCATTCTGACTTAGGGTATCATACAAGTAAAACCTTGAGCCGGAGGCGGAATTAATTCCAGGTCTACCACCGGCCGGAAAACCTCCTGCCCCACCGCCTTACAGGGCGCAAATGACTTGATGTCAAGCGTTCAATAATTTGTAAGACTTTTAGTTCTGATTTTTTTATAAAAGTTAGCTGCACTTTAAGTACTATAGTGGCGGTTATAATATAAGAGGAGGTTTTACATAGTTTTAGAGTATATATATAAGGATAGTCCATTTTCAAGATACAGCAATTTACCTATAATAAATATTAATCAAAATTATACCCCAGAGCTCCTTTCGGACTTATCTACTGGCATCCCTTCTTGACGCATCCTACTTTCTTTTATTCAAAACGTCATCGCGGCTGGCTGATATCATGTGACTGATTGGTAAGAGACCAAGACGATCAACCCCTCACCTGCTGAGAAGCGTGCACTCAGTTCACTGTCAAATGGGAATACGATTTAAGCTTACAAGCCATGATATAAACTCTTCGCAAACATACTTAGTTTGATTCTCCCTATCTTCAATCTTACTTGTTTATCCCCTGAGTCTACCCTGTCAGCATGCCCCAACTTCCCGCCCGACAAGGTGTAACTATCCCGCTAGAGCAGGGCCAGAGCCTTCAAGTCATCAATACACACGGAAAACAAGTGATCGACTTATGGGCTTTCAACCCAAAGGATAGTCATGACCACCTCTCGACCAGCCACACTCGAGCGATGCTTTCAAGCATTTCCTTGCGCAAGGGAAACAACCTATACAGTTCTCGCCGCAAGCCCATCATGACTCTTGTCGATGACACGACCCCAGGTATCCACGACTTGCTCTTCCCCGCTTGCGATGCTGAGCGCTATCGCCAATTGGGTGCTATGGGGTATCATGATAGTTGCCACGATAACATGCACAAAGCACTCAGAGAGTTTCCCGAGATCAAGGTCAGAGACGATTGGGTCCCCGATCCGCTAAACTTGTTTATGAATGTGGCTGTGGATCATCATGGTGGAATTGATATTCGTGCTCCCACCAGCGACAAGGGTCAATATGTCATTCTGAGAGCTGAGGCCGATCTTGTTGTCGTCATGAGCGCGTGCCCTCAAGACATGGTCAATGTCAACGGGGAAGGGCCTGCTGATTGCGAGTATCGTGTGATTGAGGGATCCCGATAGCTTGTAATCTTGCAGTAAGGTCAACACCCGGTTGTTATAGCTTGTCATTAATGAGCGGTAATCTTGATGTCTGGAGGCCGATTAAGGTCCCCAACAAGATTACGGATCCTTCGTTTTGTTACTGAGATACAGGGCTAGCTTTTAATTGACCCAAATTGCTTCTCTAAACCTTTAATAGCATATGGTAGCTTCCATACATTTACAGAAGATGTGAAGCCGTGTTGAGTCTGTTAAGGTCCTGGCCTGCAGCTCAATTCGCTGTTCCCTATCGTGGTTTTGCTAGAGACTGCATCGCCATCTAAGAACACCATTGTATCTTCATTGAGCTTACCCTTTTAGTCCCATTTGGCTGGTGTCATAGCCATTCTCCTCCAGATAAGCTTTGAAACGGACGTCCTCCTCTTCGAGCGTCTTGGGGTGCTGAAAATATGTCAATACCAGTTGAAGATACAAGTGTTGATTGAGGGGTCTGAGGAAACAACCTACATTTGGGATCAAGAACCAAACGCAGAAGACTCCAACTACCGAAATAGCACTGCCGATGAGAAAGACAACTTGCTGACCCTTGAGCTTATCGTCAAAGCTGACAAGGCACTTACTCAACGCCTGGGTACCGACCGCAGCACCAACCTTGCCGATCGCTGCAGCAAACCCGAGAAAGTGGCCTCTGAGCGGAGTAGGAAAGCTTTCGCTGCTGACTAGGAAGTTACAATCTCCAGGACCTACCGACAGAAAGGTTTGGAAGAGTCCATAGAGCGTAACAAAGGCTGGGAAGGCTGAGGGGCTGTTGAGAGGGTACATTGTGCCTCCAATGACGAAGCCAAACACGCAGACTATAGACCAGCCCAAAGCATAAGTTTGACGTCGGCCAATGCGATCCATGAGCATGGCTCCGATGAAAGCACCAGGAAGTGCGAAGAAGTTGATAAGTGCTGACCAGCCAATGGACTCCTGCATCGTCTGGTTATTCGAGAAGCCCGCGACTAGAGTTGGTGCCAAAAGGTTGAAAGGGTAGACGACGGCATCGTAGAGGAACCAGGCAGAGCAGCACCCAAGAAGTGGTTTCCAGTAATACTTGATGGCAAGCTTGTATGGTATCTTGTGCTGAATGGCATGCTTCTTATACTGAGTGGAATCCATCAAGCGAAGGCGGAAGAAGAAGATGCCAAGTGGAAGCTTATATAAGTGAGCCCAGAGGTACCAGTTGATGCAGGAGAAGAAGACTTACAATGATGCCAATGCCAAAACAGATGCGCCAGATACCATCATGGGGAACACCCTTGTATGCTGCAATGACAATGAGAGACACAATACTTGAGGCTACGAAACCGGAGATGATAGCGGCATTTGTCGCGACAGCAACAAGCATGCCACGTCGCTTTCGCATAGCCTCGGTACTATCGGCGCACTCCACGGCTTGCGAAGTACACACGGTATACTCACCACCTAAACAGTCAACAACTCATCACATGCTTGATGCCACATAATGTTCCAAGAGACATACCTGCTCCAACACCAGCAACACCGCGACCGATCACCATCATCCAAAACATACCCTCCACAGTAACACCATGTGCTGCTGTGGCGATGACGATACCCTGTACTGTTAGTTAAACCGTGTCTCATGGCAGAACCAGAGATACGTACCAGAACCAGGAATAAAGTTGTCAGGTAGATCCCAACACGTCGACCGAACCGGTCGATACAGAGGCCAAAGAGGAGCATGCCGAAGATGTCACCAATAAGGATAGAGTTGGATAACCTGGTCTTGACTTCGGCCGTCATCTGCTTTGGGTATCTACTGGGAATTAACAGCTAGAAGCATTGGGTAAAGGAAGGATTATAACGTACAACTTGGCTAGAACAGTGTTCATGTATCCAATGATCTGGATGTTGTAGCCATCAGAGAAGAGAGCGACTCCCTGAACCAAGACGTCGAGTTGACCAGGCGTACGCTTGACAGATTCATTGGTCTCTGTCTCAGCAGAGATGCTTTCATCTGACGATACTGCGAGGGTCTTGTCTGCGGGCATCTCGTTCTTGCTGATGTTTTCCGCCATGGCTGTACCTCAAACCCTGCAGCAGCAGGGGTAAGAATGTTGGTGGTGTTGATTCACTGCGGAATTTATCAAGAAGGCAGTATCTAGGTCTTATATAAACTTTCAATCGTCTTTAATGCAACGTGGTTCCTAGACATCTGGGAGTTCATCGGCGGCATTGCATTCCCCGCTGAATGGCCCAGAGCCAAATCCTGTCAAAGGATCCATGGTCTTACACGAGTGGATAAAATCATACCCAAAGTTCTCCGACATTACTAGGAAGAATGCCATGCGTCAACGACTTGGACACAGTCACCAAGCACGTGGCTTCGGCCAACCCAAACAATCGGGTCTTACGTGCCGGCGATAATGGAGCCTCAAGCCGTTAGTGGCGCCGTGTAGATATCTTGGCCCGGTAGTTGGGTTCCGTATAAAGTGGATCGTTGATCGCACGTGGGCTAGGTAAGCTTATCTAAAGGGCAACACCTTAGGTTGACTGTGATTAAATTCAATTTTGATGTAACCAGAGATTTCGGGGTCCACTTTACTATAAGATAGTATCATCCTTCTGAATCAGGATCCTGGACCTCTAGGTGGATAGCGAGATAAATAACAGATGGAACCTTGTGTGATAAGGCATTCATGTTTAACCAATCTCTTCCTCCTTGAAGAGAGGGAGACAGCGAGAACCAAGACAGTCGAAAAGTGCAATCATGGATGATGCATCATTGGTACTGAATGTACTTGACGCTGTAATCACAGCTGCGTCACTTACGTTGCGCTATACTTCTGTTCTGTTTGTCCGGTTTGTAAGTTCGTTCACCGCGATGGCCGATGATAACTGGCTGACATATATCAGCATCCTATAGGAAAACGATATCTAGATCGTATCTATGCGAGTTTTGCCATATTTCTGCTTGCATTTAGCGCAGAGCTAGCTCTGCTCAAGTACAGTAAGCTTCGGCTTAAAAGACGCCTAGTTTCCGCCCCAGTGCTGTCTGTTATTGATAACGACAGGCCCCTCTTCACGGCAGGCGGCTTCCTCATCAACTTGGCCTGTCTTGTTGCTGTTCTCGACTTTCTTTTCAGGGGCCATCTGCTACATCAAAGTGCCGAACTGTCCTTCTCTCGGGTCGGCTATGTGGATCACTCGACGGCTCGGATTGTATTGAGGGCTCCTATCTCTGATTATGTTCAGATCACAGTCGCTTCAGGCTCTGAAGAGCAAGCAGAGACCGAAATACTCAAGTCCGTCTTGTTGAGTGCACATTCGGATTATGTTGGGACAGTCTTGATAGAAGGTCTCAAGCCAAACACTCCTTACGCATATTCAACCAATGCAAGCCATACGGGGTCGTTTCGAACCATGTCGCAACCTGGCAGCGACTTGAAGCGTTGGAGTCTTGTTTCTTCCAGCTGCATTAAGCCATTCTACCCATACAACCCCTCGGACCATGGCCTTCGAATTACTGGACTTGAACATTTAAGAAAATACCTTTCTGAGAGCCCAGTGGATATGGTACTATTTTTGGGTGACTTCATCTACATCGATCTCCCAATCCCGCTCGGCTGGGATGCTAACGCATACTCGGCGGCATATCGCCAGGTATATGCCTCCCCTTCGTGGTCGTCTCAACTTCGTGCAACCCCTTGGATACATGTTTATGATGATCATGAAATTATAAATGACTGGGCAGGGAATAACACGGGGCTTTACGAGACGGCCATGCAACCATTCTGGAACTACCATGGAAACGCAAACCCGCCATCAGAGTATGGTGCCGATAAGACATATTACACCTTTCGATATCAAGGTGTAGCATTCTTTGTCTTGAATACCAGGCGATATCGATCAGATAATTCGATGGCTGATGGGCCAGAGAAAACAATGCTTGGTGCATTACAGCTTGCTGCGTTACAAAAGTGGCTCACATCAGAGTCTGATTGGAAAGTGGTAGTCAGCAGCGTGCCTTTTACGAGGAATTGGAGGGGCCCAGACTCAGCAGACAGTTGGTCAGGGTTTCTATGGGAGCGGGATTCAATCCTGGATACCATGAAGCAGAATGGTGGCGCTGTTATTCTCAGTGGTGTGAGTTTCCTTCTGTTGCCTTTGATGCAGTCTATAAGATGCTTTGTCACGCATTAAAAGGTCAAGCTAACACATCCTAGGATCGTCATGAACATGCTACCACAAAATTCCCGGCAAAGGCCAAAGGCGACAAACCAGTTATTGAGTTCTCCACGTCGCCGTTGAACCAGTTCTACGAACCGTTCGACAGGTTCCACAAGGAGATTGAGGAGACTGATGTATCAATTTACTCATATCCTTGGGGCTCTTCAAAATTCGGAAAAGTCACATTTGACACCACACAAACAGGCAGGCTGCTTGTTCATTATGACCTAGTTGTAGACGGTGTCAAAGTATGGGAGTATGACTGGGAGGCTCAACGACATTAAACCTTTCGCGTTGTGGAGTGCACTCTGAGCATCTCGGACCACAATGGCAATACATGCTATGGCTCCAGTCGATAGCCTGCCCGAATCTATAGAGCTGCCTTCCGCGTTGTCTTCTCCGGCCGATGCGTCGCTGGCGGAAGATGTATTGTCTGTTATGTTAGTCCAAGTAACAGTCATGTCACTTGTTTTTGGTGGAACCTTGACCATATTTCGTCTTAAATAGCGCAACAGTCGCTTGCAGAAATAAACTTGCCCTATGCCTCGATTCCTTCTGCAGTTCCTGGCTTGTGATTTATCGGCGCCTCCGTAAGCTCATCAAGTCCAATATTCGTCACGACTCCTGTCCAGGTTACGTCCGCGGTTGCCATTGCATGACAACCATATTAATAACTTCTGCACATAAAAGAAACATTCCCGGTCGTACTAGGCACGGTCAGTTCATGAAGTCTGTTGAGGCTGTTGGTTGCTCATTGCCCCACCTTGCGTGACATAACCTACCAAATTTTATGCTGTTGGTCAGCCTGTCGTGACAGCACGTTGGCAACCTATCATGGAATCTAAGTTCAGCAATGTGCGGGCGCTTTAAATCTGCGGTCAATGTGACATTTTGGATCTTTGTCAGGTGACAATTGACAGAATACTTAGGTGAAATGCTATGGAACCAAACTACTGGGATTGAATATCCAATTAGCTTCGCTGCGCAAGCGCCCGGAATTTCGGATAGCTTGTAGGCGCTTGACTGCACGGACCAGGTCAATTGATGTGACTGGGAAACATGGACATCAGTGTCAGACAACCGCCTGTTCCAAGCCTTTCTACACCAGTCCATTTTAATCCACTAAGCCCAAGTTTAGCACTCGAGCAATGCACAAGCTTCAGGTCGGAGGCTTCTCTCGGTTGGAGAATCTTCATCGCAGCGTTTTCTGCCGGTATTGGATCTTCGCCCTTGGCATTATTACCCTTACAATTCTCTTGATAACATGAAAGTACTCTGATAAATATTATATCCTTTAACTCTTTAATTTGCCCAGCACTACGTGTTTTATTTATACCTAACATGACTTACACTATCCGATGGCAGCTCCGCCGGGGACATAGTCTCGTGACTATCAAGCTCCCATGGGTGCTGTTGCTGCTGCATCTGAAATTCCTTGGCCTCTTCTCCCCCAGCTGCAGCGGTGGTATTTGCCTGCTTAGCCCTCCTTGCTCGAAGCACAAACCAGCCTAATCCAGCAAATCCAGCCAGAGCTGCAATTCCAACGCCAATCCCAATGCCTGCCTTTGCTCCAGTGCTCAATCCCCCATTATCCGACGAAGAATCACTCGAAGAAGTGCCGGTCGAGGAAGATATCGTTTCAGTTGCGCTGCCCGTTGCAGAAGTCCTGGCTCCAGTCGTGGTGGACGCGAAATCGGAGGAATGCCATCGGATAGGAATACCAATAGCATTAGCTGCAGCTCCGCTAACAGTAGTCCTTTTCCAATCTCCTCCAACAACTGATTCGGAAACTATCACCTCAACCGTACGTGGGATCGCGATGGTGCAAAGATCAGTGCTGTACCAAGGCCAGCCTGTCTCTGTTTGACAACTAAATGAACTGCATCGCCGTCAGCATGACCCGTCAACAGCCATGGGCTTCGTACCTTGGACAACATGTCGCTCTCGTCTCGCCGCCGACTGTCGAACTACATGCAACTTCGAATCCACTGGGACATATACCGGGGGAGTAGTAAAAGGTTGAACCGAGTTCTAAGCTGCTGGGGAAGCAGTCGGCGTCGCTCCCGGAGGGACCCAACTGCATGTAGGTGCACGCGCTGGGCGCACCGGTGCCGCCTTCTAGACATGTAAGTTCATCGCCTGTATATCTATACTTGTAGTACTGAAAGCATGACTTGGCGGGCGTGAAGGTTGTTGTGAGATCCGGAGCCTGTGTTGTCATGGTTGCTGATGGCGAGTATTATCCACGCGCAAATACGTGATCGGCTCGAGTGGGGATGACAGAGGTTGAAAGAATTTGGCGACGCCCCTTTTGCTACGAAAATGAAATTACACCTGATCCTTCGAGCCAAGAAGGCGTCGTTGGACAGGGGTGATTATTGGGTGAGATGCGAGCCAGGTCACAACCAACATCGCTCAATAAATGGTACCCTTGTTGGGCGGTTAAAAAGAGAATTAGTTGGTGAACTTCGGGTAATTATAAAATTTGGTCGTTATTTATATGTCGACCACTGGTCATTTCTTTCATACAACCATGAGAGGCAATTCTGCGATATCACATTTATTAGTCGAGTCTTTGGCTAATTGTCCTATTGGACCTTTCCTCTAGAGTCAACCGGCCAAATCTCCTCAATAACCCCATTCCTGTACGCATAGTAAAAGTCGTGAAGATTGACAGTTGGGTCAATGTGACTTGGAATCATCTCAACTCTATCACCAACGTCAAGCGCTGGCGTACCCTCCTCCCAAGTCAACGCTCCATGCTCATCGCCCAGTTGGAAATAGCTATATCTTTGATCCTTGCACTCAGCCAGACCACTATCGGTCGTCAAAGACTTGAGGCCAGTGTCGATCGTGACCTGTCGCTCTCCTTGCTTGCTAACTATAGTTGCGAGAAAGGATAGACTGTGAGAGTAGTATGTTCCAATGGCGTTTCGATAGTCGGTGTCCATGAAGATGAAAGACCCGGGCTGGAGTTCTGTCACGCCAGGCACAGTTGCACAAAAGTCAGCAGTGCCTGTTCCCCCTGTTGTGACTACATCAATGTTGAAGCCTTCATTCTTCAGCGCTTGGGCAGTATCTGTGAGGATCTTCATTGATTCCAGGCACTGTTTCTTACGGTCTTCAAAGTCGGGAAGATGTTGCAGGTGACCCTCGTAGCCCTGAACTCCAATGAGTCGCATTTGCTTCAGAGTGCTGATATGCTTCGCCAGAGGAAGAGCTCCCTCTGGCTGAGTTCCTGTGCGATGTAGCCCGACATCCAAGTCTATCAACACCGAGATGGGGTCCTCAGTTCCTGACTTTTCCAGCGCGTCGTTGATAGCCGTCGCAGCTCTCTCGTCATCCACCACAATCCTGATCTCTCGATGCTTTTTGAACAGCTCCACCAGCCTCTTGACTTTGGCCGGCCCGACAATCTCACAAGTGATGAGAAGGTCTGTGAACCCAGCAGCAGCAATTGCCTCGGCCTCACTCAGCTTCGCGACGCAACCGCCCTTTGCACCAGCAGCGACGAGCTTCTTTGCAACGATAGCGCTCTTGCTCGTCTTGAGATGGGGTCGAATATTGCGCCCAGTTGGAAGCAGCCGGTCCATGAGTTTCTTGATGTTGGCCTCCATAACGTCAAGGTCGACGATCATGGAGGGGGTGTCGAGCGAGTCGATGCTGTCGCCTACTTTGGGAGAGTACATGATGGCGGTGATGATGATCGAAATGATACGGACAGACGGACAAAGAATACTGATAACTGGTGTAACACTTGGGATATCTCTCGGCTCCAATTCTGGTCTCCTCTGTTTATCGTTATCTCCAAGACCAGGATCGTCAGTTCAAGGTAACGTAGTACAATGCAGACACAACACAGTGCGTTATTTTCCCCGCTTCTCCCAAACCCGCTGCGGGGTGCTGATCTTCCCCCCTTACAGCACCATCTCCCTCACAGAAACCAGCGAAACTCGGGAACCGCTGGCCCGTCGCGCAGACGCTTCGTCGGTACATCAGCAGCCGTAGTCTTCCTCCCCGCTCTACGATTCCTCCGCATGTTATCAAACACCATATACCCACCAAGCAGACCCGCAATGAGGCATCCACATGCACCGAAACAAGCAGTCGTGATAAGAGCTGTGGGGTACTTGGGCTTCTCGTTCTCGCGGAAGATGTTGCTTGATACGAGACCCATGAGATTGGCGAGGGGGACACCGACTGACGTGAGGACTACGCGACGGCCCTCGTGGGCTATATTATTATTGTACCATGTTGACAAGAGGACTGATGGGGCAGATGTTCCCCAGACCATCATGAAGCATGCATAGTATGCTAATTGTAATTGAGCTTGGACGTCGGAGATGGCGGCGTAGATGATGAAGCCGATGAACGTGAGGGCGAATCCGAGCATGATGAACGGGAAGCGAATGCGTAGAAAATCCGAGCTAAAGGCCAGAATGAGGAGCATCACAGCACCACCGACATTTGGTGCGACTAGTATATTGTATCAGTAGAATCCTATACGTTCAATTCATTAATCACTTACCAGTGTAAAGATTCGTCTTGACAGGTCCATATCCCAATCGCTGGATAATCTGAGGCATGAACAGTGCAACCGATTGAATCGGTACACCAAGACAAATCTCAATTAACAAAAAGCAATACGTCGTCGGATACGTAAAGATCTTGATCGAATCCTTGAAGTTGAACTTTTCCTGCACAACAGACGAAGAGTCGACTTGCATGCGATGAAAAGCCAGCGCTTTTTCTTCTTCGCCGAGAAACTTGGCTTGCGCTGCGCTGCGAGGGAGGTACCAGAATGCAAAGATGGAGAAGAGCACTGACGCTGAGCCCTCGATGATGAAGAGATATCGCCAGACGAAGATTTTGGAGTCGATTTGGAAGACGCCGAAGGATAGAAGGCCGCTCTGTTGTCATTAGCCGAAGGCCTCATATTTAGAGCAAAGGAAACATACAAAAGCGTTGGCGATATTTGACGCAGCGTAGAATACCGCAAGACGACGCGCAAGTTCACCTCTTCGATAAAATGTAGTCAAATAATAAATGACCAGTGGAAAGAAGCCAGATTCCGCCATGCCAAGAAAGAATCGCAGGGCAAACATGCCACCAAAGTTCTGAGTGCAAGCAGCCAGCAAAGTCATCGATCCAAAAGTAAACATGAGAATTGGGAGGACTCGCGCAGGACCGTATTTCTTTCCGAGTATGGCAGTCGGAGGAGCGAATATGACGTAGGGCACGAAGAAGATTGATACGAGGAGATTATACTGGTTTGGCTTGAAGTTGAGATCTGTCGCGTGTCAGCTTGTGAGATGATAGGGAGCTTGTTGACTTACCGTCGCTGAGACCAACGGTTTGTGCATTGCCCAGGTTGCCTTTGTCTAGAGCGTTGAAGAGGTCTATAGATGATCAGACGAGTTGGTGAACAGTGTAGAGGCGTGTTGTCTTACACATGATGGCCAGAACGGGCATCAGCCGAACGTCGAACTTGCGACAGAGTTGACGCTCGGCGATATGGTCGACTTCGAGAACTGTCTCCTCACCAGTGCCTTCGGCGTAGGTGTCGTCGATGATGCCATCCTCTTTGTGGTCTTTGGTGTCCATGGCAACGAATTGTCTGAGAATTAGCGACCCAACTTGGCTGCGACTTGTTTGCAAATGTGGCAGATAAATCTAGTGCGAAGGAAAAGGAAGGGTAGTTGACAGTTTTGTATGATTCACAAGATCTTCTGTATGTATCTGGACCGTTATCTCACCCGGACATCAGATGGGATATGCGGGGGAGACAAGATACAGGTTGCAAGGGCTTAGATTCGGAGGTTACATGTTCAAAGCACCTATCAAGATAGCAATACCCTGCAATCATCATCGCAGCTGACTCGAAACACAGTGTTACCAGCATAAGCGTAGGTTACCATCTCACAAGAGGTTGGTGCTCCCTCCATGTAACGTAGAGCGACGATCCGACCCAGTGCAAGCCAACCGCCGAGGACTGTAGAGGTTCCACCGGATGCCCGATTTCGGAAACCCGCGCAAAAGTGCCGGCGCGAAATAAACCTCCGAAGCTTAAAGACACCATCGTCACTCACAACAGCCATAGGCGTATTTTCAGATCATCGATTCAACGGCAAATTATTCTCTAGGTTCAGACACACTTTTGCGACATGAGCAATCAACCACCTTATCCCCTGCACGAGTCAGTCCTCGACAGAATCGACCCTGAATATGCAGCATTCTATAACAAGCACATCATCGACAAGCAGCAAGTTCATCTCCAACCGGTAGAAGCATCCCGAAGCAGTGGCATTCTCATTCCCGGCAGTGGTCCTCTTCAGCCAGTCGCAAGTACAATCGACTATGCCATCAAACGTAAAGAAAGCGAAGGACCTGATGTCAAGGTTCGATGCTTCACTCCAATTGGCGATAAGCCTGAGAATGGATGGCCTGTGTGTATCTACTACCACGGTGGCGGTTGGGTTCTCGGTACAATAGATACCGAGAATGTTATTGCGTCGCATCTGTGTGCAAGAGGGAAATGTGTCGTCGTGGCTGTTGATTATAGGTTGGCACCTGAGAACCCATTCCCTGCGGCGGTGCATGATTCGTGGGAGGCTGTTCTTTGGGTGATGGACGAGGGTAAAGAGACTCTCGGACTGGACACGTCAAAGCTGGCGACAGGTGAGAATGACTCGATTGGGGCACGGCTGCTTGTGCTAACTGGATGATACAGGCGGTTCTTCTGCTGGCGCAAACTTGGCAGCCATCATGTGTCAACGAGCAGCTGATCGGGGATCCCTCAAATTCTCCCTTCAACTCCTCTCCGTCCCCGTAATGGACAACACCGCCGATACCACTAATAACGTCTCCTGGAAAGAAAACCAGCACTCTCCGGCTCTCCCAGCTCCCAAAATGCTTTGGTACCGAAACCACTATCTCCCCAACAAGGCAGACTGGTCCCATCCGGAAGCCAGTCCGATCTTCTGGAAGGGAGACTTCTCGAAGCTGCCGCCTGCTTGTTTTGTGGTCGGCGAACTAGATGTATTGAGGTCGGAGGGTGAGCAGTTTGCGAAGAAGTTGCAAGACGCGGGTGTCAAGGCGGAGCTGAATGTTATGAAGGGCCAGCCACATCCGTTCATTGCGATGGATGCAGTTCTTGAAGCTGGGTCGAGAGCTATTACGCTGTTTTGCGATGCGTTGTATAAGACCATGTATGAGAAATGGTGACGAGGATAGAATGCTTGATAAAAGATCATAAGCTCAGAGGCATAAGATTCTATGCAAGCCAAGTCAATTAAATTGCCCAAGGTTCTCAATCATCATTGCTTCCCCTTTCTTCTCCTTGAACCTATAACGGCAACTCTAAGAAATATAGCACTTGCACCCAAGAAGAATGCCAGGTTGAAGTCCTCTCTGATGTTGAGATAGACCAACGCCCCACCAAGTGTAAGTAGGAAGAACATAAAATAAGACCGAAAGGTGATTACAGGTACGCCTGACTCATAAGATGTCTCTGGGTTTGGTTCCATGGTGGCTGCAGGCATTGTTAAAATCAGGTAATTCTTGTCGCTCTGTCAGAAAGGTTCCTAAAGTTGATCGCTTAGAAATTGCTCTGTCGATGGTATTAAAGCGCCATATATATAGAGTGACATATAACCAAGATATAAAGAGGGGCAGGCTCTTATTTATGTGATATTAGAGACACTTTAAAAAACAAAACCTTTTATTTTAATATATTATCTTGGGCAGGCGTAAAAGTCAATTACCTTAAGATATCTACTCTCCTTTTATACTTAATAATAAAGTTTTAATTAAACCTATAAGTCTAGGCTAGTTTCTTGAGTACTGGTCGATGCCTTAGATCTCGACTTTCCTTGTCGTTGGAGCTTTTGCTGGTTCTCCAACTCGATGCTTTCATTCTTCAACTTTATCTTGTCCAATCTCATCAGCTGAAAGTTCGTTTCTTATTCAGTCTGAACCTCTCTTATCTCTTTAGTTATTTCTGCAACACGCAAATTTCGTTCGGCGATTAGGTTTGCTATTCTCATCCTTAAAGCTCTGGCACTTGAACTTCATGTCGTAGTATGAAATACTGCTCTATTCCAACGGCATCTCTTACGTATTCTTACCAACCTGGAGATTACCACTTACAATGTCAACTCTTGAGATTAGTCCGCCAACCATGTCGGATGGCCAGCCTCATGACACGAAGAAGGTCAAAGAGAAAGGGGTCGAAGATGTTGAGGTCGGTGTCAGCCACCTTGAGAAACAGACCATCTATTCCAAGGTGTCTGTGTACCTGATGATGATCCTTTCTCGTCTCGCCTTGGGTTCTGATGGATAGTATGTTCTTGATCGTCCTCAAGTAGTGAACTTCAATCCATTAACACCACATTAACAACGTAGGAGTCATCGGCAATCTCGAACTTTTATTCGCGTCTCTATGTCCAGATGCCCTAATAAGCATAATGGCTTCTCGGCTATCCAGTGCCTTTCTCATCGGTATAATCGTCGGTATGATTGGCTTTGACATCTTAGTAGACTAGCTAGGCCGTAAGACAAGAGCCGTTATAGTCGTCGGAATTGCAATAAGTATTGGCGCCAGTGGGAAATTTGGTACTGGCCTTATATAGATACTTGTTATTACTCGTGGAATCGCTGTCATAATCTGGATGCGACTTGGCGTAATCACGAAACTCCAGATCCGGTTAACACAAAGAACCAGTAACTCTTGGTAAGACCTCAGTGCTTCGATTTAATAACCCTCTCATATTGGCAATGTCAAAGAGTGAGTTGAGTATGTAAGCAAGTCGGACCAAGGTAAAAGTGTCTTATTGTTGGGGGCTGGAGGATTCAACAGAAAACCCACAACTTAACAATAAGAAGGTGATATAATAAAATGTTATCTATGCATTGTCGGTATATAGATACAGAGAAGTAAAAGCGCGTTTATGATTCTATGCAGCTGGTAATTCACCTCTAGACTACGGTGCTGTTGGAGCAGCGGCAGTCGGAGCTCGATCAACGAAAATGCCCACAGACACGAAGGACGGCGATGCAAAGTCGTCAGCACCGAGGTACACAGTGTAGTCGGAGCCGGTACTGACAAAGAACCTCTTCCAACTGGCCTCAGTCGAAACACTACAGATCTGGCTGTCACCTGGTCCGTTCGGCACACAGTTCAACTTTACAGCAGAGCACTGAAGAGCAGTACCAGCCGCAGGGTTTCGTGCGCAGGTGAGACGAGCCGTGCCATACAAATTGTACTCGGTTGAGCAAGGAGTCAGGGCGGCGTTTCGACTCATGCCACGGTAACTTGCGCAGACGGGAATGCCGTCTTGGGTGAGGTATCCAGTGGTTGGATCGACGACGAAGCGACCGACTGTCCACCTTGATGAACGTTGACCGAAGATCATGAAATCGCCGTTTTGCTTCGTCGATTTCAGGGGAAGGCCTTGAGCGGGGCCTAGACCGGCGATGAGGAGATGATCAGTGGGACCAGGTTCTTCTGATGTGGTGGTGGTTGTCATGGCTGTAGAAGTCTCAACTGTGGTCGTCGTAGCTGCAGACGTCTCGGCGGTGGATGTCTCGGTTGTACCGGTGGTGGTCGTGTCAGCAGAAGTCACTGATGTGAATACTGCCGTGCCAGAGGTGGCCTGGGACGACGTCTCAGAAGCCGAGATAGTGGCATCGGTAGTTTCGGTGCTAGTTGAACCAACAAAAGTTGAGGCTTCAGTAGCGGTGGTGTCGATCGCAGTCGATGTCTCAGACTCAATCACAGTTGAAGTTTCAGTAGCGAGAGTTTCGACTGTAGAAGTCGCGGACTCAGCGAACGTGCTGGAGATCTCGGTTACTGAGGAAGAGAAAGTCGCAGAAACAGCGGTTGAGCCTGTTTTGTCTCAGTTAACCCGTACTTCAATAAAATGTCCATTCGAGGTCACTATACCTGAAGTCAACGGCTTGCATGGGCTGGCAGCCACAAGCCCGAAGGCTAGAGAAAACGAGGCGTAAAGGCGCATTGCTAACGAAAGACTAAGGTGAGAATTAAATCGCCTACAGGTTCAAAAACAGACAATGCATCAGTGGCGGTCGAAGTGGCTTCTTATACCGTCAGGGCTTGGCGCCTGGATGTTCTAGCTTGCAAAATTTATGAAGCTATTGATCTCAGCTCTCATTAAACCCTGTCATTTCCATAGCCGAGACAGAACTATCGATTGTCATCCACGCGAGCTAACGGTGTTGGGGTTGATTCCTGCAGTAGCGCCCAATAGTCAACACCACACGTGCCATTTGGTTCACTAGCTTTATACTCAGGGAAATTACAAAAGTACGTCGATGGCCTTTATTAGGCCTATCAACTGATTTTTTATATTATTAAGCTACTGTTTATATAACTTCTTAATTAAAGTTATTCAGCTTAGGTTCTTAATAGTTTTTCGTTTTTAAAAAAAATAAAAAGATTAATATATAAATTTTATATATATATAAGAATTAATTCAATTGCTATAGTATCTACTAAAAGCCATGTCCTATGATATAGGAATGGTATACTAGAGTTAATCTTAAAATTAAGGTAATAATAGGCAAGTCCCTTGCTTAGCTTACTCCTCGAATCCTTAGCCCTCTCTTAGTAGCAGCTTAGCTTAGAGCAGCAGGAACTCGGCTCTAAGGATAGAAATATATTTAAGTGTCCTTTAGTTCTGTCTCTGATTATATTAGTATTTGCGGCCTGTTTGACTGGGAGGCTAGGTTTGGTTATATAAAACCATTATGGAGAAGTCTTTGCTTATATGCGTAGCTGTACAGTTATCAGGCAGTCGTCTGCCGAGAAGAGGGCTACATATTTGCACGCCATCACTATTGCTGCGCCTTATCATTGTTGGTTTTCCCTGCAGCCAATACATGCAGCTGGCTCCTCGGTTACCCGAACGCTGGTAGAGTTTACAAGACCTATAAAGATCTAGTTTAATAAATGCAATACCAATAAAATAATTAAAGCAATATAAGTTCTTCAGACTTAGAAAGTACCTACTATCGCATTTTTAGGCAAGTCCTGCGATTGATTTCACCTTTTTGGCAGAAGGTTGTCAAGTGCGGGCTGACCATCTAGGCTTGTGACCGACGTGCATATGCACGCTTACTTGGTTGAATCACACACTGCAGATTATATTAGTGGACTAAGCACCTACTGTACAGCCATCGACAAACCCCCTCAAAGGTTGCCTCACTACCAAGGCACTCTCAAGGCACTCTCAATCAGCCTGTACCATGACAGAGTTCAATTTGACTTTTGGCCAAGATCTTGCATATGCCTTTTCTCTTATCGAGGTTTCCCACTCTCAGTTATTAATAATCTAGAGATTAACTATTGGAATATCCGACATGAGTACCCCCAGTCTTGGTGCTGACGCATTGGTTGATCAAGCTGAATGCTTCAAGACATTTCTTGGTCTTAACCAGCCGGAGCTAGGAGACAAGTTCTTGTTTGTTATGGGCCTGACAGGAGCTGGCAAGAGTACATTCATCTCAAACTGCACAGGTCATAGCGTCGTTGTAGGCTATGGGCTTTATTCATGTGAGTAATAAAGCAGCTTCTATTCCACGCTTACGACTTAGCAAATTAACGTTTCTATTAACAGAATATCTTACTAATTAACAGGCACTAGCTCCATGGGTGTTTTCCAGTACACCAGACATGGCCAACGCACCTTTCTCATAGATACCCTGGTTTTAACGACACAACTCGCTCTGATATTGATACGCTAGAGATATTAGCAACTTATCTCGGTGTGTCGTAAGCAAATGGTGTGCCAATCAGCGGTATTATAATATTATATCCTATCACAAATAACCAAATGGCCGGGTCAAACTTAAGGAGCTTAAGAATCCTGAAAGCCGTTTCTGGATTTGCTTCAAATGATAATCTCGCCATCGTTACCACTATGTGGCCTGAATCTCCAAATTCTACGGAAAGGAATATTTTTGAAGGGCGAGAACTTGAGCTGTTGATAAATCAAGACTTTTCGGTGATCTTGTCACCAAAGGAGCAACAATGTTTCGACACTACGAAAGAGGCTACAGTAAAGCAGGCTTAGGACAACGGATCGTCAATAGCCTGGCCTGACGACTAGAGAATCATTCGCCGCGTGTAATTCAATTACAACGCGAGGTCGTTGATGAGAAGAAGAACTTAGGGGAAACAGCCGCAGGAATAGCAGCCGCTGAGTACCTATACAAAGCTCGCTTGGAACATAACAATCAGCTCAAACGACTCAATACCGAGCTAGAAAGAACATCGTTAGGCTCGGATAAGGAGTATTCTCTTCAACAACAGGAGCTGAAGGCTGAAGTGGATAAAGAAATCCAACAGACTGAGCAGGGTCGCCGAGCCATGGTCAAGACAATGGTAGATCTACATCAAACCGAGACAAGAGCGCTGAAGCAGCGAATTCTTAACCTTCGAAGCCAATTCGAAGCTGAAGTTCAAAACAAGGAGATGATGTTGCAAGACGTGCAAGAGTCCTGTGATGCGCTTCAAAAGGAGGTAGCTCGCCTCACAAATCACCCGCAGCAACAACAACTTGTCGCACGTCGTACCAAAACCGATTAAAAGGCTCTTCTAAAGGCCTAGAAAGATGCTGAGAAGAGTCGGAGAGGTCTGACTCTGAGATTCACCATGGTTAGATACTTAATAATTGGTGGTAGCGTATTAGCCTTCCTCGCCAGTGATATTGAGAACTAATTAGTCTTATGGGTATAGTCTATTGGCCAGCTTGACTAATCAACTTAATTATATAACATTCTTCCACCTTCAGCCCGTTTCATCCTGGTTGGACATAGTTACATCACTGCACACATAAGGCCACCCACAACTAAAACAGATAATCAGCATTAAGCACCTTCCAAACTAGTTTCTGCCTTACCGCCAGCAACTGCATTTGCAGGAATCCCATTCATAACACCACCAACGATCTCCTTAGTGTACTCTTGAACCCTTTGGTGGTTTAATACAATTCCGATTATTCCTTCTTATCCCCTATTTCCAAGCCGATTTCATGATAATAATTATAGGAGTACTAGCCATTGTTTAGTAGGTTTAGTATTTTAAGTATAGGTTATCGATTAGTTTAAAATCCCAATTGTTGTTTATTTTAATACGGTGTTAATTTAGGAAGAGGTCATACTCATGCCTTTAGTAGTATATCCCATCTTGAAGCCAATAACATAATGCAAATTTATCCTGCTAGCTCTCTTATACAACCACTACAGTGTGCCGTGGGAGTGCAAGATATGTTGCTTCTAATCCCTTGACTACTGTACCATCCTTATTGGCACTGCGCACCAGCTTTGCTGGGAAGTCTCCCTTAAGCTGCCATGGACTGGGAGCTGACGTTGCTGCAGCAGTTGAAGTGGCTGGGAAAGGCTTTGCCCATCCGAAAATCTTCTCGACCGTCACTAGCAACCCATCTGTCGTATCATTTACTAGAGCCTTCTTGTCACTAGCATATTTTACCCAATCAGTTCCCATGCCATCCCATAGCTGCTGATTTGTTTCGCTAATCTCCTTTGAGCTAAGCTCTGCTGGGGTGTATCTGACTTGAGTCGGTGCCATGATAACCCCTGATTTGGCATTCAGATCTGGGCTCACAGCGACGTAATCTAGCCCACCGGGTACTGAAGTATCTGGTACTGCCTTGCGGATTGGATCGTATCCAGGAACAAACCAATTCGTACCAGGCATAGTAGGTATAAATCGGAGGTCCACGACACCCATTTTCGCTGCATCACTTGCGCTAAACGTGGGTATAGTGCTGAGGGCAAGAATAGGTGCTGGTGAACTCAGTAGCAATCCCATGGGTAGTTGCACTGTAGCACCGTCGTGGGATAACAGTGATGATGCATCGCTCTGAGAAGGGTCTGTGTCTGTTGAGTATTTGCCCCATGTTCCAGTCGGCACAGATTTGATATCAAACGATGCTCCTGTCCAGCCACCAATAATCTTGGCACTAACAGTCTCCATAATGACAACAGACAATTCAGAGACTATATCTGTCGTGACTTGCATCGGCCGTGAGAATATGTTTGTCTTGGTAGGATGAGGACCACCATTTAGTACAGGCACTTCTGCTCCAGCGCCATCTTCTGCTTGTATCAAGGCCGGAGCCACCGAAGCATAACTGAGCGCGAAGTCTGCTTGGATACGGAACTTGAAGGTACCACCTTTGACGAACCACTTTGTACCCTGACCAGCGTTACTATCGGGTACCGCATTGCTCTCGGTACCGGATGCTGCTGTGACTCGAGCAATGTTGCCAGAGAGAGCGGGAGCAGGGCTTGGTTTTGGCTCAAGCTTGAGAGGGTTTGGATAGTTACCGTCCTCAAGAGCAAACTTTAAGGCAGCTGCTTCGACTACCTCTGGAGCTGGTAATGGACGGGGCACGGTGCCTGTTCCCTTAGGTGCAGGAATCATGGTTCCCTCCAAATCGGAACGGGGGTCATAGGAAATAACAGATTGAACACGCTCCGGGTCAATAGCGTTCTTGGAAGGGACGTCTGGGCCGGGCTGATGCACCATTTTCCAGAAGTCCAGAAGAGAGAGAGGATCCTTTGCCTTAGGACTGGCTCCGAAATCTATAGTAAATCCAAAAGCCCAAAAGTCGACACTGGTCAAAGTTAGTTCAGTGTTTCCTATTGCCATGAAATAATAAAGAAATTGGTACATACTGGGCTGTTCCTCCAAATTCTGGCCCCTGAATAACCAAGAAGGCACCTATACTGGCACTAATATGGATATGAATGAACAGGATGTCAATATTGAACGACACGCCCACTGATACATTGAACTGTGCCACGTAGTGAAGAGGGTGGAAGTTAATCAGGCAGTCGAACTGAGCATCTAGCCAAGCCTGCAAAGGTCCAAGATCGAGACTAACGTGGATCAAAGCACCTCCCATGACGACTTTGGGCGTCACAGCGAAATAGCAGTTTCCGACAACGGATAAACAGCTGCCAACTGTGAAACATATTCCGAGACGCTGTGGTACAGGGTACCAGTCTGGAACTTGATATTGAGGGTGATAACCTCCAACTGAGAAGACCCAGTCTCCAGCATGTGGATTAGACTATAGCCAGGTTAGTTCATTGTTCATATTGCCTTGGGTATCTCACATACTCCAAACCAGTATACCAGGGCAAATCCTCCCGTGAGCTGGCATTGGGGAACAAGTAGGAAAGATGTTGGTGCCAAAGCTGCTTCGACGCGAAAATATCCCTGTCCCATATTGAATTCGATCACCATAGCTAGCTCAACATAGACGAGACAGGACTCCCTGCTTGGGGCATCTGGCGGCATCATAGCAACAGCGTCACCATAAATAGCGAGGTCGAATCCACCAGACTTGACCTCTAGCATCGCCACCGCTGTAACAGTGAGGCAATCAAAAAGCGATGCTGATAGCCCCGCTGCAAGCCAGTATTCGTCTTCTTTTGGTGTTACCCATGGAGGACCGGTTTGAGTCATGGTCTGTACGATTAGGAAAGGATCACTACCAGCACTAGCTGTCACTGTGTCGTCAATGAAGGGGAAACTTGTTAGTTGGTCGATTGTTGGGGGAGTCACAAAAGAATTGTAACCAAAGCCCATTCTGATGCCAGAGATCTCGCCGAACTCAAGAGTAATAAGTGCTATAATTGTCAACATTTATAGCCGAGGGCTGGGGTACTGATAGAGAGGAGAGGAAACTCACGTCCGTTGAGTTTGGCGTAAAGAAAGATGGATTTGAAACCATCAAGAACAGCGTATTCTCCGATACCTATAAAGTTGTAGGGTGGAAATGATATTCCTATCGCCCCAAGATATGTATCTTGAGTCTTGGTGACGATATGCTCAAATCCGCCAGCTATCAGAAGAGGGGGTTGATTAAATGAAGCAACCATGCCGGAGATGACGGGTGACATCTTGCCTACGAGACTCGCAAGATTATCCAGTGTAATACCACCGTCTAATGGGACTGTAAATCCGAAACCTATAAGTTCAAGCAGAATTGGGCCCATGGCAAACGTAGCATCCATCGTGATAGATATCTGTGGCACATCCCCTTGTTCTTGATATTGCAGCGAAATGGCACTGATTGTGAGCGGGCCGAGGCTAAGAGTCAACTCGCCCTTTGAAGGGGGACTTGCTGGCACGGATGGTTCGTCATCAGAAACGGTAACCCCAGCTGTCAGGGCTTCTGATGGTGTATTTGGAGTTTTGGGTGGAGGTACAGATGGTTTTGCAGTTGCAAAGACATGATCGAGGACAGCTTTCTGGTTCTGTATCACAATGAAGTGATGTCCTGGAACTACCACGACACTATCAGCTGTCGAGGCTTTGGCGCTGGCTGATGGGTCCACGGTGGCTGAAAAGTAAAGAGGGTTACCGACAGGCATAACTTGCTGGTTCAAGGCAGAGACCTCGGACTTTAGAAGACCACCAGAATCGCTCACCCACAAATACTCCAGAGCGTCGAAAGGTTGTATCAAGTCTCCAATCAGTGGAATACCTGATAGTTTTGGAAGATTCCCAACAGCAACACGAACGAGCCTCTTGGTCTTGGTAGGGTCCTTGTCTCCTATTTGAGCAAAGGTAAAGCTGACATGCTCGATTTCAACTTGAAATGCAAAAGCGACCTGTTCTGTTCCATGCTTTGCGACCTTTATAGAAACCGGACTGTGACCTCCTTCAGCAGAAGGGATCTCAATTCCAGAAACAAAGGTCGGGAGAGAGTCTGCCGCTCCAGGGACAATGGAATTGACTACAGCACCCAAAGTCGCAGTCTGTCCATTGGGGGCAGATGCTCCTAGATCACACTCAAATGTCCAGTCTGTCTGAACCTTCTTATCAGGTGGCGTATCTGGGCCGCCAGCTGCCTGTACAGTGAGGACAGGTACAGGGGCATCTGCTGGTAGCAGAGTGCCTTGTGACCCTGGTGGAGTTGCCTGTGCGGCCGTCTGACCAGTGACATTTGAACTGACATATTGATAGAAAAGGCGCAGCTGTAGCAGCCCTACCTGGATGGTACCAACAAAGGCAAAACTTGTAGCCGCTCCACCATCTGCGTAGGTATAAACTACTTGAACCTCAGGAATCTGAAGTTTCCCAAGAACAGAAAGAAGCGATTCGTTGTAGTTGGGGTCAAACCACCCAAATAGCATGGCGCCGTTGATGTTCTGCGCCAGTCCAGAAAGAAGCCAACTTTTATTCTGATATGAAACGTTGAGGCCAATCATGCCAAAGTCGCTCAGATCCAGTGGACTCGTCAACAGAAAGTCGGTAGCCAGTGTACATGAGAACGACCCTGGTCCAACAGCCAATCTGACGTCAAGATCTTCCCAGACGAACGGAGCTGGAACTTGTGGTCCAGTGGTAGTAGGAGGCGGTGGTGGCCTAATCAACTTCGCAGACAAAGATAATACTTTTGACGTTATCTGGTACGATATGCTGGCTGCGGTTATAACAGTTGGAAGGGAGTTGGGCAGACTCGACAGTTCCGAAGAAAGATCTCGTATCTTATAAAAGCGCTTTGTGACTGTGCCAGCCGGGGCAAGGATAGCCTGGCTGACACTAAA